GAAGCGCCTCGCCATTGGGACCCGCCGTGCGCGCGCTGAAAATCATCGGCCGTGCCTCGCCATGCGTCCCCATTCATCGCCGCGTGTCTCCGTTCGTCGCTGCGCGTCCCCCGTTCGTCGCCATTCGTCGCCACGCGTCCCCATGTGTCGCCGTGCTCCCGTGCGCGTACGGCCAGGCTCTGCAGAATAAGATGAAACGGCAACAAAAAAAAAGGTTAGAATCTTTGAAACGGAAAACAGACCGACGAAATCAGATTAACATGAAACCGACGGGAGTTACCCTTGCCAGAGAAAGAAGAGGAAGAGCTCTCTCTCCCTTCGTCGCTCCTCCTCCTGCCGTTGTTGCCGCAAGCACACGAAATCAAACGTTAGTATTCATGTTTAACGAAAATAAATTAAACTTGGCTGAAATTGACGCTCGAGATTCTGAAAATTAAACTTGGCTTACCAGAGAAAGAAGAGGGAGAGCTCTTTCTCCCGTCGTCGCTCCTCCTCCTGCCGTTGCTGCCTCCTCCTCCTCCTCCTCCTCCTCCTCCTGCACTAAGAGAACACTAACATGAACACGAAAAATGCATTAAATACGGAAAAGGAAGCAGCGAAACGAAAGCAGACGGTTCTTACCGTGAAAGCCTCCCGGGCTTTTACCTCCTTTATTCGCCGCAGCCCCCGCGAGCTCCCTTCCGCCACTTCCGCTGCGCTAAGAGAAAGGAACACACGGAAAGAAGTTAGTTTCATAAACGAAGAAAAAACTTAACGAAAATCGACGAAACTTACCATGCATGGGAGACCACCTCCCCGCGTTACCTCCCTTACTCGCTGTAGTTGCTGCCGCGTTGCTCTTACTGCTGCACTAAGAGGAACACGACATAGGCGTTAGATATCCGGAAAAGAAAGCAGCGAAACGAAATAAGACGGTTCTTAGCGTCGATGTAGCCGTTGACGTTGTCGCCGGATGGGGCAGTGCGAGCGGGAGGGGGGGCGGAGAGGTAATGGGCTGGGGCTACCCTTCCCCCTCCGCCGCCACCCTGCCCCAACCCCGCTCGCACAACCCCGACGCTCGTCATTGAAGTCTTCTTCTAAACACTGCGCACGTGGCGGTGCCACACCGTCATGGCATCACGGCAGAGAGGAAAACCGACGACGAAATGAAATGCGAAAGCGACGAAATGAAAGGCGACGACGAGACGAAAAAAGGCACCACCAAGAAGAGAAGCGCCGCCAAGCGCCGTGAGTCCCGCCTTCGCCCGCGAGACGCGCGTTGGCCCGCGGGGCACGCCTTCGCGACGCACCTTTCACCCGTGAGACGCGCCTTCCGAAGGAGCATCGCCGTGCAACGCCACGCGGCGCGTCCCCATGCGTCGCCATCATGATCCCATGCGGACCGTTCCCATACGTGCCCCTGCAAGTACGAATAAGAACCGTCAGTACGAACGAAACCGTTGGGCGAATAAGAACAAAATAAACTGCAGAACGAATCGAAGCGTTAAACTGCAGGAAATGCCCGTTCGAGCGAGGCGTCACTAGTAACGGATCGCGGAGATTCCGCTACCGTCGGCGACGGACGAAGTGACGCCAACCGTCATCGTCCGCTTGCGACGCCATCCACGGTAGAGTCCTCGTCGCCGAAGGAAAAACCACCACGGCAGGGAGAAACGCGGCCGCCAAGCGTCGGGTCCCGCCCGAAGAACCGTCGCCATACGTCGCGCTTCAGTCTCTGCAGGAAGAAAGCAAGTCAACACGTTAGAACCTAGGAAAGTTGAACTGTAGACTGCATGAAGGGTAAAATGAACCTTACCGGCTGCTGGTAGGCCGTCGCCGTCCCCTCGCGACCGTAGAGTCGTCCTCGCCGGCGGGTAGACTCCTCTCTTCCAACGGTTGAGTCTTCGTCGCAGTCGGTATAAGCGTTCGCGCGACCAAGACGGTCGCCGAAGTCGCCATCGTTTGATCGTCAAGACTGTCGCCGAAGTCGCAGTCTTTGGTCGCCAAGACGGTCGCCGAGGTCTGCAGGGACAAGGCAGCACGTTAGTACTTAAAGACAAAAGAAAAGAGAATGACGATAGATGGCAGCACAACGGGTAGACTTTCACTCACGACTCCGACTTGAACGACGATTCGCGAATGCATCGCGGCGCATCGCGGCGACAAGGTCGAGGCGCCATCGTCGTCGCATCTTCCGCAAGTGAAGCATCTCTTCGGATCCTCCGCGGTTGATAGTATCGTAAGCTAGGAAGCTTAGAAAGCTTCAGCTTCAATTCTTCGAGTCGGCCGTCTTCGGCCGCCGAGATGATCGCAAACGTCTTCGGTCTGCAGGGAAAAGGCAGCACGTTAGTTCCAGAAAAGATGAAGGAAATGACGGAACTTTAAGTTAATGGTAGACTTCACTCACCCGGACCCGAACGATGATCATCCATGGCGACGACAATGTCAAGACGCAAGTCTCGTTGGCGCAAGTATCGTTGGCGCAAGTCTCGTTGGCGACGACAAGGTCGAGGCGCAAGTCTCGTCGGCGTCGGCGCCTCTCGCAACGCCTCAGGTCCTTTGGCTTCAGGTTCTCTCGCACTGAAGACAAAAGAACAAGTTCTTAGGAATCATAAAATACGAACTGAATCAAGGAACTGAATCTCGTCAACTGAGAAGACGAAGGAAAGGTAGAGCCATATTTCACTTACACCAACCCGAACGACAAGGATCCGTTGGCGATCTTCACCCGAGAGGCTTCACTTGGACTTCAGGTTGGGCTTGCGTGCGTCCCGTCATTCCGCTATAGAAGCGCCAGCGACGGTAGAAGCTCGAAGAGTCAGCGACGGTGGTAGCTCCTATCCGCGTCCGGTGTTGTTGACGGCTCAAGTGTTAGCGTCGGCGCTTCAAGTCCTTGCGTCGACGCTTCGAGTCTCGCCAAGACGGTCGCCAAGAGGTCTGCGTGGAAGAAAGCAAGAGGTCAGTGCTTGAACAATGTTGAACGATTTAGAGCTTAAGAAATTAACCGGCCAAAAACGGTGCACTACTCGACTGTCTTCGAGACGGGGGCACCGATGGGGAAGGCCACTTGAAGCGCTTGCGTTGAAGTTCTCGCCTTGGAAGATCTTGGCTGGAAGATCTCGGCTTGAAGATCTTGCGGGTGAAGATCTTGGCTTGAAGCACTTGAAGCTCTTGAAGCACTTGAAGCTCTTGAAGCTCTTGAAGCACTTGAAGCACTTGAAGCACTTGAAGCACTTGAAGCTCTCGAAGCTCTTGAAGCACATGAAGCACTTGAAGCACTTGAAGCTCTCGAAGCTCTTGAAGCTCTTGAAGCGGAGGCTTCGCCATTGAGATCCCGCTGCGAAGATATCGCCGTGGAAGGTTTTGGCGTGAGGATCTTGTAGTGAAGATCTCGCCATGCAGATCTTGCGGTGATGGCTTGAATGTGTCGCGGTGAAAAGCTTGCCGCGAAAACCCGGTTTTGTAAATGGTTTAGCCTTAGCAGCTCGCTCAGACTCGACTCTAATCTACCCAACCCACCCCACCCACTCTAATCTACACAAGACTCTAATCTACGCGACCTCACGCTGCTGCATGCCTAGGCTTTCCCCATTTACTAGCCGGGTGGCTTCAGATAGCTTCGATTTGCTCCGAGGAGCGAGTAGCCTGAAGTCCAAAAGGAGCTCATAAAGTTGGAGCTTTTCTGGAAATCCTTCATTGAATTCGTGAAGGAAGAAACTGGAAATGAATGCCATGAATGGGACTTTACATGAGCAGAAGTGAGTTGATTGAGAGTGAAGAGGGTGAAGCAACTGAACTGAACCAGAACCAGAGAGTCTGTTGGTTAGCGGCACCACGGCGCGAAACAGCGCGGCTCCAACCCAAATGTGATGGGTCAACGCCGTAAAGCGGCTGAAAGCATTCTCTGTCAGAATGGGTCAATCCTACAGTGGCGAATACAAACATCCCCGCCTACAAAGTGGCATGGACGGAATATTCCGAGCCGCGTGGTCTGGCAAATGGCGGCCCAATTTTTTGAGCCGAACCCCCAACCAAACCACGGTGTACATCTCTTTTACCAACTGGTTGATTTTGTAATTCTGGTTGTTGTTCTTTTTGTAAACGAATCTGCTAAGGGCGCGTATCGTGTGGAAGAGGTTGGGGCTAGGGCAGGCTTGAACTTTCTAGGAGGTGGTGGTCGTGGCGCTTTTCTAATTAAAATATCCGAGCTTTTGAGTGAGTTTTGCGTAAGGTGCGGGACGGCAGAGGGATGGTTAGCGAGATTCCTGCGTGGCGAGGGAAGTTTAGCATTTTTCCGCACTTCGTTTTGCCCTTCCAAACTTGACTTGGGCAGCTGGAAATTCAAAGGCAATCCTAAAGGGATTGACGTTAGCCAATGGAAATGAAGGGTGTTTCCACGGAAGCACGAAATGTTTGTCACCCTGGCACAAACACCAAGGCATCGAAACAACCCCTACCTCACAATTTCTCACCTGCCATTCCTAATTCTTCTCGCCAGTCATTATCCAGTACTAGTAGGTATGTCCCGTTAGATCAAGGCAGTGAAGATTAGTACGCCGACCATCTTAGTTTCCGTCGCTTCCTGTTTCTCGTTTGATTAGAGGTGAAAGCGGTAGTCATTGTTACGTGGAGCCTCTGGTTCACGTAACTTGAAGTTAGACCTCAGCACCATAGCTAGTTTCGATCGCGCTTCACTCTTACTTCATCGTTCGCCACCTCACACATCGAATGCGGTAACCACTGCTAGTGTCAAGTCTTAGGTAGTGTTAGTTGCTCTCTCCTGATTTCCGCCAGTAGTGGTAAGATCCCACGAATTTTTAGCTCGTGTATTTGCGAACGGAATAGTAACCCCTTCGTTCGCGTTAGAAATGTTAGCGTCGATTTGCGGACACATTCGCAACGTTTATTTCCGATTTTTTCTTTTCTTTTAGTCGAACGTTCGTAGCGTCTATATATGGAGACCTATCATGCAAACGCCTGATACGACCCAAGGCACATTCGCCTGACCGTTGCACAAAACAATGGACAAAAAGGGATGTCGGGAGGGGAGGGGTAAGGGAGGGGAGGGGAGGGGAGGGGTAAGGGAGGGGAGGGGAGGGGAGGGGTAAGGGAGAGGAGGGGAGGGAGGGGTAAGTGAGGGGAGGGTAGGTGGAATCGAGTGGTGGAAGTCAACAGAAAACGAAAAAGGAGAGGACTGGCGAGAGGTGACAGGCGGAGTGGCTTATTTTCCCTCATTTCCCCCTTTTTTCCTCCCCTCCCTCCCCCCTGTTTCCCTGACCTTGCCTAGTAACGTCCAAGCTCTGAACCATCTCCCCGCTCTCCCCTCAGTCTCCCCCGCTCTCCCCTCATCTTCCCTGCTCTCTCCCTCATACTCCCCGTTCTCCTCTCATCTTCAGCGCTCTCCCCTCATCTTCCCTGCTCGTTCCTCATCTCCCCCACTCTCCCCACTCCCCACCCCCCCTCCTCATCCCCCTACGTGCTCTGCTTATCTCTACGCGCTTCCTTGTTCCCTTTTTTTTGCACTCACCCCTCATCTCCCCACCACTCTCAGCCTCCCCTCCTCTTCTCCCACTTCACCCCTCATCTCCCCACCACTCTCAGCCTCCCCTCCTCTTCTCCCACTTCACCCCTCATCTCCCCACCACTCTCAGCCTCCCCTCCTCTTCTCCCAGTTCACCCCTCATCTCCCCACTACTCTCAGCCTCCCCTCCTCTTCTCCCAGTTCACCCCTCATCTCCCCACTACTCTCAGCCTCCCCTCCTCTTCTCCCAGTTCACCCCTCATCTCCCCACCACTCTCAGCCTCCCCTCCTCTTCTCCCAGTTCACCCCTCATCTCCCCACTACTCTCAGCCTCCCCTCCTCTTCTCGCACTTCACCCCTCATCTCCCCACTACTCTCAGCCTCCCCTCCTCTTCTCCCAGTTCACCCCTCGTCTCCCCACTACTCTCAGCCTCCCCTCCTCTTCTCCCACTTCACCCCTCATCTCCCCACTACTCTCAGCCTCCCCTCCTCTTCTCCCAGTTCACCCCTCGTCTCCCCACTACTCTCAGCCTCCCCTCCTCTTCTCCCAGTTCACCCCTCATCTCCCCACTACTCTCAGCCTCCCCTCCTCTTCTCCCAGTTCACCCCTCCTCTCCCCACTACTCTCAGCCTCCCCTCCTCTTCTCCCAGTTCACCCCTCATCTCCCTTCCGCTCCCACCGCCCCCCCACTCACCCGTCATCCCCCCCCTCTCCCCTCCCACCCCCCACCCCCCCCCCCCTCCCCCTCACCGCTCAACTTTCTCACTCCCCTCCCCAGTCCTCACGTCCTAACCATTCCCGATACCCCCCTCCATCCCCTCACCTTTCCCCCACTCACCCCTCAACTGCCCCACCCATTCACTCCTCACTACCTTTTCCCATCCATCCCCTCTCTCCAGTTCCTTCCCCCCAACCAACCCACATTCCCCCTCCGCTCACCCTTCATCTCCTCATTCCCATCCATCTCTCACTCCGGACCCTTCCCCCCAACCAACCCACATTCCCCCTCCGCTCACCCTTCATCTCCTCATTCCCATCCATCTCTCACTCCGGACCCTCCCCCACCCCCCTCTCTCCTGCCTCTCCTAACCATCCGTCGTTCGCCCTGCCCCTACCCCTCATCTCACTGCTCTCCTCAATTACCTCTCCCGCTCACCCCCTCATCTTCCGTTCCCCGTCCCTGCTACTTGTCCTCTTGCCTCTGCTCCTTGCATCTGCTCCTTCCCTTTGCTGTCTTTGTTTGGGCTCTCTGTGTGACTGCCTGCCTTTGCAGCCTGCCATTTGACTCCTCAGCTGCCCGTCTGGCACGTGGCTGCATGTGATGTGACTGCTGCTCATTCATGACTGCTGCTAGTGACATGACCGCTGCTAGTGACTGCTGCTCATGACCGCTGCTAGTGACTGCTGCTCATGACTGCTACTAGTGACTGCTGCTAGTGACTGCTGCTCATGACTGCTGCTAGTGACTGCTGCTTGTGACGGGACTGCTGCTTGTGAGTGCTGCTTGTGAGAATTAGGGCTACCGTATATTGGATTCATGTAAGAATGGTTTAGGGAAAATGAGGCACGGATTACCATAATAAGCCGTTAGATTGATATGAGTGGTGTGAGAAAGAAATCAAACCTCCTCCTGCTGTTCGTGACATTGCAGGCGTGTACCGTATATTGGTGCGATAATATTACAGGCTTATACACATTGGAGATAGATTACAGGCTAATATACGGAACATTGCAGAGATACCAAATTACAGGCTACTAGTATACATTGCAGAGATAGATTACAGGCGAATATACAATACACTGCAAAAAGGTTCAGTAACCCTGCTCTCTTTCACTCCTCCTCACCCACTTGCAATCCCGGCTGCAATGCCACAATCTCCTCTGCTTCCTGGGAGCAACGAGGGGGGTGGTAGTGGTGGTGGTGATGGTGGTGGAGTGGAAAAACAGGAGAAGCGGAGGATGAGACGGTGGGGTTGCTTCAAGAGCTGGTGGCGGTGAGTGCTCCCTTTCACTCATCCTCCTCATCCACTTGCAATTCCGGCTGCAATGCCACAATCTCCTCTGCTTCCTGGGAGCAATGAGGGTGGTGGTGGTGGTGCGGGCGGGGCAAGAATTGGTAGTGCGTGCTCCCTTTCACTCATCCTCCTCATCCACTTGCAATTCCGGCTGCAATGCCACAATCTCCTCTGCTTCCTGGGAGCAATGAGGGTGGTGGTGGTGGTGCGGGCGGGGCAAGAATTGGTAGTGCGTGCTCCCTTTCACTCATCCTCCTCATCCACTTGCAATTCCAGCTGCAGTGCCACAATCTCCTCTGCTTCCTGGGAGCAAAGAGGGGAATAGTGGTGTGGGCGGGGCAAGAATTGGTAGTGAGTGCTCCCCTTCACTCATCCTCCTCATCCACTTGCAATCCTGGCTGCAAGCACACAATCTCCTCTGCTTCCTGTGAGCAATGAGAGGGATGGCAGTGGTGGTGGTGATGGTGGAGTGGAGAAACAGGAGAAGCAGAGGAGGAGACGGTGGGGTTGCTTCAAGAGTTGGTGGTGACTGTTCCCTTTCACCCCTCCTCCCTCCTCATCCACTTGCAATCCCGGCTGTAATGCCAGAATCTCCTCTGCTTCCTGGGAGCAATGAGGGGGGTGGTAGTACTAAAGAGAGAGAGAAGACAATGAGACGGGTTGTGATGTCAACCTGTGAAGGAAAGAAACAGATGAGCATCATCAGAACACAACGGGAGTCAGCTTTTGAGGCGCTTCAGAGACAAGTGGCAGGTTAATGCTGGGGTGCATCCCGTTTGAGAATTCTCTAAAGTGGCGGTATAATGCGGGGGGTCATTCCAACAACCTCTACTCCTGAGGTCCTCAGACACTCATAACCCAACAGACCGACTTATTAGGCGCCTCTAATATCACTTTTGAGGAGCTTCAGAAGTCAACTGACGGGTTGATGCTGGGGTGCATTCCAACAACCTGACTGACCTTAAACTCCTGAGGGTCCTCAAACCGACAATCCACCAGACTTGAACGCTTTTTGAGTCGACTCAAAAAGTGATGCATAACCCACCAGACTGACCTTGAACGCGTTTGGAAATGCCTTTCTCAACTTCGCCTTCATTTCCCTGCACGCACCGCACAGCACAGCACAGCATGGCACAGCACGGCACAGCATGGCACGGCACGGCACGGCACGGCACGGCACGGCACGGCACGGCACGGCACGGCACGGCACGGCACGGCACGGCACACACACCCTCTCAGGCACATTGAGGTCATATGGATGTCACAGGCATTCCAATTCAAGCCCATTCTGTCAGTCGTTGTGCAATGCGTGCAGTTATGCAATGTGTGGACGCATAATGGGGGCCTCGGACGCAGGGTAACTAAGACGTCTCATAAATCAGTGTGGGAAGGTCAGACATAGGCGCCTCACCCCAACCCCCACCCTCCCCATTTCTTTCGCTTCTTCCAGCTCTCCGAACCCGCGAATCACCTGATTTCCTTCCCCGACACCCACCACTCCCCCTCCCCCCCTTCATGACAACCACACCTGATTGTCCGGAACGAGCGCATGAGATCTGCCTGCACTGCATGCAGCGATGCCGTGTACGCGCGCATGCTGGGGGCCTCGGACGCCAGCGCCTTGAGCGAGAATGCGTTGAAATGCGCCAAGATGGCCGCCGTGTCTTGTAGCGCGCCAAGGCTGGTAGAGTGGAGGGGGGGAGGGGAGAGAGGGACAAGGGGGATCACAGGGAATGCGCATGGCAGGGGGTTCAGACGCCAGCGCCTTGAGCGAGAATGCGTTGAAATGCGCCAAGATGGGTGGTGGAGTGGAGGGGAGGAAGAGGAGGAGAGGGACAAGGGGAAACCACAGGGAACGCGCATGGGGAAAGGGGGATGCGGGGCGGGTGTGGGGGGGAACTTTTGAGACGTCTCAAGAGCACAGGGAAAATAGAAGACTAGTAGGTGGGGGAAAATCGGGAGGGTGCGGGAGAGATAAAAGGAAAGGATAGGAAAATGGAATGGATGAGGAATGGTATGACATTCGGTTGGAATGGAGGGACAAGGCTCACAGCGCCTGCTACTCATCCTGTGCGCTCCCTGCATGCCTCACCTCTCCCCTTGCGCCTCCCGCACTGCGCCCATGTCCGCCGCATCTACCAGCGCGCGGATCCGCTCCGCCAATCCCTCCGCCAATCCTTCCGCCGAACCGTCCGCCAATCCCTCCGCGGAACTCTCCTCCACTCCGTCTCGTCCACTAGGAACCCCCGCGGAAGCCGCTTCCCTCTCCGCCAGTCCCTCCGCCAATCCCTCCGCCAATCCTTCCCCCAATCTCTCCCTCACACCCTCCGCCACTGCGTCTCGTCCGCCGATCCCCTCGGTGGCCATTCCCCCGTCCGGTAATCTCCGCTCCGCCCCGCCTGCGCTCTCCGCCTCCCCACCCTCCGCTTCCCTCTTCCCCATGCACCCCTGACCACCGCTCTGAACCGTCGTGGCATGAAATTCTCGAGACTCATGAGCTACCGTCACAGCCGCGTCGCCTCGGCTTGCGCTATCCGCCGCTCCTGCCGTTCTATCTGACAAATTGGCCCCTACCACCACCTCGATGCACCCATCAGCACCGCTCTGAACCGCGGTATCATATCCTCCAGCCCCCAGCTCCTGTACTGCCGTGACGGGTGTGACGGCGGCTTGCGCTATCCGCCGCACCTCCATCGCCCAACCGCGTATCACTCGCCACACTATCACTTATCCGCGCACCTCCCCCTCTATCGCCCACCCGCGTATCTCCCACCATCAGGAAAAACAAATGTGCAACGGTCGGAATCGAAGCGGCACGGATTTCACGCGATGCTCGGATTTCCCCGCATCTGGTATTTTCAAGGACGATTGCGCGCGAATCTCGGCCGCGTGTGGCGGGAAGCAGGGGCTGATTAGGAGGATGCGGGGACGGAGTTTGGCCCAGGTATATAGACAAACTGCTTCTCTACCCTTTATAAGTTGTGCTCCGATAAAGTTTACGTAACCCATCTCGATGAGTGTAGTAGTAAAATTGTTGCAGGAACGGAATCATAGCATGTATGTCCGAGCAGGATGGACAATCAGTTGTTCAACCAATTTAGCTATGTGTGGTATAATGTATGTTTCTCATATGACTAATGTACTGGTATTGCTAGTACAGGTTGTACCATTGCACATCACTATAGTACAAGCAACACGTAAGCACAACCTCTAAATGTACCTGGCCAAGATTCTCTCAATCTATACATCAAAACAAATACAACAGTCGCATGAAGCACAGGTACGAAGAAGCAATTTGATTCCACCTCACTCAAATCTCCCCTCTATGCTCTTCTCAGCTCACCCACTGTTTCTCACATGCTCCCCTATGAGTTGGGCTCATAACAAGGGCCGAATTACACTTCTTGGAAGGTGCAATTCAACGAAGCTTCACCTTTCCAGAGCTCCTTTCCTCACTTTTTGGGCCGAACATCAAATCTTCAAGGCTTTACTTCTTGAGACCTGCATACATGGCGTCGATTTGTGCCTGGTGGTGGGCAGAGGAGAGGAGGACAGAGGCAAGGGGGACAGAGGCAAGGGGGACAGAGAAAAGAGGGTAGAGTCAAGAAGGGCAGTTGTGAGGAAAAAGTCAAACTGGACAATGCACTGACCACAGAACCGAACAAGTCCGTCTGCATGCCAAGACCAGAGTGTTGCCACCTGCCTCAACACTGAACCCACCTGGTAGTACTTGAGCAGCTGAGGGTGCTTCTTCTTGAATTTGGGTTTGGGAAGATGCAAGAAGCACTGTTGCAGGGTGCAGCGATACAAGGCGAAGCACTGCAGGTGCAGGCAACCCACCTGGTAGTACTTGAGCAGCTGCGGGCGCACCCCCCCTGCTGTGCAAGCACCCTCCCTGCTGCAACCCACCTGGTAGTACTTGAGCAGCTGAGGGCGCTTCTTCTTGAACGTGGGCGTGAGCAGGTCTCTCTCCATGTCAAACGGCTCTGCCTCCAGATGCACCGCCTTCACCATCTCGAAGCCCTTCAGCTGGTGGCGAGATAGGGCACACGGGGGCACAGGGTAGCAGTGAAGGAAGATACGGGGGGGACGGGGGAACGTGAGCAGGTCCCTCTCCATGTCGAAGGGCTGTGGCTCCAGATGCACCGCCTTCACCATCCCAAAGCCCTTCAGCTGGAGGGGAGCACAGAGCAACGGTAAAGGAGAGGGGGAGGGGGAGGGGGTGCGTCAGCAGATCTCTCTCCAGGGTATAGTATGGTAGATTGCACATGAAGTGTGAAGGGTGATGCGGGGTGAAGGGATGAAATAAAAAAGAAGACAGACAGCCCGAGAATCTTACCTTGCCCTTCTTGCCCGTGTCGGTCAGCTGCCCGAGAATAAACTTCTTTGCCTCCTCAGTGGCGCACAGGGCAGCATAATCCCCCTCCACGCCCGCCCCCTTGGCCCACTCGAGCAGCGCTGGCTTGTTTGGCACCACCACCGCCACCAGCACTGCCTCAAAGCTGTTGCCATACACCCACACCTGGTGGTAATCAGATGAGTGAGCGAGGGAGGGGGAGAGGGAGTGAACGTGTGGGACAAAGCAGCATAACCCCCCTCCACGCCCGCCCCCTTGGCCCACTCTAGCAGTGCTTGCTTGTTTGGCACCACCACCGCCACCAGCACTGCTTCAAAGCTGTTGCCATACACCCACACCTGGTGGGAGGGAAGGAAGGGAGGTAAAGAACGTGAGACAGCGAAACAGCATGACTGCCAAATCAAACACATGGCCAAACCGCCAGAGCAACGCACCATGTGAAGCAACGCACCATGTGAAGATATTCGCCTGTTCACCCGACAGACCGACCGACAGACCAACTCACCATGTCGATAGCGGAGCAGTTGACATACACGTCCTCCATTGATGAGACGATTCTTGAGTCGACTCAAGAACCATACACGTTCTCCAGATCCTCCCAGCCACGTACTCGCCCTGCGCCAGCTTGGAGAGAGATTCGCATGCTCACCCTAGCAAGCACCAGCGTTGATGGTACCGGCACGGATGGCACTACGCACACACATGGCCAAATAAAGAGAGACCGACCGACTCACCATGTCCAAAGCCGTGCAGTTGCCAAACACGTTCTCCAGATCCTCCCAGCCACGTACTCGCCCTGCGCCAGCTTGGAGAGAGATTCGCATGCTCACCCTAGCAAGCACCAGCGTTGATGGTACCGGCACGGATGGCACTATGCACACACATGGCCAAATATAGAGAGACCGACCGACTCACCATGTCCAAAGCCGTGCAGTTGCCAAACACGTTCTCGAGATTCTCCACAGCAACATACTCCCCCTGCGCCAGCTTGAAGATATTTTCATGTTCCCGAGACTACCAGCAAGGATGGTACTAGTACTACCGCCAACATGACACACTCACCATGTCAAGCGCCGTGCAGTTGCCAAACACGTTCTCGAGATTCTCCACAGCCACATACTCCCCCTACGCCAGCTTGAAGAGATTTTCATGTTCCCCTTACGACCGGCAAGGATGGTTCTAGTACTACCGCCAACATGAGCAACTCACCATATCCAAAGCCGTGCAGTTGCCAAAGACGTTCTCGAGATTCTCCACAGCCACATACTCCCCTTGCGCCAGCTTGAAAATATTCTTCTTCCGATCGATGATCTTCATCGACCCATCCGCCTGCCACTCCCCAATGTCGCCCGTGTGGAACCACCCCTCCGCATCCACCGCCTCCTTCGTCAGATCCTCCCGCTTGTAATACCCCGAGAAGAGAATCGGCCCGCGAATGCACACCTCCCCCCGCGGGGGGTGCGCCTGCGCCGCCTGGGCCTCCCCTGATTCTCCTGCCCCGGATTCTCCTTCCTGCTTGGTGCTGCCGATAGCATCGTAGTTCATTTCGGGGATGGATTCGAGGCGGGTTTCGAGCGTGGGCATGGGCGGGCCCACTGTGCCGGCCTGCTCGATGCGATCGGCGTATGAGATGAAACCACTCGTGTTGGTCTCCGTCAGACCTGAGGTTTGGCAATGAAAAATCCAAGAAGATTTACAAGAGAAGAGGGGAAAGGGGGGTGGGGGAGAGAAGAGGGTCTCTTGAGCGTGGGCAAGGGCGGGCCGACGGTGCCGGCCTGCTCGATGCGATCCGCATGCGAGATGAACCCGCTCGTGTTGGTCTCCGTCAGGCATGAGAGGAGAGGGGATGCATGGGGGGGTCGCAATGGGCATGTGGTCGGCGCACGAGCGGGAGTGGGCATGGGCGGGCCGACAGTGCCGGCCTGCTCAATGCGATCCGCATACGAGATGAACCCGCTCGTGTTGGTCTCCGTGAGACCTGGGTGTGTTGGGGAGAAGCGGGCGCAAAAGGGAGGGTTGTGAAGGGCATTAAGGTACAATGGGCGGGCCGACTGTGCCGGCCTGCTCGATGGGATCCGCGTACGAGATGAAGCCGATGCAACTGGTGTTGACCTCGGTCAGACCTGGGGGATTGGAACGAAGGACTAGGGAAAGAGAAAGTGAAGGACAAGAAAATTTGAAAGCGAAAGCAAAAACGGAAAAAAGGGGTCAATCATTGACATACCCTGGCTCTCAAGTGACTCACCATACCTCTGCACCACTCACCATACCTCTGCACCATGGGGCACCACATGGCGATCTTGAGAAACTCCTCCACGTGAGGGGCCAGCGGGGCAGCACCGCATTGCACCACTCTATAACCCAGTCAATTGGCAACAAACTCACCGTACCCCTCTCAATCTCACTGTACCGCTCTCAAACTCACCATACCCCTGCACCACGGGGCAGCACATGGCGATCTTCAGAAACTCCTCCACGTGAGGGGCCAGAGGGGCGGCGCCGGAGCAAATAATCCGCACGTTGCCGCCCAGCCGTACCTTGATCTGTGGCAGGAGTGAGGTGGAGGAAAGACGTGGGGGTGGGGGATTGAATATGGGTGTGGCGTGTCGGATCTATCTTCTCTCCTGCTGCTCTGCTGCCGCCTGTGTGTGTTCATTGTTCAAAGCACCTCCCACCCACACAAACTCACCTTGATAAAAACAAGCAAATCAAATATGGGTGTGGCGTGTCGGATCTTCTCCCCTGCTGCCAGCCACGCTTGCTTGCAACCTTTTCAAGGCTAAAGACTCCTCTCCAACCCACCCACTCACCTTGCTGAAGACGAGGAAATCAAAGATGGGCGTGGCGTCGCGGATCTTCTCCCCTGCCAGTGCCATCCGCGTGTGTTCATTGTTCAAGGCACCTCTTCCGAACGCACGTGCACCTCCCTCCCTTCTCCCACCCACCCACTCACCCACCCACCTACCCACCCACAGACGAGCAAGCCGAAGATGGGTGTCGAATCTTCACCCCTGCCGCTGCCACCTGTGTGTGTTCATTGTTCAAGGAACTTCTACAAAAATGCACCGCCCTTCTTCCACCCACCCACTCACCTTGCTGAACACGAGGAAATCGAATATGGGCGTGGCGTCTTGAATCTTCACTCCCGCTGCCATCCGCGCTTGCTTGCTGCTGTAGGCATAGTCGAACAGCATCTTGGTGAGCCCGCCTGTGGACTCGATCTTAGAGATGACGGCTGGGAGGAAGGGAAGGGGATAGAGAAGGCACAGGGAAAGGGAAATGAGGTAGGTGCACAGGAGCCTGCCTGTCTTCCCTGCTTCCTTGCTTGCTTGCTGCTGTAGGCACAGTCGAACAGCATCTTGGTGAGCCCGCCTGTGGACTCGATCTTAGAGATGACGGCTGGGAGGAAGGGAAGGGGATAGAGAAGGCACAGGGAAAGGGAAATGAGGTAGGTGCACAGGAGCCTGCCTGTCTTCCCTGCTTCCTTGCTTGCTTGCTGCTGTAGGCACAGTCGAACAGCATCTTGGTGAGCCCGCCTGTGGACTCGATCTTAGAGATGGCGGCTGGGAGGAAGGGAAGGGGATAGAGAAGGCACAGGGAAAGGGAAATGAGGTAGGTGCACAGGAGCCTGCCTGTCTTCCCTGCTTCCTTGCTTGCTTGCTGCTGTAGGCACAGTCGAACAGCATCTTGGTGAGACCGCCCGTGGACTCGATCTTGGAAACCACGGCTGGGATGGTGAGGTGAAGGCACAGGAGAGAAAGAGGAAATACAGGGAGAATGAAGTGCCTGCAAGCGCGCTTGCTTGCTGCTGTAGGCACAGTCGAACAGCATCTTGGTGAGACCGCCCGTGGACTCGATCTTGGAAACCACGGCTGGGATGGTGAGGTGAAGGCACAGGAGAGAAAGAGGAAATACAGGGAGAATGAAGTGCCTGCAAGCGCGCTTGCTTGCTGCTGTAGGCACAGTCGAACAGCATCTTGGTGAGACCGCCCGTGGACTCGATCTTGGAAACCACGGCTGGGATGGTGAGGTGAAGGCACAGGAGAGAAAGAGGAAATACAGGGAGAATGAAGTGCCTGCAAGCGCGCTTGCTTGCTGCTGTAGGCACAGTCGAACAGCATCTTGGTGAGACCGCCCGTGGACTCGATCTTGGAAACCACGGCTGGGATGGTGAGGTGAAGGCACAGGAGAGAAAGAGGAAATACAGGGAGAATGAAGTGCCTGCAAGCGCGCTTGCTTGCTGCTGTAGGCACAGTCGAACAGCATCTTGGTGAGACCGCCCGTGGACTCGATCTTGGAAACCACGGCTGGGATGGTGAGGTGAAGGCACAGGAGAGAAAGAGGAAATACAGGGAGAATGAAGTGCCTGCAAGCGCGCTTGCTTGCTGCTGTAGGCACAGTCGAACAGCATCTTGGTGAGACCGCCTGTGGACTCGATTTTAGAGATCACGGCTGGCATCATGAGATGAAGATAAGGGGATAAAGGGGGCAGCGGGGATGGGAAGTGAGTTCGGTGCATGTGTGCCTGCCGCGCTTGCTTGCTGCTGTAGGCACAGTCGAACAGCATCTTGGTGAGACCGCCTGTGGACTCGATTTTAGAGATCACGGCTGGCATCATGAGATGAAGATAAGGGGATAAAGGGGCCAGCGGGGATGGGAAGTGAGTTCGGTGCATGTGTGCCTGCCGCGCTTGCTTGCTGCTGTAGGCACAGTCGAACAGCATCTTGGTGAGACCACCTGTGGACTCGATCTTAGAAACCACGGCTGGAGGGGCAGGAGAATGAAGAGAAGATGGGAGGTGCAGAGGGGATGGAAAACGAGGCTGCGGCAACCATGAATGAACCTGTCATTCATGCTCGCTTCCTGCCTTGCTGGCTTACTTGCTTGCTTGTACCTTGTCGAAAGTAGAGAAAGTAGCACCAACACCAGGGGGACGCAAACGCGGGGTGAAGCAAAGGCCGCGTGAAGCAAAGGCAGGGTGAAGCACGAGGGGGCCTTACCCAAGTGGATGCCTATCAAGCAGGCCAATACATGGAGGGGCAGTGATGGGGGCCTACCTGAGTGGATGCGGTCGAAGATGCGCGGCACTCCACAGAAGAAGGTTGGCTTGAGGGCCTCCAAGTCGTCTGTGAGCCGCCTCACGTCCTGATGTGGGGAAGGGGGGGTTGGGTGGGGACCAGGGTGGGTCATACATGAAGCAAGGGAAGAGAAGAGGAGATAAGAGGAGGGGATGGGGTGGGCTTGAGGGCCTCCAAGTCGTCTGTGAGCCGCCTCACGTCCTGATGTGGGGAGGGGGGGGTTGGGTGGGGTAAGGAGGGGAAATAAGGGAAGAGAAGAGAACGAGAAGCGAGAGGAAGGTGTGAGATGCGAGGTAGGCTTGAGGGCCTCCAAGTCGTCTGTGAGCCGCCTCACGTCCTGGTGGCGTGGAGATAGTGTGGCGGAAGGGGAGAGGAGGGACGAGAAGAGAACGGGAGGAGAGGGGAGGGGAAGGGAGGGAAAGGGAGTGGAGGGGAGGGAATGGGAGGGGAGGGGAGGGGAGGTGACAATATGATCTCACGTCACGGTGGCACTCATAAAGCACAAAACCTGCACCCAACACGTCTGCACCCCTCACCACCGCGTTTCACCCCCCACCACCACATTCCACCCCTCATCACTTCATTGCACCCCTCACCACCACGTCTTCCCACGGCATCTCACCCCTTGCCAGAAGCCAATGGAGCCGCCCACGTGCGTCATGAGCTCCTCTGCCACGCATATGTGCACCACAGAGTCATAGACCCTACCACATCTCACCCCACACGCATCTCACCCCTCACCACCGCGTCTCACCCCTCGGGACTCACCCCTTGCCAGAAGCCAATGGAGCCGCCCACGTGCGTCATGAGCTCCTCTGCCACGCGGTCGAATATGTGCGCGAGAGGCAGGTAAGAGACATACACATCCGATTCGGTGAGCTGCGAGGGTGAGAGGAGGGAAGGCAGGGGGGGACATACACAGAAAAGATTGAGGGGAGGAGGGAGAGAGAGGTGATGAGCTCCTCTGCCACGCGGTCGAATATGTGCGCGAGAGGGAGGTAAGAGACATACACATCCGATTCGGTGAGCTGCGAGGGGGGTGGGAATAGGCAGGCAGGGAAGAGACCAATAAGAGGAGAGAGGTGACGAGCTGCTCTGTCACGCGGTCAAAGATGTGCGCGAGGGGCAGGTAAGACATGTAGATGTCTGTTGCTGTGAGCTGTGATGGGGGGGGGGAGAGGGGGAGAAGGCGGGGAATAAACAGCACATCAAGGGGAGGAGGAGGAGAAGAGAGGTGATGAGCTGCTCTGTCACGCGGTCAAAGATATGCGCCAGCCAGGGGCAGGTAAGACATGTAGATGTCCGCTTCCGTGAGCTGTGATGGGGGATGTGGGGGGAATGGGGGGCAGAAGATGGGCGGAACAGGCAGGGAAGGGCACAATAGGGGTACGGGGAGGGAAAAAAGGCAATGAGCTGCTCTGCCACGCGGTCAAAGATGTGCGCGAGGGGCACCTGGGAGATGTAGATGTCTGTTGCTGTGAGCTGTGTTGGGGGGGGGCGAGTAGGATGCAGGGGACGGACGGAACAGGCAGGGAAGGGCACAATAGGGGGAGGAGGAGGAGAGAGGCAATGAGCTGCTCTGCCACGCGGTCAAAGATGTGCGCGAGGGGCAGGTAGGAGATGTAGATGTCCGTCGTTGTGAGCTGTGTGTGTGGGAGGGAGAGAGTGAGAAACACATAAGAGGGATGAGGAGGACAGCGAGAGGCAATGAGCTGCTCTGTCACGCGGTCAAAGATGTGCGTGAGGGGCAGGTAGGAGATGTAGATGTCCGTCGTTGTGAGCTGTGTGTGTGGGAGGGAGAGAGTGAGAAACACATAAGAGGGATGAGGAGGACAGCGAGAGGCAATGAGCTGCTCTGTCACGCGGTCAAAGATGTGCGTGAGGGGCAGGTAGGAGATGTAGATGTCCGTCGTTGTGAGCTGTGTGTGTGGGAGGGAGAGAGTGAGAAACACATAAGAGTGATGAGGAGGACAGCGAGAGGCAATGAGCTGCTCTGTCACGCGGTCAAAGATGTGCGCAAGGGGCAGGTAGGACATGTAGATGTCCGTCGTTGTGAGCTGTGATGGGGGACGGCGAGGCAGGGAAGGGAGCAGCGGGGGGAGAGGTGCAACAAGTTCCTCTGCCACGCGGTCGAATATGTGCGCGAGGGGCAGGTGGGAGATGTAGTGTGGATGTCTGTTGCTGTGAGCTGGTGGGGTTGGTGAGGGGGAGAGTGAGAAACACATGAGAGGGATGAGGAGGAGAAGAGAGCCAATGAGTTCCCCTGCCACGCGGTCAAATATATGCGCGAGAGGGAGGGGAACTCGTTCTCCTGAGACGCACACGGCTGTCAGGTCGATTCCACTTTTGAGTCGACTCTTGAGTCGACTTGACTTTTGAGTCGACTCAAAAGTCACCACGCGGTCAAATATATGCGCGAGAGGGAGGTACGAGATGCCCACGGCTGTCGGGTCGATTCCAGAAGCAACAGTGTAAAAACCACCCAAATCGCTTGCACAAATCTTCTTCCATCTCCCTTCCTTTCCCCCACCCCTCTTCCTCCTCATCCCTCCCCTGCCCCTCCCCCACCACCCCCGCCTCCTCCTCCCCCTGTCCCCTCCCCTGCTCCCACTCACCACGCAGTTGTTGACCTCGCAGAACCGCTTGGTGCCCGCCACGGCAGTGGCGAGAGCATGATTCGTTATCATCACGCCCTTGGGCTCGCCCGTGGTGCCTGTGGGTTGAGGTGAGGGAGACAGGACAACAAGGGGGACGGTAGGACAGATGAGTGGGTGAGGGAGAACGAGGGCACGATTCGTTATAAGCACGCCCTTGGGCTCTCCCGTGGTGCCTGTCGGTCGGTTGAGGGTGGGAAGAGAAAAAGGAGCAAGGTTGAATTGTTGAGTGGAGTAATGTGAGTCAAGTCAAGGCTGAATCAGATCAGATCACACGGTGTGAATCACACACACCCGAATGTGTGTGTACCTGATGGTGCACAGATTCCTCAAGTCAGACAGACCTGTGCACCTGATGAGCACTTAGTTTTACACAGAGCTTAAAAACAAGGAAGTCATTATTAATAAAAGTGTGGTAGAAGGCAATGAAAGTTTACCGCTGTTGTTCGTTTGCTTTAAGCCTACTGCACACACGCAGCTCACTGAGAAATGTCTGAACCTCACAGATTCCACAAGAAAGACCTGTGAAACCACCTTAATTCAGCTGAGGAGTACCTGAGGAAGCACCTGAACCCACCTGTGGAAGCACCTGAACCACCTGAGAAAGCACCTGTCTGAACCCACCTGAGGAAGCACCTGAACCCACCTGAGGAAGCACCTGAACCCACCTGAGGTGTACATGATGGTGCAGATGTCCTCTGGCTTGGATGGGCATGGCTCCACTGGCTTCGCCTCTCCCTGATGGGTGGGAAGCGTGGGGGTGGGAGAGAAGGAGAAGGGGGGACGAGTGGGAAGGGAGGAATGGGATGAGGGGAGGACTCAACATGGCTCCACTGGTTGTGCCTCGCCCTGGTGAGATGGGTGGAGGGAATGGGATGGGCAGGGGAGAGGGTGGGGAATGGGACCAGCATTGACCAGCATTGACCAGCAGTAACTGGCAACAGAATTGAATCACCTTTCCCGGCATTGATCGACACTGACTCCCATGTCTGCCCACGCCTGCCAACCGCCGTATTGATTTATGAGGCGCCTAGCTGTTCACTGCCATTGACCAGCGTTGACCAGCGTTGACTCACCTCCTTGAGAAAGTCGTCCCAGCTGACTCCTCAGATGCCCATGTCTGCCAGCGCATTAGCTGACAATTAGTCGCCTCAGCAGTTGACTACCATTGACCTGAGTTGACCTGCGTTGACTGACCTCTTTCAGAAAGTCGTCCCAGCTGACTCCCCGAATGCCCATGTCTGTGAGCGCCTTAGCTGAATCCGCATCCAGGTCCCCCATGCTCACCACCGCTGGTGGGGGGGGGGGGGAGAGAGAAGAGAGTAGCAGAGGAGGGAGTAGGAAGGGATGCGGATGGGTTGAGACACCCAGGTGACTCCTCGGATGCCCATGTCTGACAGCGCCTTGCCTGACTCCGCATCCAGCTCCCCCATGCTCACCACCGCTGGTGGGGAGGAGAGGGGGGAGGGGAGAGGGAGGAGGGGAGAGGGGGGACAAGTGACGGGTGCCTTGTGATTCACTCAGGATTCGACTTGGCTGACTCCACATCCAGCAAAGGGAAGAGGGAAGAAGGGAGGAAAGGAGAGAGAGGAGGAAGAGAAAAGCGGTGGGAGAGATAGAAATGGAGGGGGAGGAGGGGGAAAGGGAGAGGGTGAGGGTGAGAGATGGGAGGGAGAAAGCAGGAAACTCAGCAGCAGGGTTGACAAAAAGAATGTGACAGCATTTCCATGCCAGCATCTCGTGAAGGAAGGTGGAATGGAAGAGAGGGTGGGTGGGAGGGTTCGGAAACTGTCAAGTTTGCGATAGGTGGGGTGTGTGCGAAGCAGGTACAGCTTCATATTTGAGGAATGAACTTCCCTTGGGAGAGAATGGAAGAAGAAAGAAAACGAGAAAAAAAACTTAGGCAAACAAAAGAACAGTTATAAGGAATGCCCCCCAACCCCCAGCACCCAGCCTCCCCCCCTCCGAACCGTGGCCCCAGCCCCAGCCCCCCGCCCCCCGACCGCACCCCCAACCCCCAACCCCAACACCCCGCCCCCCCGACCGCACCCCCAACCCCCAAGCCCCAGCCCCAAGCCCCAAGCCGCAGGGGACTTACTCTTGACGTTCTCGGTGCAGTTAGGCAGGCTCTTGAGCAACTGCACATGCAGATAGCAGAGTGGCGAGGACGAGGGGCGAGGGCGTAAGGGAGTGCACGCGAAGGAGAGGAAACAGTATTGAGCAGGCATGCAACATGAGAAGCAGGCGCACTTGGGTTAAACGGGATTGCATGGGAATGAGAACAATGCGTCTGCAGTTAGGCAAGCTCTTGAGCAGCTGGGGATAGCAGAGGGGCGAGGGGCAAGGGGCAAGGGGCAAGGGGCGAGGGGCGAGGGACGAGGAGCGAGGGAGAGGAAAGAGAGAGGGACGTTCGGAGTGAAAAGCAGGCTCAATTTGAGTGAGTAGGCACACGGACGGACCACTAGGTACAAGGACTGAAAAGCACACGGACCAGCTGGGAAGTAGAACTGAGTCCCAGGGAATCACGGACTCACAGCAGGTAGCTTGGTTGCTTGCACGACCACGAGAGCCACTTCAGCATGGTTGAGAATGAAAGACACCGCCTCGGCGCCTGATGGAGGGGAGGGAAAGGAGAGTGAACGAGCAGAGACAGAGGGTGGTGTGATACACAGCAGGGAGTGAAGGAGGAGGAGGGCTGCTTGCACGACCACGAGCGCCACTTCAGCATGGTTGAGAATGAAAGACACTGCCTCGGCGCCTGCATGAAGGGAAGAGTGAGGAGAGGAGAGGGAGAGCAGAGACAGAGGGTGGTGTGAAATACAGCAACTATCGACTGAGGCACTCAGCATGCCATACACACCCTTACACCCATACTCGCTATAGGCTCACCCTGTGTATCATTTGCACGGTTTCAACCATACTCACTGTACAGTGCACCATACGCAACATTGCTCCTATACTCGTTAGTGACTCACCCAGTGTATCGTAGAGCGGCACGCACTGCATGGACTGACAGTTGCATGCCTGGGGGAACACAAGGGGATTGAGCGTGCAAGGGACGCGCAGGGAAGTGTTGAGTCAACTCAAAAGTGGAGCGAGCGACAAAGCAGTGTCTCCAAGTTGTCCAGCAGGTTAGGCATGCAGAGGTTAGGCATGCAGAGGTTAGGCATGCAGAGGTTAGGCATGCAGAGGTCAGGCATGCAGCGTGTGCTTCAAAACGCAAGCAGAATGACTGAAGAGAGGCATCTCAGAATTCGTGCAAAGGGAAAGCAGGAAGCAACTACTACGTCGATTCAACAGTTGGCCGTGCAAGCAGCACGTACCTCCATGGCCATGAACCACTCGGGCGAGTTGATCCCGTGGACGGGACGGAGAGACAGTGCTACATCGAGTAGAGCGCACCTCCCAGAGAGCACCCCCCCTCCCACGGCACGTACCTCCTACCACAGTGCGTACCTCCATGGCCATGAACCATTCGGGTGAGTTGATCCCGTAGATGCCCACCTTGGCGTTCTGATGGAAAAGGGATGTGGTGGGATACAGACAGGAAGGAGTTGAGAGAGGTACAAAAGGAGTTGGGAGTGGTGGGCGGGAGCTGGGTAACATGAGCCACTCGGGCGAGTTAGTGCCATAAATTTCCACCTTGGCGTTCTGACAAGTGACTCACACCATCCGCGCCAACAGCGCGATACGCTAACCATCCTTCTTCCCCTTTTTCCTTCCCACCCCTCTTGCCGCACAACATTCTTCCCTTCGTCCGACCCACCTTCCACCCTCATCCGCCTCCCCCATCCCCCCTTTCCCTCCCTGAACTCATAGCATCCATCCAGTCCAGCAGAACGCTGATGCCCCTCCCCCTTTCCCTCCTGCCCCCCACCTTTCCCTCGTGCTCCCTCCCGTTCCCTGCACTCACCGCTTCCAGCCCAGCAGCACGGTATGCCGATCCTAGTTGCAGCACGGTATGCCGATCCTAGTTGCAGCACCTTGTCTTGTCCTGCACCTGGGGAATACGTGTCCCACACGAAGGGACCCCACCTCCCTTTCTCTCCCCCCCACTTTTCCTCCTTCCGCTCCCTCCTTTCCCTGGACTCACCGCATCAAGCCCAGCAGCACGGTACGCTGATCCCAGATGAACCACCTTGTCGTGCACCTCAGAATACGTGTCCCACACAAAGGGACCCGCCTGGGCGAGGGAGGAAAGAGGAGAGAGGGGGGAGGGGTTGAGGGAATAAGGGCAACAAGACTGCGTCCCTGCCTCAGCACCTTGTCGTGCACGTGGGAATACGTGTGTCCCACACAAAGGGACCCGCCTGGGGGAGGAGAGATTGGGGGGGGAGCATGGAGGGGTGGAGGAGAGAAGGAGGGATGAGGGCAGCACGATAAGCTGATCCCAGCTGCAGAACCTGGTCGTGCACCTGGGAATACGTGTCCCACACAAAGGGACCCGCCTGGGGTTGGAAGGGGAAACGGGAGAAGAGCGTGGGGGAGTGTGGGAGAACAAGGGATGAGGGTAACAGGGAAGCGCCCCAGTTGATTGCAGCACAGCACCTTGGCTGCACTGCACCTGGGAATATAGGGCCTGCCTGGGGGAAAGGGGAGATGCGGGAGGAGCGTGGGGGAGTGGAGGGAAAGAAGATGGGATGAGGGCAGCACGATAAGCTGATCCCAGCTGCAGCACCTTGACGTGCACCTGGGAATACGTGTCCCACACAAAGGGACCCGCCTGGGGTTGGAAGGGGAAACGGGAGACGAGTGTGGGGAAGCGTGGGAGAACAAGGGATGAGGGTAACAGGGAAGCGCCCCAGTTGATTGCAGCACAGCACCTTGGCTGCACTGCACCTGGGAATGTAGGGCCTGCCTGGGGGAAAGGGGAGATGCGGGAAGAGCGTGGGGGAGTGGAGGGAAAGAAGATGGGATGAGGGAAGCACGGAACGCTGATCCCAGTGGCAGCACCTTGGCGTGCACCTGGGAATAGGTGTCCCACACAAAGGGACCCGCCTGGAAAGGAGAGGAAAATGGGGTGGGGGGGAGGGGGGGGAGAGATTGGGAAGGGTAAGGGGATAAGTGCACGAAGCGTCCTAGCTGCAGCACCTTGGCGTGCACCTGGGAATACGTGTCCCACACATACGGGCCTGTCTGGGAGTGGGAGAAAAGAGGGAGGAGAGATGGGGGATGAAGGCAGCACGGAACGCTGATCCCAGTGGCAGCACCTTGGCGTGCACCTGGGAATAGGTGTCCCACACAAACGGGCCTGCCTGGGAGTGGGAGAAGAAAAGAGGGAGGCGAATGTGAGGATGGTTAAGGATGGGTGTAGATAAGTGAGGATAGGTGAGGATAGGTGAGGATAGGTGAGGATAGGTGAGGATAGGTGAGGATAGGTGGTTGGGGGTGGGAAAGGGGCAAGGAGGCAGGGAAAAGAGGAGAGAAAAGACGGATGAGTTGCTAGCAAGGAAACGAGAAGAGAAAACAACTGGTGAGGGTGAGGGAGGGGGGACGGCAAGCAGCCGTTACAAGGTTCAGGACCTGAGTTTCGCGCAATACCTTGCCATCTACAATCGAGCGCTTCCTCAGGAAGATTGCATCCGAACACTACCATTCGTTACAATACAATCCGTTACAAGGTTCAGGACCTGAGTTTCGGGTAATACCTTGCCATCTACGATCGAGCGCTTCCCCAGAAACTGGTTGTCGCCGAACACTACTGTTCGTTACAAGACAATCCGTTACAAGGCCGTGAGCTTCGAATAGTACCTTGCCATCTACGATCGAGCGCTTCCCCAGAAACTGGTTGTCGCCGAACACTACTGTTCGTTACAAGACAATCCGTTACAAGGCCGTGAGGTTCAAATATTACCTTGCCATCTACGATCGAGCGCTTCCCCAGAAACTTGTTGTCGCCGAATCTATACACAGAGGCCCTGAAATTCAGCCACGTGGCGATAGATCATTGGATGCACGTACAGAACAGAACAGCCTCGGTTTAGTCACGATCCCGTGCAGGAAAAGCACAATTTCAAGCCAATCAAAGACCACATGAAGAGGCCACGCCTGGACATTTTTATACACGGTGAGGAGTGAGGCAGAAAGTGACACATAATAGATGAACCGATATCGAGTTTAAGACGTCTACAATGACAAAACAAGGAAGTCTCGACACAAGAGGGACGTGGGATTGCACGACGAGGGATAAAGGAAGCGCGGATAAGCGAGCGAGCCATGCGGTAGGGAGAAGCGAAGGACGCACGTGAAGAGGCTCCACATGGTGTCGATGACTGGGGTCAGGTCGAGGTACGCAATGGTGTCAACCCCGAGCCCCAGGTCGGCGTACGCATCCTTGGCGTAGATGCTGCGATACGTGGGACCTGCGGGCATGAGGAACGGATGAGCGAAATAAGGAAATTACTATTGCGCCCACAGGATGGTTCTGAGCCGACTCTACAATTTGAAGTACGCATCCTTGGCGTAGATGCTGCGATACGTGGGACCTGCGGGTGTGCGTGAGGCGAGAGAAACGGATGAATGAGATAAGGAAATAACCCTTTGAGTCGACTCAACGGGTTGGCGTAACCATCCTTGGCGTAGATGCTGCGATACGTGGGACCTGCGGGTGGGGAAAGGGGCGAGATGAATGCCATAAGGAGACGACTATTGAGTCGACTCAACAGGTTGGTGTACGCATCCTTGGCGTAGATGCTGCGATACGTTGGACCTGCGGACAAGAGAAACAGATGAGCGAACTAAGGAAAAATTTTTTTGAGCGGCCTTTGGGTCGACTCAACAGCATCCTTGGCGTAGATGCTGCGATACGTGGGACCTGCGGATGGGGAAGGGGGCGAATGAATGGAGGAGGTGACTGTTTAGTCGAGTCAAATGGTTGGCGTACGTATCCTTGGCGTAGATGCTGACACGTGGCAACTGCGCACGTGGAAGTCGGCGAGAATGACATCTGAGTCGACGCTAATACGCTAAATTGCATGCTACTATACGCGGAACCTGTGGATGTGGACGGAAGCGAAAATAATATCTGAGTTTATTCTCATACAATCTTAAATTCTGCTATACGTCGGACCTGCGCACATGGATAGAGGCAAACTTTGCATCTGATTCGACTCTGATACATTCTTGAATTCTTCTATTATCGTGGATTTGTGGATGAGGATGGACGCGACGGAAAGAGACGGATGGGTACGGAAGAACACGCAAACACTTCCAAGGGGATGACACGTGGCGTCGCGAGTACCGAACACGACTGTGTATTCGAAAACAGCAAGCTAGCATTACACGTATCTTGGAAAAAAATATTAAAGAAAAAGGGAAACGAACAAGAAACAGCCATAGCCTGACTCGAGAACGACATGAAACCCGCTCGCCTTGTGAAGGGCTTCGATCGCTGGAGGGAACGGCGTCCGCAACCTTGTGCAACCACTAACCATGGACTGCGTTCAGGATTTAGACGTCTAGAAACTGCAGTATGACGCGACGGACAAGACCGACTTGCCTTTTAAGGGGCTTGCATCTGTGGCGGCAACGCGTCCGAAACCTTGTGTAACCATTTGTTTAAGACAGATGTTCAATATTTACACGTCTGAAACGGCAAAAATGTCGCGGCGGACGATTTCGACCGCAGAAAGACGCGACGGACGAGACCGACTTGCCTTTCGAGGGGCTTCCATCAGTGGCGGGAACGGCGTCCGCAACCTTGTGCAGCCACTTCCCAGGACCGACATCCAGATTCTCGGCCATTCTTGTCCAGCTAACGCGACCGCGTTAGTTAGAGATCAGACTTCTATGCGAATGTAGCTGAAATAACGAGACCACTAAAGGCTCGTACTGAAGCGAATGCAGCTAGAAGAATGGAGAAACCCAATGCTTGCAAATCCAAGAAATGTGAATTATGCAAAGCGCTGCTCCATCTGCTCTTCAGAATGCTGTAATTCAGAATTGGCACGAGAGAGATGTCGGGAAAGGCATCCGCACGGATCGGTGCAAAGGCTTTTAGAACGCTTCTACCTGATGTGCTGCGGTGCACACAGACCACACCTTACGCCTTGCTACACCTGTTCTCCGATATCTTCACGGGGTGACATTCCCGAGTCGCGAAAACGATTGCCTGAGAGGGCGTGAAAATAGACAGAGCAATAAAGTCCCTCTTAATTTCACACTCGAGCCGCAAAGTCTGCTGCTGACATGGACAAAAAGTGCACAACGATCTCAGGAAATTTTTCCAGCCATTGCGAAATGACCACGTCAGGATTGCGCGGGGTCGGAACCGACCCGATAAAAAATCAAACCCGTCTATGTTTGTTTCTGAGGAGTTTGTGTCAGCCGTCAAAGCGTTGCATTAAGCTTGTTACATGACGTAACTGAACTTCTGGGCTTTCGTTGAGGTGACACGAAGGCGAAATCCCGCAATCCGAATTCCCTTGCAAACACCAGAAGCTCAAGCGTCCAAGTCACCCCCTCCAGTATAAATTGCGTCATTTCTGTGTGGGGGGGGTCTAGATGTTCAACCACACTTTGGCAGCTCGGCTCCCAACAAAGTTGGGCTGAGGACCCCGAAGTGACACCGAAGCGCGGTGTGAAATTAAGGGTAGTGAAGATATCGGAGAACAGGTTGTAATACAGTCCTGTTTTAGAGCTTGAAGACACGAAACCTCCGACCAGCTTGCATGGACAACACGAAACGCCACATCAGCGTCTCCACACCAACACGAAACCACGAGTGGAGGGAGAAAGGAGGGAGTGGCTACATATCTGGTGTATAAATGACGAGTATTATAGCAGTTAACAATCATCGTTCTCGAAACTGTAAAGCGTAGCGTCCAAATCGCGTTATGCGTTATTCCCCCTCCGCCCATGTTTAGATGCGCATTGAGAGGGTATTCCGCCCTGCCCTTGGTTCGGGCTGAATCCGAACCCAAACAATATCTAAGGTCACGTGAAATATGTTTTCGCGAGACTCGTCAAAGAGGTTCGGCACTTCGTGACACCCTTCACGTGAGGAGGTTGACGAAATGCCACGTCGTCCTAGACGTCGTCAACGAATCACCAACAAATTTGTTGTTCATGCGGAGCTGGCGACAAGCACAGCAGCACGCGAACCAGTCGCAAAAACATCCAACTCTGCTCAAGCCCCTTCCCGGGGCTAGCTTCGAAGGAAGGGGGAGGCGCGCGATTTACAGGCAGCACTTCCTGCGACCCGCGCGACGCCAAGCGGTGCCGCCAAGCGGTGCCGCCAAAGCACACCCTGAACTTTGATTCTTCCCAGACACCCTACATGGTTGAAGGTTTGATGAGACGGACGCCCTAACATTGCGGGTCTATCAGGAATTAACCACCAGGTCAGGCCATTCGAAACTCGAACTTTGTAGTTCGAGTGAGCGGGGAAAATTCCAGTGCCAGATTGTTCCTGCGTTAAGCTCGCATTGAGATTGTGTTACATTAACCCTGAAAATTCTTCGAGCGTTGCTACCTACCTTCGAAATCGGTTTTTTCGAGGGTAGGTACCCCAGGTCGTGAAGATAAAGGGTGTGGAAATATCGGAGAACAGGCAGTAGCGCCACCCCCATAGCTACAGTCTAGCCTCATTTGGGCAGGGGCACAAACAAACCCAATCAAACGCGCAATTACAACCAATCGGAAGAGCCCCAATTGTACTGCCCCTCTCGGCTCCGCGCGCGCGGAAGAGCCCCTAAATTCCTGCCCAAATTGCCCCTTTCAGCCAATCCCATCCCAGCCAAACCAGTTTCTGCCCCCCTCCATTTCCCCATCTACCCGCTCGGATTTGTACGATCCAGATTCTAGATGCTTCCGCGCCAATCTCAAGTTACAGTATCATTTCCAGTCCCACTCGTGGCCCTCTTGAATTTGCAGCTTCTTGCATTCCGCTAAGCTACTCTCGGCAAGAATTCAGACGGAGCTCTCGTTACACAGGCATCCTGTCGCGTTCACTCTTCTTTTCGAGTTATTGTCGCCAAATTGCATTAGCACCACAGCCGACTTCGCCAGTGCAGCAACCATTAGCCATTATCTCAGTACGTGTACCTTCTCGTTGCCTTCTCGTCGCCTAACGTAGCGCCTTATCGTGCCCGCTCCGCCAATCAGCATAGCGCCCTATTTGGCCCGCGCCACCATGTCGGCCGGTGGCGGCGGCGACGGCGGCGGAGTGGAGGTTCTTTCAAGCCCCCATTTCACAAACCACTTGCGCCTTCCCCGCGTGCGCTGCCCGCGCGGAGGCCTCACTCGCGGAACCGTCGGCAGCAGCCCGCGGATGGGGCGGAGCCGCTCCTCTCCTCGCCTGGCCTCTCCGCGCACTCCGCGGCGCCGCACGGGGCGCCTCTCCGCGGGCGCCGCGATGGCGTTTTTCAACACGTGTCGCTCGCCCACTAGCCCGACTTTTGCGACGTTCTTTCAGCTACAGCAGCAACTACAGCAGGAGATACAGCAGGAATTTCAGCAGCATCAATTGCAAAATCAACACCAGCAGCAGCAACAGCAACAACAACATCAGCAGCAGCAGAACGGTCCGCCTATCTGGCGGCCCATATCTCCGCCCATCGTTGATAAATCGCTAGCTCCTGGCGGCAGCTGCGGCGGCGGGGGCGGCGGGGGAAGCAGTGGCGCGGCAAGAAGCGGCGCGGAGGCGGAGTATAGCGCGATGGTGAATGAGGAGCTGCTGCTTTTCTTCTATCGAATGGACTTAAACGCGCGGCTGGAGGTAAAGCGCCGTGAGAGGTATAGCGCAAGTAGGGCGCAGGTACGGCGCAGGTACGGCGCAGGTGTAGTGCAGATAGGGCGCAGGTGAGGCGCAGGTAGGGCGCATGTGAGGCGCATTGGAGGCACAGGTGAGGCGAGGTTAGAGATAAGCCGGCAAAGACTGATTTGGAGATTGTCTCCAATCCTCTCCACCCTCCCCCCCCCTCCGCCTTCCCGTACCCTCTCCCCCCCCTCCCCCTTTTCCTTCCCCCTCCGCCTTCCGCCAATCCCTACTTCCCCCCTATCTGCGCAGAGGGCGCTACAAGCGGACCAGTACGAAGCAGCGCAGGAGCTACGAGAGAAAATCGCGGAGATAGACAGAGAGTCGGCGCGGCAACGAGACGCCAAAGCCGCCATCTCCTTCCCTTCCGCTGCGCCACCTCCCATCCCCTGCGCCGCCTCCTCCGCCGCCCCTTCCGCCTTGGGAAGCACCAGCAGCAGCGGCGGCGGCGGCGCCAGCGGCAGCGGTGGCGGCAGTTTCAGCTGCATGCCAGCAGTGGTGGAGGATGGTCCTCTCTCCATGCACACCCTTTCCGCTGACCCTTCCGCCTTGGGAAGCACCAGCAACAGCGGTGGCGGCGGCAGCAGCAGTTTCAGCTGCATGCCAGCATTGGTGGAGGATGGCCCTCTCTCCATGCACACCCTGAAGTGCGTTGACTTTTTTTACTTGTTTCTGTTGACTTTGCTTGACTTTGCTTGACTTTGCTTGACTTGTCTTGACTTGTCTTGACTTGTCTTGACTAGTAAGGTTCATTTTATCAGCCCGACGGGCTCAGTTTATGTGACTGGTATAACTCCTTCAACTTGAATGAATGAATTTACTTGCGTTGACCTTCGTTGACCCTCCCATTCACCCTTCTCCCCCCCTCTCCTTCTCCCTCTCCTCTCCCCCTTCCCAGCCCTCCCGCCCCGGCCTCCACTTTATTCGGTGCCTCATTCTGCCCCGTTTCCCCTTTTTTTTCTTCCGCCTGCCCGTTGTGCAGAGAGGAGCTACAGCGGGCAGCATACGGAGGAGAAACAGGGGCGGTGAGGTGTCGCTTTCAGTTGGGGCAGCGCGTGCAGCACTGCAAACATGGTGAGAGAGCAGCAGCAGGAGGGGGAGTGGGAGAAGTGGGAGGGAGGGGAGGGTTTGGGGAGAGGGGGTTGAGAGGAGAGAGGGGGAGGAATGTTGAGGTGCCTGTGGTGCAGCACTGAAAACACGGTGAGATGCAGGCAGCAGGAGGGGGAAGAAGGAGGGGAAGGTGGGGGGAGGGTACGTGGGGGAGTCCAGGCGCATCTGAGCCCCCAAGGGGCATCCAGGCGCATCTGAGCCCCCAAGGGGCATCCAGGCGCATCTGAGCCTGGTGGAACAGTGGGTGCAGCGGGTGAGCGGATGAGCAGGTGCAGCGGGTCCAGACACGGTGAGAGAGAGGGGGGGAAGGGGGGTGTTGTGGGGAAGGTGGGGGGGGAAGTACGGGGGGGAGTCCAGGCGCATCTGAGCCTGGAACAGCGGGTGCAGCAGTTCAGACAGAGGGGTGAGAAAGAGGGGGGGAGGGGGGTGTTGGAAGGCGGTGGTGTGTGTGTATATCCCGCTGCTGGGAGTGGCATTCTGAAGTGAGCTTGTTTTTTAACCCCAGTCACAGTTGTTCCCACTTCCCCCTTTGCTCCCCTTCCATTCTCCCTCCTCCTGTGCTCCGTTTCCCCCATCCCCCTATGCGCCCTTCCCACGGCAAGCCTATACGGCCGTGGTGGTGGGCGTGGATCCCGTGTGCTGCAGCTGGCAACTGAACTTGCTTGTTAAGTTCTAAAGTCTGGCTGTTTAACGTTCTTTGCCCCCCTTTCCCCTTCCCCCATCCCCCTGTGCGCCCTTCCCCCTCCCAGCCTACAATGCGGTGGTGGTGGGCGTGGATCCCGTGTGCTGCGAGTCAGCAGAGTGGATGGCAGCTGCTGACGTGGCAGGCCTTCCCAGAGGACCGTGCCAGCCATTCTACCAGGTAAGCACGCGCGTGGCGAATCGGGATCTTAGATTGAGTTCAAGCTTTTCAATAAAATCAAAAAATATTTTCTCAGCATCATTCGTTTCAGTCACAGATTAGGCGTTCCCAGCCCTCCCATTTGCAGGTTAGGGCTCACTTGATACTGCCTTAGTACTGCCTTCTTCTCATCAACACCATTGGCCCTTCCGTTACCTCAGACATGGCACTTGTACAAAGCATAAGTTCTCGCCATTGCTATTGCGTTGCAGTCTCTTATTGTCAGAACTTTCTTTCCCACTGCACCATCCAACCAGGTTCTCCTGGACTCTGCTGCAGGAGGAAGCTTCCCGGTAGCCTACGGTGAGTGACCATACCTCTTTGGGGTTGCCGCACACGGCCGCACACGCAGTCGGGGAAGCAGCATTGCTGTGATTTTCTGCGGCTTCTTTCCTTCCTTTTTTGCAAGCACCTGTGAATGTAACGACCAACAGTTTCCCGCTTCATCTCTTCCCCCTTTCCTCTTCTCGCACACTCATCTTTCTCGTTCCTGTGCTTCTCCTGACTATTCTTCCTTCTTTCTTTCACACTTTTCATCTTTGTCTTTTTCTTTCCTTGCAGCGGCCGAGGACCTACTAACCCTATCCAGTGAGCCAACAACAGTACGTATCCTCCTCAGTGCTTGCACCAACAGCGTGTCGAATTCTGAGGCCTTCAATCCTCGTGTGTGTGTTCACAATCCTGGCAAGAGAATGCAGCCTGTATTTCCTCAGCCGTCATCGACTCAACTCGAAATTACTAAATGCCTCACCCTTCATTATACTCTCGGCCCACCCCCAATCCAACTGACTCAAATTTTCCTTTCCGTTCTGTTTTTTCCTCGCCATCCCATCCCTTCCCACAGACAATGTTTTCCCACCCGTACCTCTACCTTCTTTTCCATAGCACGGACCCTCAAGGCAACTTTATCCCGTGCCGTCAGCTCCGGCAAGAGTACGGCATGTCCGGCGACAGGTTCGGAGACAGGCTCGGGGAAAGTTTTCCAGAACAGGTTCCGAACGACGGTGCCGCCTCGGGAATGTCGTTTATGGACGGTAAACTGCCCGAATGCGACGAGGAGGGGGAAGGGTGAGGTGAACCGAGAGGATGCTTCGGGTTGACCAGAGTTGGTGACTTGGGGGGCTGAGTGCGGTGCAGTGCAGTGCAGTGCAGGGGAGGGGAGTATGAGGAAGTTAGATGCTGTCACTTGGAGAAGGGATGCAACAGGGAGTTTGAGTCTCCTTGATTTTAAAAGGGGATGCAGAGAGTGAGGCGCCTTGCCTCCCATCCTGCAAGTTGCAGCCAGTGTTGAACAGAAGCTGAGTTATTTGAAACAGGGGCGGTGTGAATTCAAGAAAAGCCATGTTGAGAAGGGCACGGCGTGGGGCAATGGTTATGCAACAGCTGCTGTTGCTGTTGTCACTGCCACTGCTGCTGCTGCCTCAGCATTAATAAATGGGGGATTGTTATGCAGAAGCATATTGGAGGGTGGAGGTGTTGTGTGACGTGTTCACTTCATCAGCTTGGGTTGGTGCTGCTTGTTTCAGAACTAATACCAGTAGCATGTGGCCAACAAGTTTGATGGAGGCTGGATTGGATGCTGTACAGGTGCTGGGGAGAGCTTGTGTCATATTGCAGATTGCTTGTTTTTTGGCCTGTGTCTTTGTGTTCTTCTGCAGGCACACCATGGAAAGGCCAATCGGGGTCAAGCCATGTAATGTAACTGTTTTCCAATAAAGCATGCATAATACCCAGGCAGTAACCAAGCATCACATCTCCATCCCCATATCCAAAAGAAAATGTGTCATTTCAACTGACAGTCAGAAAGAAACATAGCAACTGTACAAATACCTGATGCAACAAACCCTTAGAAATAACAAAACCTGGTGCAACTGGCTAAATACCCGGATGTTAAACAAGGCACTGGAAGCTACAACGACACCTTTCAGACGCTCGATACCTCAAAGCCCAACAATTTGCACTGTTAGAATCAAGATAGAATTCAAGCTGACCACCAGGGTTCGCTGTGAGGGTCGGTGGACCCATTTCCCTGCTGAACCGCCGTTCCTCCGAGGCCTGAAGAGATAGCAAAGCGGTCTTCATTTTGCAACTCGAAGGAGCCTCGCCTAGAAGTTGTCTGGTTAGCGTTGGATACCACCTCTTGTCTCAAGCCTTCGCCTCGCCTTCTGGATATTCCCGGATGCTGGCTGATTTGAGACGTTGAGACGGTTCCAGGCGTAACGCCTGGAGTTAACTGGAAAGAGCCTGGTCTCTTGTTGTCCATGTGGACACACAGCATCATGACATCCTGAGTCTCAGCCATTGCTGGAGGAGACTTCGGCGTCCTTGTAACTTATCGGTACGAAGGCAAAATCACTGCAGAATTTACAGAGGGATATTTACAGAATGACGTGAAAACACGGGCTATAGGACCAGAGTTCGATCGGACAGCACGTTTATGGAGAATGTTCCGCTCTGCATACGATCAAACATAGGAACAGCTGCAAGGACCAAGCAGTGTCCGGTACTCTGTTGCAAGACAACCCTACTCTGCTGCGAGAAGACCCTCCTCATACACCAGAAACAACGCTGGCGAGAAAAAAGGTAAGTGAAGAATATCTTCGCAAGTTATGGAGCTCAAGCAAGACTCAGTCAGTTGGCCATCTCCTCTGGTCACAAGAAGATTTGTAGAAGTGTCCAGCATGAACACAGCTGGGGACGCCACACACACCCTCAGCTGGAGTCCCCGAACAAGGTGAAACAGACAAGACGAGCATGGAGATTGTTTAGCTGGTTGGTTGGGAGGGAAGTGGGGTGGAGTGATGTGAAATTATATGGAGTGCGGTTGAATGTAGTGGAGCCTTGGGAATGGAAACATTTCCCCAGAGTTGCCGTAACAGAAAACTCCATCAGGCCAATCACCGACGAGCTCTCTCAAGTCAGCTTTGTTTCATCACATTACACCCTCTTATTCGTTTGATGCACCCTCAAGGTTGGGAGCGATGCGTTTTTGTCACATAGAATCGAATCACACACGTGGTCAGTTCAGCATTGAATTGCTAAATGTTGAAGAAACTTGGTGGAATAGCGCTACAGTTACACGCATTTGCGCTAAACACGAGGCCAAATGATTTAGGTATGATTAGGTCAGGCCGGCCTACAGTTGCAAAAACGTATTTACAGCCACATTTTGGGAGCAAGGGACGGCAATAAGCAGGGAAATGTGACTCTTAGACGTTAAAACCCAGGGTCCACAGGTTTCAAAGGTAGGAAGGTTGGTTGGACTTAGTGACAAAACCAAAGGTAGGAAGCTTGGTTGGACTTTGTGACCCAACCAAAGGTAGGAAGGATGAGGCAAATTCGGGATACTTGAGACTCCGGTTTTAAAACAGCTGGCAAAACAGACAAGCACGTCCAACCGAAACCGCTTGGTGAGATAAACAAATAACTGGTGTAGTCAGGAGGAGTCATGACGATGGCGACTGGGATGGGAATGGGTGCGCGGTTGCTTGTCACAGAAGCGTCGTTTGGTTCGGGAGTGGATGAGTGCTTGCGAAAGGCGTCGTATGGCTGAAGGCTGGTGTGTCGCATGTCGCAAAAGCTTCGTCAGGCATTGCGAAAATAGCTGTTTCCCAGCTTCATGGGCGAGCCTCGGAGATGGCGGTTTTGGGATGGGATGGTGGGGGAAACGAAGGGGACGACGCTACACGAACTGGATGTCAGGATGCTCCGAACCTGCCATGTGGCTCAATCGTGTGTTCAAGAGATAACCGGCATGTCAGAAAGTGCGGAACGCAGTCTCACTGATGAGACATGCCCTGTCATGCAACGACCTTTCCACGTAAATCCGATGTGTGTGTCCCTAAATCGCGTGGGGTCGACAACCAGTACAGCTAAAGATATCAGAGAAAGAGACCCGACACAAGGTTGTGCCTTTTGACAAAACTGAAATACTCACATACGAACGGGAGCAAAGTGTCCAGCTTTCAATGTGATATACTACAGTACAATATGTCAGTGTGTATGTATGCACATCTTATCCGTATACGGTGCGTACAAAACGAATTTAAGAAACATAGTGCTACTAACGGGGGCTTAGTCATGACTATATGAACCTGCATAATAACGCACCCAGAAATAATGCTGCTCAAGCAGGCTCAAGGATCTTCATACCTGATTATGAGAGGCGGCTTGTGAACTCGTTATTCTCTTATGACTGTCCGGTCCTGAACCGCGTGCTTCCCAGCCATCATGTTCGTATCCCCGGAATCGCGGCTTGCCACGTCATCGGGAGCGAGTTCATCGTCAACATGCGACGCCGTATTGCCAGATCCGCATCAGAACTATCACAGCCATCCACCTGGCGCTGCTGACGCGGCCTGGTTCGACGACCCGCACGATTTCAATCCATCTACAGGTGAAGCAGAGCCGGCTTTAGCCGATCCTGGTCCGACGGCGCTTGATCGGAACCTAGCCTCGCACGGGGAGATTAAGGAGCGTGTTGAAATGGGAACAAGACCGGTTGCTATAGAGGAGAGAGGTGGTGGCACGGAATGGCCGGGCCAATCAGGAAGCCTGGAAATTCGGCGAGGCGTCGAGGCGACTCGTAGCCTGGAGACTCTGGGCCAATCAGTGGGGAGCTTCGTAGGTGAACCACATTACCCTGATCCAAGCATGAGTTTTCTGGATTTACCCCATCCGTTGATCCTGGAGGTGCTCAAACATTTGTACGTCCACGATCTGGCGTCGCTGTCCTGCTGCTGCCGCTTGCTGCATCGCCTGGCGGGAGAATCGTGCGGTTGGATGCGGTTCTACTGCGAGCGATGGGCGCCGCCTGTGATTGGTCAAGGTGGTGGGAGAGTGGAGGGAGGAAGAGAGGGAGGAGCGCAAGAGCGTACAGTGAGAGGCGGTGGAAAGAAAAAGGGAGGAGTAGGAGGAAGGGGAGGCGGAGGAGGAGGAGGGGGGAAAGAGGAAGAGGGAAGACGAGGATTGAGCAGCCGAAGCGAGACTAGGGAACCAAGCAATAGAGGGGAGGGTAGCAGTTACGCATCAACATTAGGAGTATTACCCGCTGTCAGCGCGCCTAGACATGGAAGAGTAGGAGCAGTGGGAGCGGGGGGGAACGACAGAAGGGAATCAAGAGAGATTGGTGTCGGTGATGGTGGTGGTAACGGTGGTGACAGTGGTACGGATGGTGGTGGCATGGGTGCAGGTGGGGTGAATTGGAGGGAGATGTATCTGCAGCGCCAGAGGCGGTCAATGGCGTACCTCGGAAGGTTCCAGAGCGATTTCCTCGCAGGCCACACCTCCGGCGTGCGTGCTGTGAGGATGCTTACTCGACCACCCTTCCGCTTCTCCCCCTCACACTCTCCCTCACAATCTTTCTCGCACCCCTATTATCGTTCGCTGCACGAGCCGCCTCTGAACCCACCCTTCTCTCTGGCCATTACTGCTGGTTATGACTCGACCATCCGAATTTGGTCGCTGGATGACTGGAGCAGCACTGGTTACCACCCAAGTACCATTCCCACCTCGTCCGACCGTAACGGTTACAACTCTGGTAGTTTCGACAAGATCAGCAGCACTTACACTTACGGGTACAGTTACAGCGGTGGGATCCCCATCGCCACATCACCGCCACTTGGCGAGACGGTACGGGCCGTGGCGGCCGGGTTGGACTTTCTGGCAGTGGGCGGCACGGACGCAGTGATCCGGATTTGGCGGGCAGCAAACGATTGTCCGTATCTGTTTGACGTGTCTGGCATGTGGAGCCACACCCAAGCAGCTAAGACCCTTGCCGCCCAGCTTGCTCACTCTGTCAGGAACGGGCCGCTAGATTCAAAAGAAGCTGCTGCACCCCCTGCTGCCGATGTGCCTTCTCATGCTCGTCCCCCTTCTCCTTCTCCCTCGTTTCCCTCTCCTCCTCCACCGCATCCCCCTGCTGCTCCGTCACACCTGCCCTCGGTTCCCATCCTGCTTCATGGACACATGGGTCCTATTACCTGTCTCGCTTTGGAAGGGGGGTACCATGCTCCAGGTTCAAACAGGTGGCAATTCCCCCGCTCCTCCTCCTCTTCTCCATTCCCATCCTCCTCTGCCGACTCCCCTTCGTCCTCCTCCTTGCCCGTCTCGTCCCGCCGCCTCCTCTTCTCGGGGTCATGGGATTCGACCATTCGCTGCTGGGACCTTTCATCCTCCCTCTCCTCATCCTCCTCCTCCTCTTCCTATTCCTCCTCTTCCTTTCCAACCATCACTTCCTTCCACCATGCTGACTGGGTATACTCGCTGCAACCGCGCTTCTCCCCCTCGCTCTCCTCCCCTCCCCGCCTCTTCTCCACTGCTGGTGCTGACGTGTACTGCTGGGACGTGGAGACCGGAGCGCTGCTGAAGCGACACGTGGCAGCGCACACCGGGAAGGCACTTGCCGTGCAGGCGAGCCTGTGCGGCCGTTTTGTCTTTTCTGGAGGGGAGGATGGGGTGGTGAGGATGTTTGATCAGAGAGTAGGAGGAAGAGGAGAAAAGGGAGTCAGAGGAGGGAGATCAGGAGGAGGCAAGGGAGGTGGAGGAGAAAGAGGAGGGAGAGGAAGAGGAGGAGGGGAGGGAGGGGAGGGAGGTGTGTGGGATGCAGTGGCAGAATGGCACGCACACAGCAATGACGTGAATTCTCTTGCCTTTGAAGACCCATGGCTTGTTTCGGCTTCGACTGACGGCTCCTGTGCTCTTATGGACATTAGAGCAGCTGCTGCAGTAGCAGGTCGCTGTAAAGGCAGCGGATGGGCTTCTTAAGGGGATGCGTTTGGAAAAGGTGGGAGTGGTGGGGATAAGAGGAGAGGCGGCCGGATGGAGGGAGCTGGAGTTGGTGGTGGGGGATGGTGGAAAAGAGGGGGTGGAGGGGGAGGGGATAGCAAGTGGGGCACGGGGAATGGTATCAGTAAGTGGGGGTCAGCCTGGGCTGTAGGGGCGAATGGGGAAATTGGCGAGATTGTGGAAGGGACCGTTGCGAGGAGATTAGGGGGGTTGAATTCGTCTGTCCTGTGCGTGGATATAAAGGATGAGAGGGTGGTGTGTGGTGCTGCCAATTCTGAGGTTCGGGTGTTTGACTTTCAGCATGCGTTGGTTGAAGGTAAGGGAGGGGGAGGAGGGGGAAGGGGAAGGAGAAGGAAGTGAAGGATGGATGGGAGAGGTCTTGATGATGACTTTAGGGTACCTGTTCCGTCTGATGATTTTGAGGTATCTACAGAGGGAGTCAGTTTGCCCATTTACCATACTAGAATGGGTTGGCTCACCTGCTTTGGAAAAATGGTGGGATTTACATGTCACCATGGTTTTGCATGTCACCCATAATTGCTAAGTACACGAGCTTCTGTAGATATCTAAATCAAACCGTTCAGTCCACGGTGTTGTCCCACGTCAACAGCGCCCAGGATCCCGGAGCAGCTTCGATAGCGATTGGTTCTGAGCTCATCCAACGGCTCCAGCCGAACATCCTCCCAATCATACAGCATTTTGAACCCAGCACAGGCCAAAAAGCAGGGGACAAATTTCGAGGACAGGTTTCCCAGCATCAATCGTCCTTGAAATGGTTTCTGTACGGGGTGAGAGTCGGTTCTGCAGGTTTTAAAATATCTACGCGTGGGTACAGTACGTCTCTTGATTTTGTTGACAACCAGTTATCAAGGCTCCTGCGAAAGCTCCTATGCAAGAGCATAGAAGGCAGAATAGAATGGAGGAAGCAAGCAGTCTAGAAGGTCAATCCGAGTCTTGGGAGAATAGCCAATACTGTGCTTACTTTCTCCACCATTAGTGACTCTTGAGTTAGCCACCTCAAGCGGCGAACCAGCGGAATGAGGTAGATGCGACGTGTGCTATTTGGTTGTTGAGGGCTGCAAGCAGCGGCAGCTTGTGCCGATCGTCGAGAACCATGAACCGTTGATCCGAGGATCCGTTGACCAAGAAGGGTATCCGACTACCATGAGCCTGTGAAGAACAAGTCGTTCCGAGGTCCGCGGTTGCCGCAACAGCGCCATAAATGAAGGACCTATGACCATCTGTAGCGCTTTTTCCGCGTTGCCATCTGCTCGTCTGGAGACATGGCTGGGTTTAGCAATTTCCCGAATCAATCTGGACCGTTCGATGGGTCAGGATCACAATCTTCGCGATGCTGTTTCTTCACCGAGGAGTCGCAGACCATCGGCACCGACGATGAGCCGTTATCAATCAACGGCTGCGATCGCACGTCGTCCGCACAAGTTGATCTCCGTTTCTTGCGACGCTTGCTGGCCCTTCTGCGGCTCGCTGGTGCGAAATACGCCGTCATCCTGTTACTCCTCGCGCTCGCGAACATTCCCATTGTCGCGAAAATGGGAACCGTTACAGGAACGTTCTATTTCGCCCTCGTTAATGCCAACCCCGATGCTTTCCTCAAGACCCTCGGGAATTCCGCGATCTGGCTGACCCTGGCCGCTGTTTCCACGGCGCTCACTGATTGGTCCGCGCAGTTCCTTTGCCTGAAATGGCGGAAGACGCTGACGTCCGCGTGCCACGTAGCGTACAGGCGAAGCAGCTGGCTGTACTTCGCATTTCTTGAGAAACGTGGCACCTCTGCTGTCAATAATGCCGCTGCAAACGCGAAGAACCCTTCTGTACCCTTTATAGACAACCCCGATCAACGGATCACGGAGGACATTCACCGATTCGCGGAACAGGTCTCGCTGCTTCTAAGTAGAACAGTAACCGCGCCGCTTACCGTGATATACTACAGCTTCTGGGTCGTGTCTTTAATCGGTCCCACGGGCCTCCTAATCATCTTCCTATTCTTCACAATCGGAGCGGTCATAACGCGCCGCGTCATGTCTCCAGTCGCGGCGCTAGTAGCCGAGCAGGAAAGGCGGGAAGCGGAGTTCCGTATGGCGCATGTCAGAGTTAAGGAGCGATCCGAGGACATCCTTTTCTCGCACGGGGAGGACGCCGAGGCACGCCAGCTTAGCGCTGAGCTGGCAGCCGTCCTGGCCAATCAGGAGAAGTTGGTCTGGCGGTACTTAAAGCTTGGAATAACCACTAAGGTGTTCGACTATGCTGGCGTGGCTGTTAATTATCTAGCCCTCGCTGCACCTGTGTTCGGAATAGTAGGAGCAGGTATAGCCGGAGGAGGGGGAGATAGTAAGGATAAGGGGGCCGTTGCGCAGTGGATCAGTAATGCGTCGTTTGCGATCTTGCAACTGATATTCGGAGGATCTCAGATGATTGATGCTGCTAGAATCATATCAGATTCTGCTGGGTACACTGCCAGGGTTGGTGAGCTTTTTGAGTCCCTACAATTGCTGCCTTCCTCTCGGCGACAGTCACATCCGGTACAGACACATGGAAGGGATGAGCCGTTTCCAACCCCACGCCCACCAGCAGCGCCAGCAGCTGCAGCAGCAGCAGCACTAGCATCACCGCCATTGTCGAAAAAAAGGGGTTTATGGGAGATATTAACTGGGCGAAAGAGAGCTGGTCACACAAGGAGATGTGGTAACGCCGATGTGAGTGAAGTAACAGGGCTGTTGGCAGTCCGAGTGGAAGGGGGGGACGGAGAAGGCAGCAGCAGCTCCGATATAAACGGACAATCCAAGCAGCAAGCGAAGCAGGTTGGTGGGAAGGTGGCTGGGTACGGGACATGGGAAGGGGAGAGTGGAGAAGCAGCGGGTGTAAGCACGCGGAGAGGGGTTGGGGAGTTGGGGCATGAGGGCCGTTGTGAGCACACACGGATCACACTGTGTGGTGGCGAATCTATGGTACAGGCGCCACGGGAATATATGCTGCAGGAGCCGACAGGGCTGATGGTGCTGAGACCTGGAAGCAACGGCAGGAGAGCTGACGGGGAAGCAGCCGGGGAAGCAGCCAGGGAAGCTGACAGGATCCTGCAGTACTCCATTCACTCTGTCCCGCCCGAGCTACGCTCCTTGGTAGCCCAGATGCCTCTCCAGTCGACTCAGACATCACATCCTACCAGGGAAGCCCCAGAGGGACAGCAGCTGCATGCCTCCCCTCCCATGCACCCAATCCTGCAGTATTCCATTCACTCTGTCCCGCCCGAGCTACGCTCCCTGGTTGGGACCCTGCTGCCACAACCCGGAGACGGATGGGGAAAGGGGGCAAAGAGGAGGGCAGCTGCACGTGTGGGCGAGGCATGGGGCATGAGTGTAGAGGATGTGATAGTAGGGGATATGGGGATGGAAGGTGTGGAAATCGAAGAAGTGAGGGTGGAGGATGTGAGAACGGAGGAGGTGAGAGTAGAGGATGTGACTGTAAAGTATAGGGGGTTGGAAGGTGCGAAGAGCGAGGAGGTGAGAGTAGAGGATGTGAAGATAGTGGTGACGTTTCAGTGCAGCGATGTGCCTCTCTGGCCTATCCACAACAATACCTCCTCCTCTGCTGCTGCTGCTTCTGCTGCTGCTGCTGCTGCTGCTGCTGCTGCTGCTGCTGCTGCTGCTGCTGCTGCTGCTGCTGCTGCTGCTGCTGCTGCTGCTGCTGCTGCTGCTGCTGTGACAGAAGTTGCAACTGCAGATGGCGCCTCAGCACATGCAGGTGTGAGTCCAGCAGACTCAGCCATAGCAACGCAGGCAGATGTGAGCAGGGCAATGAACCGGCTGCTCTTCAACTTCCGCCTCTTCCAGCAGCAGCTCTGCGAGCACATCTGGGCGGCCGGCCACTGGGCTGACGCTGTCGACCCCCTCACTGGCTACCTCATGCACTCTGCTCCTGGCAGTGGTGGCAGCAGCAGCGGTCGTGCTATATCTGGTGACAGTAACGGTGGTGGTTGTGGAAGTGGTGGGAGTGGTGAAAATGGGGGGGGTGGCAGCAGGTGGCCATTCCCTGCGCCTATTAAGTACAACGAAGTAGATATTGCTCAGATCCTCCTCGGCTACCCTGTCGCTCCCACTGCCACGGCCAGTGAAGCTTCAGTAGCGTCAGTGGGCACTACTGTGCCTCCCACTGCTGCTGCTGCAGCGTCCGCAGCAGCAGTGGCAGCAGCACAACCAGCAGCACCACCACCACCACCGACAGCACCAGGACTACCGCCCATGCCCACATGTCCCCTTGTTCTCCACCCTTCCTTTGGCACACACACCTACCCAGCCTCTCTCCTCACCACCGCCCCTCTCCCGCTCCTCCAATCCGCCATCCGCCACGTGGCAGGCTCTGGCTGGCGCCTGCCAGGCTGGCAGGAGGAACCTGGGGTGCTGGTGGTGGGGCAGGGGATGGGGGATGAGAAGAGGGGAGGTGTGACAGCAGCGGGGAATGGGGAGGAGGGAATTTGTGAGGAAACGTTAGTGGCACCTGAACCTAAACAGAAAGCTGATTTTGAACCTGAACCTGAAGCCGAGGTACACCCGCCATGCCACACCTGTTCCCCGTCCTCTTTCCCTCCCGCACTCTCCCTCTCCCGTCTTACTCTCACTCTCCCCCACACAAACCACCTCATTGTCGCCAATCTATCCCTCCATCTGCCACGTGGCAAGGCCCTATTGGTCACCGGGCCTAGCGGGTGCGGCAAGACCAGCCTCCTGCGAGCCATTGCCGGACTCTGGCCAACCAGCAGCTGCCACGTCAGCAGCAGCAGCAGAATCCCATCTGGTGCAGCTCCTCTCCCCCCTGTGACGTTATACCCCCCTGCAGCCTCCCCCCATGTCATGTTTCTTCCCCAGAAGCCCCTTCTTGCGCCCTCCCCCTGCCTGGCTGCTCAAGTCATGTACCCGATGCAAACTGGATGTATTCACGGGGAAGAACGTTGTGAGAGACACGCTTGTTCTATGCTCTTGTGGAGGGGGAGAGGCAGGAGAGACGAGAGGCTAAGGAGGCTAGAGGCTGCGCTAGCTGTGGTGGGCTTGATGCATCTGTTACCACGGCTCCTGACCATGCGTGATGATGGACTGGCGGAGTCTAATGAGGATTATGCTGGGAAGAAAAGGTGCTGTCAGCAGCACCAGGTGGGGCAGCACCAAGTCTGTCCCAATCTTGGGATGTCTCTGGAAGGGTCAGGCAAGAGTCGGAGGTGGCTCGAAGGGCTTTCTCCAGGGGAGCAGCAGCGGCTTCAGTTTGCTAGAGTGGTGTTTCATCGCCCGCGGTTGGTTTTCCTTGACGAGGCTACAAGTGCTGTAGATGGCGAGATGGAGGCGAGGATGTATGCCTGGCTTGCTAAGGTGGGGGTTGCTACTGTTAGTGTTAGCCATAGGAGAGAGTCTCTTCGGAAGTGGCACCATGTCGAGCTTGTGCTAGAGGGAGATGGGACAGGAAGGTGGAGAATAATGCAATAAAAGATGGCATGTAAGTGTGCCTTTTCACAATGTAGTGCTTTCCATCCCTTTTTGGTTCTGACTTGATTGGTAGTTGCTACGGTTATCTGTCTATATCGCAGTTGCTCAAATAGGGAGGTAGGTGCTGGTTGTGGTGATGATGAGCCATGATGACAGCACACGAGGCCTCCTTTCGTAAGGCAGTGGATTGGTCAAGGAGACCGACAAATGAAGAGCTTGCCACGCTGGCTCCGCAAACTCCAGCGCGCTTTGAGAAATCCTCGATCGATCCCCCGCGATTCCATTCCCATTCGCCAGGCATCTTGAGCAAACTGTCGTTGCCCGCCACACGATCCACGTGGTTGACCCAATCGGAGGGTCGATGCCAACCTTGAGGGCCATCTTCGAGCATGCCGAGGAAACGTGACGTGGCACCGCGCCTCCTCCGAGATTGGTTGTTCACGACAATGATTTCAATCAATAGGCCGCTTCCAGAATAAGAGGTATGAAATTACCCACGGTAATTCACGGCAGACAGATTACGGCAGAATGATTGTGATTGGTTAGTGGAAGCAAGTAAGTCTGCGGTACGAAATTACCTCCCTTATTTACGATAACGCGGAGAGGACGTACTTGAAGGTCAGCCAAACCTATCACCATCGTTCATAGCTTGACGTATCGGAGCTCGGCAAAGGAGCTCGTCGTACCATACGAAGCATAGGTCCTCCGTTGTCGAAAACGTACGGCTTTTCCAAGACGTACCGAGCTCCTTGCTTTCTGCTTCGTCCATAGTAGGACAAGTCGTTCTGCGTAGCATTGCTGAATTCAGTGATTGTTGAACATTCTCTTGTTCACCAATCATACAACTGCTATTCCGCTACTTCGAAAGAGCCTCTTACGGCAACCATGGCGGCGGTTCGTTCGCTTATCTCGTCCCTCAGACTCACTCCCGGTGCAGCAGTACCACTCAAATCCTCAGCCTCCTCACTCATCCGGGACGAGTCGAGTTTCGTCAACTTGAACTTGAATCTCTCCGCATCATGCGCTTCAGCTAAGGCCTCTCGACGAGTCGCACCTCCTTCTGCTGCAGCGACTCCCCTCGCGGCTGCTGCCGCAGCACCCACAGCGGAGGACGCGTCGTCGGTTGCGGCGTCGGTCGCGGCGTCAGGAACGGAAGGGACGCCGCGGCGCCGCCTGAAGGTGGGGTGCCACGCGGCGCAGGGGCGGCGCGACGAGATGGAGGACCACGTGGTGGTTCTGGAGGACATAGGCGCTGGGTTCCTCTACGCCGGCGTGTTTGACGGCCACGCAGGTGCGCATTCGACGGCCACGCAGGTGATTCGAGTCAGAAAGGGTATTACGTGGTGGTTCTGGAGGACATAGGCGCTGGGTTCCTCTACGCCGGCGTGTTTGACGGCCACGCAGGTGCGTATTTGATGACCACGCTGGTACGTGCTTGACTTTTGAGTCGACTCAAAAGTCACCTTCAAGACATAGGCACTGGGTTCCTCTACGCCGGAGTGTTTGACGGCCACGTATGCAGGTTGCTGCATTTCTGCGTCGAGTTTCCGCGTTTCTGGAAACGTTTCGAGATTCTGGGCATTTGAGTGTGTGACACTGAGAAGCGTGTTTGCCGCACGTGCAGGCGCGTCTTCCGCGAAGTTTCTGAGCGACGAGCTGCACGACGACTGCATGGAGGCGCTGGAGGGCGGCGCGGTGTTGGAGGATGAGGATCTGACGGCCGCGGAGGACGCGCTGGAAGACGCCTTTTTGAAGGCAGATCAACGGCTGCTGCAGTGGTGAGCGTCCTTGGTGGTGTGGGTTGGGTGTGTTTGGTGGGGTCGTGGAGGCGCTGGAGGGCGGTGGAGGGCGGCTGTTGCAGTGGTGAGTATGGTTCGTGGAATGGGTGAGGTCGTGGAGGCGCTGGAGGGCGGCGCGGTGTTGGAGGACGAGGATCTGACCGCTGCGGAAGATGCGCTGGAGGATGCTTTTCTGAAAGCCGACCAACGGCTGCTGCAATGGTGCGTGGGTGTGCTTGGTGGGGTGGGTGTGTGGTGAGCCTGTAGAGTGTTGGCGGCGCGGTGTTGGAGGATGAGGACCTGACGGCCGCGGAGGACGCTCTCGAGGACGCGTTTCTCAAGGCCGACCAACGGCTACTGCAGTGGTGCGTTTGTGCGACTCCGAGTCCGGTTCAACGGGTACAGTAGCGTTCGTGCGGCACGATCGCCTGTTCGTGGCGCACGTAGGCGACTCGCGAGTCACTGGGTATCCCCCACCGAACCCCCCACCCCCCACACACACCCACACCCCTGCATATTCCCTCCACCTGGCTCGAAGAGCACAGTGCTGAGCCCGAGTCCGGATCAACGGGCACAGTGGTGTTCATGTGTCACATTTCAGTCGAGTCTCCCGCCGCCCATTCCCCCGCCTCCCCCAACCCAACACCCCAGGCTAGAGGAGCACAGCGCAGAGCCCGAGTCTGGTTCCACCGGCACGGTGGCGTTCGTGCGGCACGACCGCCTGTTCGTGGCTCACATAGGCGACTCGCGCGCCGTGATGGCCATTGGGGGGGGCGACGAGGGATACATCTCGGACGACCATAAGCCCAGCGGCGACTCGCGCGCGCACCGTGATTTCCCCCACCCAACCCCACCCCCCCCACCCCTCCCCTTTCCTGCATATCCCCTTCCCCAGGCTGGAAGAGCACAGTTCAGAGCCGGAATCAGGGTCGACGGGTACAGTGGCGTTTGTGCGGCACGACCGCCTGTTCGTGGCTCACATAGGCGACTCGCGCGCCGTGATGGCGGTTGGGGGCGACGAGGGATACGTCTCGGACGACCATAAGCCCAGCGGCGACTCGGGCAAGGCACAGGCGGAGATCAAGCGGATCAACAAGGCGGGCGGATGGGTGAGTGAGTGTTGAGTGGACTCGTGAAACGTCTTTGATGACTCGCGCCCCGTGATGGCCGTTGGGGGCGCCGTGATGGCCGTTGGGGGCGACGAGGGATACGTCTCGGACGACCATAAGCCCAGCGGCGACTCGGGCAAAGCGCAGGCGGAGATCAAGAGAATCAACAAGGCAGGCGGATGGGTGCATGTTTTTTTTTTTTTTTTTTTTTTTTTTTTTTTAGCATTTTGGAAAGCCAACTACTGAAGGAAGGTGCGGGAGAGGTTAAGAGGATCAACAGGGCAGGCGGATGGGTGAGTGAATCGATTAAGAGGAGATAAAGCTTATTAAGCTAATGGGAAAGACACAGGAGGAGATTAAGAAGATCAACAGGGCAGGCGGATGGGTGAGCGAATCGATTAGGTGGAGATAAGGAGCAAGTGGAAAGGGCGCAGGAGGAGATTAAGAGGAGCAACAAGGCCTGCGGATGGGTGAGTGGGTGCTGGGTCGACTTGTGCGTAAGTGCTGAGACGTTATCCTATCTTTCCACCAATCCACCCTATCTCTTCCCCAATCCACCCAATCTTCCTCCCAATCGACCCTGTCTCTCTCCCTATCCATCCTATCTCTCCCCCAATCCATCCTATCTCTCCCCCAATCCATCCTATCTCTCCCCCAATCCATCCTATCTCTCCCCCAATCCATCCTATCTCTCCCCCAATCCACCCTATCTCTCCCCCAGTCCATCCTATCTCTCCCCCAATCCACCCTATCTCTCCCCCAACCCACCCTATCTTTCCCCCAATTCACCCTATCTCTCTCCTTATCCACCCTATCTCTCCCCGAATTCACCTTATCTTTCCCCTATCCACATGCCCACCCGTTTCCTCACCCATACGCAGGCGAGCCAAGGGCGGGTGTGTGGCGTGGTTGCTGTGTCCTGAGCCCATTATGAGACGCTTCAAACGTATTTTCTCCCCAACCTACCCTATATTTTTCCCAAACACTTCCCATCTTTCCCTTCCACCCACCTCCCTTGGTGGTTCACCCCATGCGCAGGTGAGCCAAGGGCGGGCGGGTGTGTGGTGTGAGCCTTTCCCGGGCCTCCTTCATTATATGCTTCACCTTCCCTCTAATGTTTCCATTACCTTTTTCTGTAACTTTCCCCCCACCCACCCACCTCCCTTGGCGGTTCACCCCATGTGCATGTGAGCCAAGGGCGGGTGTGTGGCGTGGTGGCCGCGTCCCGAGCCTTTCCTGAGCCTTCTTGATTATATGCTTCACCTTCCCTCTAGTGTTTCCTTCACCTTTTTCAGTTACTTCCCTCCCACCCACCTCCCTTGGTGGTTCATCTTGTGTGCAGGTGAGCCATTGGCGGGTGTGTGGCGTGGGTGGTTGTGTCCCTAACCTTTTCCGGGCCTCCTGCATTATACGTTCCACCTTCCCTTTTTATGTTCTCCCCGCCCGTCCCTGTAACTTCCCTCATCATTCATCCCATGTGCAGGTGAGCCAAGGGCGGGTGTGTGGCGTGATTGCCGTGTCCCGAGCCTTTGGCAACATGGCTTTCAAGACGAGAAAAGAGGAGTGAGTCGTGCAGTAGAGAAAAGAGGAGTGAGTCGTGCAGTAGAGAAAAGAGGAGTGAGTCGTGCAGTAGAGAAAACAGGAGTGAGTCGTGCAGTAGAGAAAAGAGGAGTGAGTCGTGCAGTAGAGAAAAGAGGAGTGAGTCGTGCAGTAGAGAAAAGAGGAGTGAGTCGTGCTTCTGAATTTATTCAAATAACCAGAATAAGAGAACAGTGGTGGCCGTGTCCCGAGCCTTTGGCAACATGGCTTTCAAGACGAGAAGAGAGGAGTGAGTCGTGCAGTAGAGAAAAGAGGAGTGAGTCGTGCAGTAGAGAAAAGAGGAGTGAGTCGTGCAGTAGATAAAAGAGGAGTGAGTCGTGCAGTAGAGAAAAGAGGAGTGAGTCGTGCTTCTGAATTTATTCAAATAACCAGAATAAGAGAACAGTGGTGGCCGTGTCCCGAGCCTTTGGCAACATGGCTTTCAAGACGAGAAGAGAGGAGTGAGTCGTGCAGTAGAGAAAAGAGGAGTGAGTCGTGCAGTAGAGAAAAGAGGAGTGAGTCGTGCAGTAGAGAAAAGAGGAGTGAGTCATGCAGTAGAGAAAAGAGGAGTGAGTCGTGCAGTAGAGAAAAGAGGAGTGAGTCGTGCAGTAGAGAAAAGAGGAGTGAGTCGTGCAGTAGAGAAAAGAGGAGTGAGTCGTGCTTCTGAATTTATTCAAATAACCAGAATAAGAGAACAGTGGTGGCCGTGTCCCGAGCCTTTGGCAACATGGCTTTCAAGACGAGAAGAGAGGAGTGAGTCGTGCAGTAGAGAAAAGAGGAGTGAGTCGTGCAGTAGAGAAAAGAGGAGTGAGTCGTGCAGTAGAGAAAAGAGGAGTGAGTCATGCAGTAGAGAAAAGAGGAGTGAGTCGTGCAGTAGAGAAAAGAGGAGTGAGTCGTGCAGTAGAGAAAAGAGGAGTGAGTCGTGCAGTAGAGAAAAGAGGAGTGAGTCGTGCTTCTGAATTTATTCAAATAACCAGAATAAGAGAACAGTGGTGGCCGTGTCCCGAGCCTTTGGCAACATGGCTTTCAAGACGAGAAGAGAGGAGTGAGTCGTGCAGTAGAGAAAAGAGGAGTGAGTCGTGCAGTAGAGAAAAGAGGAGTGAGTCGTGCAGTAGATAAAAGAGGAGTGAGTCGTGCAGTAGAGAAAAGAGGAGTGAGTCGTGCTTCTGAATTTATTCAAATAACCAGAATAAGAGAACAGTGGTGGCCGTGTCCCGAGCCTTTGGCAACATGGCTTTCAAGACGAGAAGAGAGGAGTGAGTCGTGCAGTAGAGAAAAGAGGAGTGAGTCGTGCAGTAGAGAAAAGAGGAGTGAGTCGTGCAGTAGAGAAAAGAGGAGTGAGTCATGCAGTAGAGAAAAGAGGAGTGAGTCGTGCAGTAGAGAAAAGAGGAGTGAGTCGTGCAGTAGAGAAAAGAGGAGTGAGTCGTGCAGTAGAGAAAAGAGGAGTGAGTCGTGCTTCTGAATTTATTCAAATAACCAGAATAAGAGAACAGTGGTGGCCGTGTCCCGAGCCTTTGGCAACATGGCTTTCAAGACGAGAAGAGAGGAGTGAGTCACTGACTGAGTGAGTCGTGCTTCTGAATAATTGAAGTAACCAGCTTTACCAATACACCTACCTGGATCAATCACTGCACACGAAACAAACAAACAAACAAACAAACAAGCAAACAAATGAAACAAAACTAAGACAAATAGAAGGGTAACGACAAGTAAAGTACTTGTATGCAGATTAATGCCCTACTCTTCCCACTGAACCACTCTTATACCATGCTGAACCGCACTTTACCGCACTGTGCTCCTCTGTGTGCAGAATGATGCAACAAGGAGTGAAGAAGGGCAGGTGGACCACCAGATGGGTCTCCAAGTAAGCTCGCTTCTCACTCGCTTCTTGGTGTTGGTTTCTGTAGGCAACCATGCCGAGTCTGATCATTACTGTCTAGTCATTAAGTGAGTGAAGAAGGGCAGGTGGACCACCATATGGGTCTCCAAGTAAGTTCTCCTCTTGCTGCTCTCTGCTCTCTGCTCGCTGCTCGCTGCTTGCTGCTCTCTGCTCGCTGCTTGCTGCTGTTTTTAGTATTTGGTCAGGAGAACCCAGTTTGGTGGCTGCTGCGTTCCCTCCATTAACCAGTGAAGAAGGTCAAGTTGATATCCAGATAGGTTTCTCGTACCGTGCTTCTCATCCCTGCTATCTCACCCCTGCTCACCCATTCTCAGCCATGTTGGTGTTACTTCAACAGTAACACATTTCTCAAAAGTAACATCAAAAGTAACATCAAAATATCCAGATAGGTTTCTCGTACCTTGCTTCTCATCCTTCCTATCTTCCTCCTCCCCACCCCTTCTCGGCCCTATCCGCATGCTTTCCCCATGCCTGCTTCTGCCATCCCTTCCTGGTTTTCAGGAGGAAGTACGATTCTGATTGGATCTCAGCCCTCCCTGACGTGTACGGCACTGAGCTGACAGAAGATGCCGAATTCGTCATCATTGCATCTGATGGCCTATGGGATGCGTTCTCCAGGTATTAAGCTCTCCTTCTCCTGCTAGTGCCTAGCCCCCGCTCCCCTCATATTGCCACAGCTCTCCTTCTCCTGCTAATACCTAGCCCCCGCTCCCCTCATATTGCCACACGTCCTTCTCCTGCTAATACCTAGCCCCCGCTCCCCTCATATTGCCACACGTCCTTCTCCTGCTAATACCTAGCCCCCGCTCCCCTCATATTGCCACAGCTCTCCTTCTCCTGCTAATACCTAGCCCCCGCTCCCCTCATATTGCCACACGTCCTTCTCCTGCTAATACCTAGCCCCCACTCCCCTCATATTGCCACAGCTCTCCTTCTCCTGCTAATACCTAGCCCCCGCTCCCCTCATATTGCCACAGCTCTCCTTCTCCTGCTAATACCTAGCCCCCGCTCCCCTCATATTGCCACAGCTCTCCTTCTCCTGCTAATACCTAGCCCCCGCTCCCCTCATATTGCCACAGCTCTCCTTCTCCTGCTAATACCTAGCCCCCGCTCCCCTCATATTGCCACAGCTCTCCTTCTCCTGCTAATACCTAGCCCCCGCTCCCCTCATATTGCCACAGCTCTCCTTCTCCTGCTAATACCTAGCCCCCGCTCCCCTCATATTGCCACAGCTCTCCTTCTCCTGCTAATACCTAGCCCCCGCTCCCCTCATATTGCCACAGCTCTCCTTCTCCTGCTAATACCTAGCCCCCGCTCCCCTCATATTGCCACAGCTCTCCTTCTCCTGCTAATACCTAGCCCCCGCTCCCCTCATATTGCCACAGCTCTCCTTCTCCTGCTAATACCTAGCCCCCGCTCCCCTCATATTGCCACAGCTCTCCTTCTCCTGCTAATACCTAGCCCCCGCTCCCCTCATATTGCCACACGTCCTTCCCACCCCACACACCAATTTCCACCCTTCCCACCCCCACACCCGCTTCCCCACCTCCCCCCTCCCCCCTTCCCTCCCGCTCCCCCACCACACCCTGTTACAGCTGTGAGGCAGTGTCGTTTGTGCAGAGCGAGATGGAGAGGCATGGAGACTTTTGGAATAAGTGACAGCTACACGCACACCCCCTTCCTTCCCTCCCACTCCCCTCTCTCCCTCCTCCCTCCCTACCTACCTCCCCCACACATCCTGTTGGCAGCTCTGAGGCAGTGTCATTTGTGCGGAGCGAGAAGGAGAGGCACGGGGACTTTTGGAACAAACGTCCATTTCCCACATACACTGCTTCCCTCCCTCCCTCCCTCCCTCCCTCCCTCCCTCCCTCCCTCCCTCCCTCCCTCCCTCCCTCCCTCCCTCCCTCCCTCCCTCCCTCCCTCCCTCCCTCCCTCCCTCCCACAACACCCTGTTAATCTTGCAGTTCTGAGGCTGTGTCATTTGTGCGGAGAGAGATGGAGAAGCATGGGGACGTTGGAGTGGAGTCAGTGGCAGGAAAGCCCCACACACCCTGCCTTTCCTACACACCTTTCCCTCGCTCCCGAACACAACCTCTCATCCCTCCCATTCCCCCCCACACCCTGTTACTCTGGCAGCTCTGAGGCAGTGTCGTTTGTGCGGAGCGAGATGGAGAAGCACGGGGACTGCTGGAACAAACGTCCGTTTCCCACACACACTGCTTCCCTCCCTCCCGCCCTCCCTCCCACCACACCCTGTTACCCTGGCAGCTCTGAGGCAGTGGCGTTTGTTCGCGGTGAGATGGACAGGCACGGGGATGTGCAGCAGGCATGCGAGGCTCTCGTGCACGCAGCTCTGCATGTGAGTGTATCAGCGTACACTGTACACTACATTATAACATCTTGCACTGTACACGTAGCTAAGCATGGGGACGAGCAGCAGCAGGCATGCGAGGCCCTCGTGCACGCGGCTCTGCATGTGAGTGTACAAGGATAGAGTATAGTACATCAAGATACACTATATGACACTGTACTGTAGTGCACTAAGTGACTTTAGAGTCGACTCAAAAGTCACAAGGATAGAGTATACTACGTCAAGATACACTATATGACACTGTAGTACACTAAGCAATGCCACTGGCTTGGAGGCATGGGGACGTGCAGCAGGCATGCGAGGCCCTAGTGCACAGGGCTCTGCATGTGAGTGCCACACGATACACTGGAATACACTGCACTATATAGCACATTATCACATTAAGATACACCAGATGACCCTGTATCATAGTAAGAATCACCACAGGCTTGGAGGCATGGGAACGTGCAGCAGGCATGCGAGGCGCTCGTGCACACGGCTCTGCACGTGAGTGTTGTATGTTACACTACAGTACACTACACTACAGGCTGCTACGCTGTGCTATACTGTCATACACTAATACTGCCTTGCAGGCATGGGGACGTGCAGCAGGCATTTGAGGCGCTCGTGCACACGGCTCTGCACGTGAGCTGTGCAGCACGCTACAATACACTCTATCGCATCAGAATGCACAATACTACACTACACAAGAGTAAAGAGCAGTAACATCGGGTCGGGACGTGCAGCAGGCATGCGAGACCCTCGTGCACACGGCTCTGCACGTGTGACTGGCCTTTCTGCTGCAATTTCTGTGTTCTCTGCTGCACCTGTCCATCATCATCCGCTCCTCATTCTTCTGCCTACCATATGTACCTCCATTCATATGTTCATCGTTTGTCCTGCCGTCTCTGCTCTCTGCTGCGACCCTCCCTCTCAGGATCATGAGACAGGACAACGCCAGTATATTCGTCGTCTCACCAGCTCTATCCCTTCGCTCATATCTTCATCTGCGTTCTGCTCTCTGCTGCACTCTTCCCTCTCAGGATCGTGAGACGGAGGACAACACCAGTGTCATCGTCATCTCGTTGCGAGGCTAGGCCTGTCGAAGCCAATCCGAGAATAAGCTCCCTATGAAAGCCGGGTGAACGGGTCATTAAAGCCAAATGTCTGGACTAATCACCAAACCAACGCTCGGAAAAAACAGCTGCCAGCGCCCATCGCAAAAGCACGATTCCAGTCCAGGTTTCCGTGAATCTACCGGTACCGGTAGTCTATCCTCACACGCCCTTCTCACTTTTCCAGTGAATCGCTTGTATCTCCACCACCACCAGTCATTTACTAATGCTATCTACCTGCGTGGTCTCTCTTTTGCCTGTGCATGAAATTTATTGCCAAGCAACTGCAACAAAGAGCACAAGCAGGCAGAGGAAGGAAAAAGTCGATACTTGTCAGGTCGGAAGGAATATAATATGCATTTGAAGACGATTTAGCACTAGGAACACGCCCTAAGATAGCCCCGACCCAAACCAATCCAGCACCACAGGAACAACCAGGGTTTAGACGAGCGAACAGCTGACAGAGAAATGCGAAAGCATAGGGCATTCAGCTAAGCTAACATCTAACGGCACTTCCCACCCACCTTACAGTCTTACAGCACTAAACCAATCACATGACCTTACTAAAACGTCCACAAGCAAAGCATTGACTCAGTTGCGAACCGACCAGAACAGACCAGGCGAGATCAGATCACAGACACCATCCAACCCTCGTCATTTCCCACCGCCGAGGCTAAACGCTAGCTTCGGTCGGGCGTTCTTCTTCCCCAGAATCTTCATCTGCTCTTTCTTCGTCTTCTCCTCCTCTTCCTTCTTCCTCTTGGCTTCATCCCTCTGCCTCTGCTTCTCCTCCAGTTCTCGGTACCGCCTCTCCTGCTCCCTCGCCTGCTCCTCTAACCGCTGCCGCTCCGCCTCCTCTGCTTCTCTCTGCTTCTGCTGCAACAGCTGCTGCTGCTGTTCTTCCTCTTTCTGCTTCTCCTCCTGCAAGGGGGCATGGGGATGGATGGTGAAAGCAGACCAGGCAAGAAACAGGGAGGTCGTAAGGTGACTGAAACTGTTTTTTTCTGGCTTCATCCCTCTGCCTCTGCTTCTCCTCCAGTTCCCGATACCGCCTCTCCTGCTCCCTCGCCTGCTCCTCTAACCGTTGCCGCTCCGCCTCCTCTGCTTCGCTCTGCTTCTGCTGCAACAGCTCCTGCTGCTGCTCTTCCTCCTTCCGCTTCTCCTCCTGCAAGGGATAGAGGAGATGGATGGGGCAAGGGAACGAATGTGGGAATGTAAAGAGTGGCCAAGACAAAGAGAGGGTTTAGGCAATACAAGACGTTTTTTTAGCCTGGCTTCTGGCCCATTTCTCGAAACTCAGAGGCTAAAAAAGAGGGTTGCAACAATTTTGCCCCATCCCCTTACGCTTACCTTCCCCATCCTTGCCAACCCTTCAACACCCTTCTCAGTGCATTTAAAATCAGGGCTGTACCAATGCACTTCTCTTCTTCCCTACTCACCTCTTTCCTCCTCTTCTCCTCCTCAGCAGCCTCCTTCTCCTCCTCTAAAGCCCTCGCCACCTCCCCAGGAAGCTTCCGCCTGCCTTCCTCAATTAAAGCCGCCATTTCCCTCTTAATCTCCTCCGAGGTAAGTTCTCGCTCCACACGCTCCCGAATCGCCTCCTCAAGCCTCCTTGTAGTCTCCTCCGCTATAAGCTTCTCCATTGCCTCTTCTCGTAACCTGTACACATACATAGAGGAGGGACGGGTGGTGGGGGATGTGTGAAACCCCCGAGACACCTTTCCAGATTAACAACCCTCACCCATCCCACGCAGCCTCTCTCAAAACCTAACCTACCTCCCAACACACGATATTGATTGGTCTCAACTGTTTATGCACCCAGTTATAGCGTTGACCAGCGTTGACTAGCGTTGACTCACCTCTTCCTCTCAGCTCTCTCCGCGTCCTCCTTTGCCCTCCGAGCCTCCATCTCACTCTCCTTCATTTTCTCATCTCCTTCATCCTCCCGCTCCCCTTTCCCCTTTCCCCCCTTCTCTGCCTCCGCCTGCGCCTCCTTCACCCCGCAGTCACCTTTCTTCCCCTCGTCCTTCCCCCTAACCACCCCCTCCTCGCCTCCTTTACCCTTCTCCGCGCCCTTCCCGCCCTTATCCCCTTCACCGGGCAGGCAATTCCGCTTCCGCGCATCGTCCTTCCGCGCGTTTTCTCTCCGCGCGCGGGATCGTGGGGAGGGGGAGCGGCGCGAAGGGGAGGGGGATCGCGAGCGCTTGCGCGGGGCAGGGGAGCGCGAGCGGCTGCGGCTCAGATCCCGACGGCTTCTTCCGCGTGTGCCTTCCCCCCTGCGCGCGGCTTCCCCCTTGCGCGCGACCTCCTGCTTCCGCTCATCGCCCCCTTTCCGCCCGCTTTCCCGCGCCTTGTCGCGGCGGCGAGGGGAGGGGGACCTGCTGCGGCGCCCTCTGGCCAATCAGCGACGAGGAAGTTCCCAAGGTGTGACGACAGCACCGAGGGTGAAAACCACCAGGAGTGGGAAGCACCGGGAGTGCCGAAAGCACCAGGAGAGCAGCAGGATGGGTGTGGAGCGGCGAACGCACAGGCGAGAGGGAGGGGAGGAGCGGAAGGGTGGGGGATGGATGGGGTGGGACGATGTTAATGCGGATACGGTGGAAACAGGGCGCTCTTACGCACTTTAGCATGGCACTTATCTAAAAAGCGGTCCAGTTTGGGGCGACGGAGAACGGGGAGGTGGAGGAAGAGGACGAAAGGGAGGCAGGGAGGAGAGGGGGGGGGGTTTAGAGGGGCCAAACGGCCGAGAACGAGAGAAACAGGGGAAGTACCGTCGGAGTGTGTATGACAGGGGTGCCTCTGAGAGAAGACAAACGGCCGCCAGTGAAAAAATGGAGTCTCCAGTTCCTACAGGCACACTGCGTTACAAGCACGGTGCCTGTTATCACGTCTCTTACAGGCGAGCTGCAGGGGGGAGGGATCAGACACTGCACCTCACTGCACCGCATTGCACCGTCCGAATAGCGGCCACGTGGCGACTTTTGAGTCGACTCAAAAGGCGAGCTGCAGAGATTTAAGGTGAGACACGTCACCCTCCGGAAACGTAGCGGATAGGGAGGACTTATAGCGAGGGTTGAGAAGAGGGTAAAAAGAGACACGGGGAGACGGTAACGCGGAAGCAATGTCTTCTTGCGTTGAATGCCGAACCAGCTGCCGAGCCTTTCAAGGTCCCTGAAGGAACTGATGACGCATAACGGAGCAGCGTATCACGAGTCCGAACGCGTACGCTCAACACAGAGCAGGTGTAAGAAAGGAAACGAGGCCGCATGGAGAGAAACCCTTCGATAACAGCATTCTCCGATAAGTGTTATTGGCGTGCCGAAGCTCAGCAACGGAAGCATAATTCTCGACGAGGAATGCACGAGACGGGCACGCGACGAGCACGTGACGAGCACGCGACGAGCACGTGACGAGGCATGTCAGAGTCCCGACCTGCCGTAAGGCGATCTGCTTCGGCTCCGACGGTTCCTTCGATCGTCCTTCCTGTCGTCTCGTCGATCGTCCTTCCGATCCTCTCTCCGAACCTCCTTCCGAACCTCTCTCCGACCATCCTTCCGATCCTCTCTCCGATCGTCCCTTCGATCCTTGCGAGCCAATGAGGAACGAGGAGGAGGAGACCGGGAGCGAGACCGCGATTTTGATCGGGCGGGAGAGGGAGATCGACGGCTGCGCTTCCTTACTGGTGACCTCGAGTCTCGTCGGCCCATTCCGTCTGATATACCCGTTTAAAGCCTCTATTTTCTGGATTTTTAACTCAATTTCGCCTGCCAAGGAGAGCAGCGACGCGAGCAAAATCACTTGCAACGGTCACCAACATGATAAGGTAATCAGCGCTTCAGGGAACAGCCATGGCTGTGAGAGGACGGTGAAACGGAGTATGCTCCATACATTTTACAACGGTTTGTGTGCTTCACCGCTTTGAACCATTGCCTACCTGTCTGAAAATGGATATTCGAACACCAAACAAGCCTCTCGTCCGTTACAGGCTCGATGGTGACTAAAGTGATGGACCTGATTTGGTGGTTCCGTTGTACTCACAATTATGCAACCTGGAACCATTCCTTACATTGGTGCCATCGGGCTTTACGCGAGATTGTTATAAATACTGTGCATTATCCCCTTCGTACCACTTGAACCTATTATATCGGAACATGTCCTGCAGGGATGGCAAGCAAACATCGTGAACGGCCCTTCGCCAACAGGATCGGCGAGTTCAGTGAACTTTGTTGTGACATTGCGGCATTGCGGACTCTTGAAGGACAAGGGTGCACTGCGCGGGTGGGGTTCAGGGCACAGATCATTAAGTGCTGTTCTGTTTTTGGGGTAGGGTCCTCCAGTTCTCCCACCGTCGACTCCCTCCGCGTGTAACCCCCCCCACCGCGTCAGACCCTCCAGCCCCGTCAGGTATTGTTCTGAACACTTTCTGCGTATGTGTGGGTTGTTCAGGAAAAAACGATATGGGTTGCAGTGTATAGTCATAGCCCTGTTATTTAGAGTTCAAAAGAAAACGCTGCAATGCAACTGGGTTTGCAGCTGTTGCAGGGCAAATTTGGGTAACTGCAGGGTGCTCCACCACAAATCTCCACAGGCGTGGTGGTGTTTGAGGAAAATTTTACACGGGACAAGCAATGCGACCTTCCCCACAGACAATGAGTGCGGAGGAGATTTCAACCACAATCGGTTGGTCATTGAGATATTGATTGGTCGACGTGACGTTGCTTGCTTCTGGAAGGTGCCGTGTGGATGGTCCTTACTTATCTAATGACGTGTCAAGCCTCGACACCGCTTGCCCTGCCCACACCACAGCCGCTGCTTGAGCATTCGACTGTTACGATTTCTTGTCGGTCGTGTTTCTGCTCCTTGGTCGAATCGTTGTCTCGCGAAATGCCACTGTATGGGCAGACGAAAAGTATGTGATGATTTGTGGCCAACATCTGCACTTTCTTGCCTCAGCACCGCCCTTCACCATTTCGTAATGATTTCAATTCCATCATTTCCACGGTCATTTTCCACAGCCCATGCGATAGCCCTCGGTGGCCTTTCGATCAAAATCTGATCTCCGACAAGCTGTCAAATAAAACACGGCCCAGAAAGAACCGATTGCATCTCCCCGTCCCTTCCATCCACTCCTGCCCTCCAAAGCAGCCAACCACTGCGCTCCTCTTGATTGTTACTTCAGAGAAATCCACCGCCATTGCCTCTTGATATTGCCGAACCCTCGCGTCACGCGGATTTCTCCACCACTCATTTTTCGTCTTGCCAGCTTTCCTCCTCGAGCTTGGCTTTCCTTGACGTTGGCTGTCCCGAAGTTTGCCTTCGCCTGGACCTCCTTGTCCTCCTGAAGCTTGGCTCTCCTCGAGGTTGGCTTGGCTTGTGTTTGGGTGAGTTCTGCTTTCCGCAGCTTCTTCTGCAGAAGTAGAGCTCGGATCGCATTCGCAGGTCCCGCTCCCACACAAACACATCAGTTACGAGCGAGGAGGTGTGTGGTTGAGAGAACGAAAGAGCAACGGTCCCTGTCCACCTTCTCGCCTGTGTCGTTGGAGCCAATCAGTTTAGCAGATCTCCTGACGTTTCACAATCTTCTCGACCGGTTTGACCCTCAGAAATATCTCCCTCTCATAGTTTCGCGTTTCCTGCACCCTTCCGTGTTCGACGGCAGCACCCTGGCACCCGATAGTCGACATCTCTAGTGTTCTCAGAACATATTTGCAGATAATCGAAGATTTCTGAAGCATCCTACGGTCCACCATTCCCTGCTGTCGCGCCTGTGACAGATACTCGGCCACGACCTGTAGTAATCAAATCTAGGGAGCACGTCTTATCGGTTAGTGACGTTTCCGTGCTGGAATATCCTCGCTGCGTTCTCATTAGTTCGGTCTAAAATAAACTCGAAATTTCTATCATTCTAAGGAGATTATCGTCTTCGCAATTCAAATATGGTGGACGACGAGATAATCTTCCCCGGCCACATCGACATGGGTGACATGGCGGATCTCATGGTCGGCGAGGTTGACCTGGACGGCTTTTCCGACGACGAGCTTGACGTGGACGAATTGGAACGCCGCATGTGGAAGGACCGCCTCAAGCTGAAGCGGATTAAAGACTGCCAGAAGATTAAGGATGCGCCAGAGGTTCAGGAGAATAAGGATGACGAGGACGAGGAGGAGGAGGATTTCAAGCCGCGCCAGAAGCAGTCGCAGCAGGATCAGGCTCGCCGGAAAAAGATGTCGCGAGCGCACGACGGGATTCTCAAGTACATGCTGAAGATGATGGAAGTCTGCAAAGCCCAGGTACGCGTTATTGCCTGTTCCGTTGTTTGATGTGAAGCTTTAGTCGCTCAATCTCGTTAAGCTTTTCGTATCTGGGTACTTTTCGCTTCGCAGCACACTGACCTTTCACCTTCTTCGTCACATTTTTCGTTGCGTTTCGCGAAACTGTTTCTTGTTACAGGGTTTCGTGTACGGGATAATCCCGGAGAAGGGAAAGCCGGTGGGCGGAAGCTCCGACAACCTTCGCGCGTGGTGGAAGGACCAGGTGCGCTTCGACCGCAACGGGCCCGCCGCCATCGCGCGCTACAACGCGGAGCAGGCTGTAGCGGCCGGCAAGAAGGACCACCAGCCGGCAGGCCTGCTACAGCTGACCACGCCGAACACGCTACAGGAGCTACAGGACACGACGCTCGGGTCGCTGTTATCCGCGTTAATGCAGCATTGCGATCCGCCGCAGCGGAGGTATCCGTTGGAAAAGGGGAACCCCCCGCCCTGGTGGCCGAGCGGGGACGAGGATTGGTGGCCGCAGCTGGGGATGCCACGTGGCAGCGGCCGTCCTCCATATAAAAAGCCGCACGATTTGAAGAAGGCTTGGAAGGTCGGGGTGCTGACTTCGGTGATTAAGCATTTGTCGCCGGACATCGCACGGATTCGCAAGCTCGTGCGACAGAGCAAGTGCTTACAGGATAAGATGACGGCGCGGGAGAGTGCCACGTGGCTCGCTGTGCTGGATCAGGAGGAGGCGTCGCTGCTGCACGCGCAGGGGAAGCCGCTTCCGCCGGGCGCGGCGGAATACGACCCCTTCCGCGTCGACCTTCCGCCCTTCGTCTCCACGAACGGCGGCGCGGGATGCGGCGACTATCTCGCCGGAGCGCTGCAAGCGCTTCAACAGCAACAGCAACAGCGGAGCGCCGTAGCGGAAGGAGCGCTTGCTGGGAAAACCCTTTCCGCGGTCGCCGCCGGCGTCGGCGGAAAGCCCGCCGCCGCCATGAAAGCCGAGCCGCAGTCGTGGATGCCGGCGGTGACGAATCACATCCCCGTAAATCTCGCCGCCACTGACGCGGCTCCGGGTCAGGCGGCAGGGGACTGCGGCGATGCTGCTGCCGGGAATCCCGGTGGCGATGATGACGTGGCGCCGCCGATTGAGGCGGTGCTTGCGGGGGTTGAGATGCTGCCCGAGCACAGAGTTTTCATGTGCCCGTTCGACCGCTGCCCGCGGCACTTATGGCGCAACGCGTTTTCGGACCGCGTCTCGCGAAACCTTCACCAAGCGAATTGCGCGTTCCGCCTTAGCGGCAAGGCGGAGGGGGATTCCGCCGGTTCCGCGGAAGCCAGCGGCGGCGCAAATGGCAGAAAGAGTGGCGCTGCTGGGGGGAATTCGCGCGCTGACGTTGGCGGGAGCGCAACTGCTGCCGCCGCCGCTGCCGCCGTCGTCTCTTCTAAGAGTGTTGCTGCTGCGGCTGCTACAGCTGCTACAGCCGGTATTCCGAAGAAAGCAACGGCCGGAAACGCGCCTGCTCCTGCCACGTCAGCAATATCCTCCGCGCCGCCAGCCGCTGCCGCGAAGGCATCAGGCGGACCGGGCAAGGCTAGAAACGCTTCCGCTGCCGCGTCTGCCGCCGCGTCTGCCGCCGCGTCTGCCGCTGCTGCTGGTAACCCCTCATCAGCTTCCACCATGTTCGCAGGAAGCTTCGTCCCGCACATGCCACGTCAGCATCCAGGCGCGCCCGACGGCGTGGCGCCTTTCCTGCCGCCCCACCACCTGCGCCACGCGTCCCTGCTTAGGCAGGGAAGCTTCCCGGGAGATTCCTACCACCCGGGGGGACCCGGAAACATGATGGCCATGGGCGCAGGTAACATGATGGGGGGGATTCCTCCTCCGCATCCGCCTATGATGGGCCCTCCGCCTCCAGCTCCGCCGCACCCGTATCCCGCGGCGCTGGGCCTGCCAGCTCACGCGTCAGGGTATGCCGACATGTATGGGGGTATATATGGGCATATGATGGGCATGGGAGGGGGCCACATGGGGATGGGGGGGGCGCATGGGATGGGTCCGTATGGGATGCCGCCGCCGCCACATCACTATGCGGGTATGATGATGGCCGCTGCAGCTGCTGCCGCCGCTGCTAACGCCGGTGCTGCTGCTAATGCTGCTAACGGTGCTGCTGCTGCTGCGTCTGCTGCTACTGCGAGGGGGGGTATGGCTCGAGCGGGCGCTGCGGCTGGTGGTGCTTCCGGTGGGGTTGGGGAGGAGGTGTATCGGGAAGTGATGCTGCAAGGGCAGGCGATGCAGCAGCAGAAAAGGAAAGACGCAAAGCAGCAGCAGCAGCAGCAGGGGTTTTTGGAGGGAAGAGACGACTCCCTGGAGCAGGGAGGGCAGGAAGAGGAGCAAAACGAGAGCAGCAGCAACGCTCGCTCTGCTTCCCTAAACCCCTTGGCTCGAGTCACTGCTGCGTCTCTCCCTCCCTTCCGCCGCAACTACAGCGACCAGAACCTCCCCTTGTGCGCGATTACTGGTGGCGTTGCCAGTGGTATGGCATCAGGGGGCAGGGGCGGCGCAACTGCTGCTGGAGGGGCGTCGGGACGGAGCAACCTCGGCATGCGTCCTTCCCAGCTGCACCAGCAGCAGCAGCACCAGCAGGAGCAAGAGCAGCAAACAGCGTTTCAGGAGCTTTCAGCTGCGGTGGCTGCTGCGGCTGCTGCTGGATCTGGGGGTTCTGGGGCGTCTGGAAATTTTGGCGGTTCTGTTTCCAGCGAAGGAGGAGTGACTGTTGGGGCAAAAAGGAGAGCGCTATCCGATGCCGAGGCCGTGCTCGCCAGCAACCCTGACTTCTTCGCATCTGTCCTCGAAGATTCGCCGAATCTGGACAGTATGATTCACCTAGAGGGCATGCTGCAGCAGCAGAGCTTCGGATCGCCACATGCGACCGTTACTGATGATGGGGTGGGACGGGGAGGAGGTTCGGGCCAAGCCGGAGCAGCTGGTTCGGGAATGATGTCGTCTGGTGTGGGTATGCCTGCTGGCGCCGCTCCTGCCGCTGGTGCTGTGGCTTCTGGCGTGGGTATTACTAATGCTATTGCCAATGGTAGTGCCAATGGTAATGGTGGGGCCACTGGGGGGGAGGGTGTGGGGCAGGGCGGAGGGGGTCCAGTGGGAATGGAGGAGGATGTGGATGACAGCTTGTTTGGGTTCAGCTTCGGAGCGATTGGGAATCAGGACCAGATGAGACTGCTCAACAACCTCATGGATGAGGAGTTGTGCTACTTTGGTGCTTGAAGGATTATTGGTCTTGACTGGCAATCGCAGCGACTGCATGAGACTTGTGAGCATCAGGGTACTACTGTATGAGGAGATTTTTGGAGCCGATTGGATGTATCTGTCTGTTGGTGTAGATCGGCAATCACTGTATGACATTTAATGATACCTTTTAACATTCTGATGCTATACTATCTTTGGTTACGGAGTTAATTTGCAATGGATGTACCACCTGGTTGGTGCTCCTTGCTTAGTAGCAGGTCTTGTTTACCTTTCGGGGAGCATGTTCGAAACAGATGCACATTTTGCATGTATTGCAATGGTTTTGAGTGCGTAGTATCACTTCTGAATAAACACTCTTTCGTGCTGCCGACCGTCAGGGAGCACATATTGACCTGTCAAACACACCACTCAATATTATGTACAAACATCGTTACATGGAGGAACAGCAGATCACACATAAGTACACCTGATTTGTATAATTCCACATCCAATACAATAGTGCAACTCTTACACAATGACTGTAACTAGGCACCAAAGTACCAGATAAGATCCTCGTCCATGAAAGGATCAAATCCAAAGTTATCCAGTATCGGAAGATTCTGCACCATCATCATCCCATCCAGTTGCCCCTGCTGCTCTCCTCCTTCCTGCCCATCCCCTCCCACTGTGCCCATCATATCATGCTGCATATCATGCTGCATATCATGCTGCATGTCATGCTGCATATCATGCTGCATGTCATGCTGCATGTCATGCTGCATATCATGCTGCATGTCATGCTGCATGTCATGCGGCACATGTGACTCATCCTGCGTCACCATTGCCATTGCCATCCCAGGGTTTGCTACACTTGCTCCCCCTCCTAATCCCGTTTCTGTCCCCCCATGCTCGCCTCCTGCATCTGCTTCTGCCTCTGTTCCTGCTGCTCCTCCTGCCGCTGCTGCTTGCCCTGCCTGCTGCTGGTGATACTGCTGCTGCATCTGGAACAGCTCATACTGCTGCTGCTGGTACTGTTGCTGCTCGTATTGCTGTTGAGACTGCTGCTGTTGGTACTGCTGATGGGTGGGTGCATGTGGGTTCCATACTCCATGACCCTGAGCCTGAGGATTTGCATGTGCGGGTGCATGTGCATGGGGTTGGGCATGGGTGTGGGCGCTGGCATAAGGATGATAATATTCCCCATCGTACGTACCACCACCCTCACTCGCAGCCTCATTGTGTGTCTCACGCGCCTCCCCTGCTGGTAACCCCACAGCCAAGTGCAGTAACGACCATTGCCCCTCTCCCTCTGCCGCTCCCGCCACTTCCCCCCCTCCTCCTGCCCCTGCTTCCCCCCTTGCCACGATCCCAGCAGTTGCTGCCACCGGTCCTCCCTGCTCTCCTGATTCTCGCTCTCTCATCCCTCCTCCCTCCCTCACTCCTATCCTCCTCCTGCTGTTGAAACTCATCCCCCACTCTAAAGCCGCAGGAGGTAAAGGCTCTATCTCTTCCTCTCCCCCCTCTCCTCTCTCCCCTCCTTCCTCCCCTCCTCTTTCCCCTCCTCTTTCCCCTCCTCTCTCCTCTCCTCTCTCCCCTCCTCTTCCCCTTCTACCACTCCCCCCCTCCTCAACCGAAGCTCGGCTGTGCGTCCTGCTACACCCCCCTTGGGATTGCGCCCTGTTCCCATCCTCCCGAACCTGTGCCTCAGGTTCGGCCCGAGCCAGAACCTCAGCTTGGGCCTGAGCCTGCGCCGGACCCCGAGCAGAGGTTGGCGACCGAGCCTGCGCCTGAGCCTGGGCAAAGGCTCGGGCATAGGCTAGGGCTTGGGCGGGGGAGAGGTGGAGGCGGGGGGAGTGGCGGTTGTGTGGGGAGAGTGTGGGGCGAATGGGGGAATTTGTGGGGGGAGTGTGGTGAGGGGAAGGGTTGTTAGGGGAAAGAGAGTGGAAGAATGGGGAGGGGGGACGGTTGGGGGAAGAAGGGGGAACAGAGGGGGAGTGAAAGGAAGGTTGGAAGGGGAAGTGGGGGGAAGGCTGGAAGGGGAACTGGGGGGAAGGGCGGAAGGGGGAAGTAGGGAAGGGGAAGTTTGGGGGGAGGGTGAGGGAGGCGCGGGGAGAGATTGGGGAGGGACGGGGGGAGGAGGAAGATGGGTGGGGGGAGGTGAGGGAGGGGTGGGTTGATCCTGGTTGATTTTGGGAGGGAGGAGGGTGGAAGGAAGAAGGGTAGTGACTTGGATGGGGGTGTGGGGGAGGGCGAAGGGAAGAGTGATTGTGAGAGTCAGTGTGGGAGTGAGTGAGGGAGTGATTGTTGGGTGGCATGGCTCGAGGCAGAAGGTAGGGATTGGGGTGCGGCATTTGGAGGATGTTTGGGGCGTGTGTGAGTGAGTGTGAGTGTGGAGAAATTGGCGTGGGGCGGCAGGGAACAGACGGGGCCGGAGCATCAGCAGTGCTGTTATTAACTGCCGCAGCAGTGCTGTCAGGTGCAACAGCAGTGCCGTTATTAAGTGCTGCACTGCCATCAGGAGTGCTAGCATTGAAGTCAGTCGCAATAGCGGTAGATTCAGCAGCACCAGGGAGAGTGGGCACAGCAGCTGTATTGTCCTGAAGAACAGAAGCATCTGTATTAGCAACAGCCCCAGCCCCAGCCCCAGCAGCAGCAGCAGCAGCAGCAGCAGCAGCAGCAGCAGCAGCAGCAGCAGCAGCAGCAGCAGCAGCAGCAGCAGGAGCACCAGCAGCAGCAACGTTTCCTCCTGCATCACCATCAGAATGAGTTAATGCGGCACCCACTTGCTCCCCTTGCTGCTCCTGCTGCTGTTGCTGCTGCAATGATCTCGCCTCCTCTCCCCTGCCTTCTCCCTCCCGCCCACCTCCGCCTCCCCTCACGGCCTCCCTCCCACTCTGCCACGTGGCACCCTGTGATGGGCTGCGGACAACTATATGGGGCCGCCTGGCCTCAGGATACGTGTGGGAATGCTGCAGGGGGGAGTGGGATTGCTGAAGGAGAGAGTGCGAATGTGGGGGTTGGGAAAGTGAACCTAACTCAGGCGGACCCTCATGTCCCCTCCCTGCAACGCCCAGGGTTGCTGCCAGGAGTTGGGTTGCGGAACCCGACAGGTGAAACTGCTTCTGCTGCTGCTGCTGCTGCTGCTGCTGCTGCTGCTGCTGCTGCGGTGGCTGATGTCTCTCCTCCACTCCTGTTGCTCCTGCTCCTTGCGCCGCTGATGCTACTGCTGCTCTCAACCCCGCCGTTGGTGTTACTCCTGCTGCCGCACATGCAGCGTTGCCAGCACTACCAGCACCAGCAGCGGCAGCAGCAGCAGCAGCAGCAGCAGCAGCAGAAGCCGTTTGTGGGACTTCGCCAATCCGGGAACTATCAGTGCAAACAGCAGCACCAGCAACCTCCCTTTCCCCCTCGTCTCCTCTCCCCTTCTCATTCCCCCCAAGCATTTCCCCCAAGTCCGCCTCTGCTCCCCCCTCCAGAACAAGTGACAAAGTTCTAACAGTAGCAGCAGCTGTAGCAGCATCAGCAACAGTCCCAGATGCAGTTACAGTGCCAGAACCAGCAGCAGCAGCAGCGACAGCAGAAGAAGCAGCAGCAGAGGAATCGCCAGGAGCAGCAGGAAGGTTCCTGGCAGCAGCAGCTGTGGTAGTAGCATTGACATCAGCAGCAGTAGGGGGGTTGGACGCTGCAGGAGCGGCAGCAGGAGGGGATATCCTGGTCGTGACGTCACCAGAACCAGCAGCAGAAGCTGCAATGGGTTGCTGTGCTTGTAATGAATGTGCTTGTAACGGGTATGGTTGCATGGGGTGGGGCTGGCCGCGTGACCGGGATCGGATCACCACAGGGGTAACAAGCCTAGGCGTATTGGGCAAATTAGGTCCGATGCTGCGAGGCTCCGCACGAATAGGTTCGGCATGAGCAGGTACGGCGAGATGAGGTCCGGCAGGATGACCTCCCGGACCAAAGCTGTTGCTCAGGAGCGGCGCTCCTAGAAGCATGGGCTGGGGCACTTGATACGGCACCATTGCCGAGCCTTGGGATGGAGGCTCGGCAGGGAGGTTCGGCAGAGACTGGGAGGGAATGAGGTGGTGTTGTTGGGAGTAGGGATGTGAGTAAGTGTGGAGGTGAGGAGGGAGGAGGCGAGTGTGTGGGGTCAAGAGCGGGTGAGAGGTGGCATGAGGGAGAGAGGAGGGAAGTGATGAGGGAAGTGAGGAGGGGAGTGTGGAGGAGTGAGGTGGGGGAGCAATAAAAGCACCGGCATGGGCATAAGCAGGAGCATCATCAGCCATTGATTGCATCTGCATCAACGGCAGGAATAGCTGCTGCTGCTGCTGCTGACTAGGGTGTTGGTTTCGGTGCTGGCTTGGATGCTGGTTCGGGTGCAGCTGGTATGGCTGCTGGTACATCTGCTGGTCCGGCTGCTGGTTCGGCATTACCGTGCCTGGAGCAGAGGCTTGGGAAAACTGTGCTGCTTGTGCTTGTGACTGCCATGCCGAAGAATGCATGCTACTACGTACCGCTGCCTGTGATTGCACCACCTGTGATTGCACCACCTGGGGTTGCACCTGTGATTGCACCTGGGACTGCAACGCAGCTTGCGTTTCCCTGTCTGCTGCATGATTTAGTGACTGTGCCTGCACTTGTCCTTGCCCCTCTCCCTGTGCTTGTGCCTGTGGTTGAGCCTGTGCTTGTGCCTGTGCCTGTGTGTGTGCCTGTGTGCGTGCCTGTTCCTGGGCCTGTATCGATTGGCTAGGCTGCACGGAAGTGACTAAAGAGGGGTTGACTGATCCGGGCATCATGGTAGGTTGAGCAGATGGAGAAGTGTGGGTCGGTGGAGCGGAGGGCGGGAGTTTGAGCAGGGAAGAATGAGAAGAGCGGCGGCGAAGGGGAGGAGGGGGAGCAGCAGGGGTAGCACCAGCACTGCTGGTAGGAGCACTTGCAGCAGAAGCATCAGCATTAACAGAAGCAGCAGCACCAGCAGCAGTAGCAGCATCGGCGTCAACAGAAAAAGCAGCAGCAGCAGCAACAGCAGCACCAGAAGCAGAAGAGGCAGCAGCAGCAGCGGTAGCTGGAGTAGGAGCAGCAGGAGCAGCATTTGCAGGAGCAGGAGCAGGAGTAGAAGCAGCAGAAGCAGGAGCAGGATTAGGGGGAGGAGAAGAGGCCAAGTGAGCAGCAGCATCTCGGTAAGGGCACATAGCTTGATGTCCATTCCGGGCAGCCCGGTCGGGAAAACCACAGCCTGCCCGGCTCCTTGGGCAGGCGGGAAAAGGGCAGAAAAACGTTCGGTTGTCATCTTGTGCTGGGCCAATGTCTAGGACGTAATTTCCAAGTGCATGTGCATGCGGATCGGCATGTGCTTGTGCATGATTGGCATGTGTTTGTGTGTAGGGATGCGCATAGGCATGTGGATGTGCGAGTGCATGAGCATGGGGGTGGGCGGCATAATAAGGATGCATCTGCATTGGTATGTGTGCATGTGCATGTGCATGTGCAGGGTGGGTGGGTTGGGTGTGCTCATGTGCCGATGCCTGTGTGCCATGCATCCCAGCAGGCGCTGCTGCTGGAGCCGATTCTACTGCTGCTGCTGCTGCTGCTGCTGTGTTCCCTTGCGCTGCTGTTGCTGATGCTTCTGTTGCTGCTGCTGCCGCTCCCGCTGCTCCTCCTGCTGCTTCTGCTCCTCCTCCTGTTGCTCCTGCTGCTTCCGTTGCTCCTCCTGCTGCTGCTGCTCCTGCTGCTGCCACTGCTGCTGCATATGATGACGCTGGCTCCAAACGCGACCCATGCACCTGACCGTTGCAGCAACCACACGGGATCAGCACCTGTCCAGCACCGTCTGGCACCGCACTCAACTGCACAGAACCGTCCTGCACCGTACTCAACTGCCAAGCACCGTCCCGAACCTCCCTGACCAGCTCAGCAGTCTGCACCACCACCAACGGCTCTCCTTGCTGCCTGCTCCCATCCTCTCCCCCACCCAACAACATCATCATCCCCCCTCCCACCCCTCCCCCTTCTACTATCCCCCCAACGTCCCCAGCAGCAGCAGAAACTCCCGCTCCTGCCATTCCCCCTGCCCATGCACCCCCTACTCCCACCATCCCCCCTGCCCCTACCCCCGCCACTCCCCCCACTCCCGCTCCTCCCCCTCCCCCCACTCCCCCTACTCCTGCCATTCTTCTCTGCCTTCTCTTCTTCTGCCGCTGCCCGTCGCTGCTGTACGGATCATAATCCTCTTCTATATCCCACTCATCCCCATCCTCCTCCTCTCCTCCTCCTCCTCCACCCCCTCCTCCTCCTCCTCCTCCTCCTCCTCCTCCTCCTCCTGCTGCTGCAGCGCCAGTTCCTGTTTTTCTCTGCCCGTTTTGCTGCCCGCCCGAGCTGGTTGCAGCTCCTCTGCCCTCAAGAAGCTGCAAGTTGTTCACCGACCTGCCCGCGGGCAGCTCGCTGGAACTTCTCTCCTGCCCGGTCCCATTACCAACACTAACACCAGCAGCACTAGCAGTACCACCAGCACCAGCTGCAGTACCAGCAGCAGCAACAGTAGACAGGTCACCGTTTTGGAGCTTGATGGCTCGCTCTTCGTTGTTCAGTATTGCCAGCCAAATGCTCGTCTCCTGTGCTGACATCTTGTTCTGGTAGCGGGGAGTGCAATAGAGGGTACACACACGAGGAAGGGGGGGAGGCGGCATGTGTTTGAAGACTGTCGCCTCGCCAGCACGGTGAATACCCGTGACAGCACGGTGAAGAGTGCTGCCTCGCCAGCACGGTGAAGACTGTTGCCAGCTCGGTGAATACCCATCCACCAGTGTCGCTCGTACCCCATCCGCCAGCGCTTCCCCACCCCCCTTCATTGGAGGCGCTCTCCTCTTCTCCCCATCCGCTCCAGGCGAATGTGCCGCGCGACTCCGCAAGAAGTGAACACTATGAGGTGACTTTTGAGTCGACTCAAAAGTCACCTTGAACACTATGTTGGAATCACGTTTGAGAATTCTCACAAGTGAACACCCGATCACTATCACAGGAAAAGCAGGCAGCTACACACCTGCAGCCCCTTGCTCTGATCTTGGGCCACATCGGGCAGCATGGTCTTGACACCCGATCACTAACAAAAAGAGGGAAAGAAAGACGGAAAGAACACGAGCACAGCATACCTGCAGCCCCTTGCTCTGATCATGGGGCACATTGGGCAGCATGTGCTGACATCATGTGTTGACATCATGTGTTGACATCGGACACCCGATCACTAACAGAGAGAGAGAAAGAGAGAGACTGAAAGAACACGAGCACAGCATACCTGCAGCCCCTTGCTCTGCCTGATCAGTCGTCTAATCTTGGGCACATCTGGCAGCATGTGTTTGATCACCGTCGCCAGCACGGCCGCCTTGGCCACCTTCTTCATTTCATGCGAATCAGAACCATTCGACTGTCATGTGGAGAGAGAACAGGCAGGAGGTGCGTACCTGTAACCCCTTGTTCTGCCGAATCAGCCTCCTGATTTTAGGCACGTCCAGCAGCATGTGCTTAATAACCGTCGCCAGCACGGCCGCCTTCTTCAGATCATGCGGCTTGGAGTCTATCAGAAAGGGGAGAGAACAGAAGACCGTACAGCAAACAAATGCATGCATACCTGCAGCCTCTTGTTCTGGCGGATGAGACGCCTTATCTTGGGCACGTCCGGCAGCATGTGTTTGATCACTGTCGCCAGCATGGCCGCCTTGGCCACCTTCTTCAGATCATGCGGCTTGCGGTAGGGCAGAGAGGGAGGGGGAGAGAGCAGCAGACAAATGCATCCATACCTGCAACCCCTTGTTCTGCCGAATCAGCCTCCTGAATTTGGTAACATCCGGCAGCATGTGTTTAATAACCGTCGCCAGCACGGCCGCCTTGGCCACCTTCTTCAGATCATGCGGCTTGCGGTAGGGCAGAGAGGGAGGGGGAGAGAGCAGCAGACAAATGCATCCATACCTGCAACCCCTTGTTCTGCCGAATCAGCCTTCTGATTTTGGTAAAATCCGGCAGCATGTGTTTAATAACCGTCGCCAGCACGGCCGCCTTGGCCACCTTCTTCAGATCATGCGGCTTGCTGCCCACCAGAGAGAGATGCAACCCAGAGAGGAGAGAGAGTGGGAGAGAGCATAACACACCTGTAACCCCTTGTTCTGGCGAATCAGTCGTCTGATCTTAGCCACATCCGGCAGCATGTGTCTAATAACGGTCGCCAGCACGGCCGCCTTGGCCACCTTCTTCAGATCATGCGGCTTGCTGTAGGGCCGAGCGGGAGAGCGAGAGAGAGCATACCCGCAGGCAGGCAGGTGCATACCTGCAACCCCTTGTTCTGCCGAATGAGCCTCCTGATCTTCGCCACATTGGGCAGCATGTGTTTGATCACCGTTGCCAGCACGGCCGCCTTGGCCACCTTCTTCAGATCATGCGGCTTGGAGTCTATCAGAAAGGGGAGAGAACAGAAGACCGTACAGCAAACAAATGCATGCATACCTGCAGCCCCTTGTTCTGGCGAATGAGTCGCCTTATCTTAGCCACATCCGGCAGCATGTGTTTGATCACTGTCGCCAGCACGGCCGCCTTGGCCACCTTCTTCAGATCATGCGGCTTGCGGTAGGGCGGCAGTCCCGACTCTCCCGCGCCGCCCGGACTCGTGATTTGACTCAGCCCGAGCCCCTGGGAGAGGGCGGCCCACCAGGGCTCGTTGCCTGACGGCCACCAAGGGGGGGCTACGCCCTTGTCTAGAGGGAACTTGCGCTGAGGGGGGGAGCAGTGCTGGGATGGGGGGAGGAAGAGGACAAGGCAGGAAGAGTGGGGTAAGGTTGAGGTAGAGGGAACTAGAGGGCTCAGCAGCCCCTGGGAGAGAGCGCCCCACCAGGGCTCGTTGCCTGACGACCACCAGGGGGGAGCAACGCCTTTATCCAGAGGAAATTTGCGCTGGGGGGGAGAACAGTGCTGGTATGGGGGAAAGTAGGAGGGGAGAGAAGAGGGTGTGGAAAAGGGGAAGAAGCGGATAAGGCAGGAGAAAAACGGGCGGGGGAAGTGGAAGTGGGAGAGAGCGCCCCACCAGGGCTTGTTGCCTGGCGGCCACCAGGGGGGTGCAACTCCCTTGTCTAGAGGAAATTTACGCTGGGGTGGAGAGCAGTGCTGGTATGGGGGGGAATCGAGGTGGGGAGAGTGGGATCGAGGTGGGGCGATGGAGGTGAGTGAAGGGAACTGGAGGGTTCACCACCAGCCAGCCCCTGGGAGAGGCCGCCCCACCAGGGCTCGTTGCCTGACGGCCACCAAGGGGGGGCTACGCCCTTGTCTAAGGGGAACTTGGAACTTGCGCTGAGGGGGGGAGCAGTGTTGGGATGCAAGAGGGAGGGAGGGGGGCAGGAAGGTGGGAAAAAAGGGGGAAAGAGGGGTAAGGGAGGGGGAGAAGCGGCGAATGAAGGAAGAATGGAGAGAAAGTGTGGAAGAGGAAGTGTGGAAGAGGAAGTGTGGAAGAGGAAGTGTGGAAGAGGAAGTGTGGAAGAGGAAGTGTGGAAGAGGAAGTGTGGAAGAGGAAGTGTGGAAGAGGAAGTGTGGAAGAGGAAGTGTGGAAGAGGAAGAGAGCGCCCTCCCCTCCCCCTCTGCCTCCCCCCATGGCCGCCGCCCGTTCCGCCTCAAACTTGGCCAGGGCTGCCGGGCCGTTCTTGTCGAACCGAACCTTGTCCTGTCCCTAACCCCTTCCCACCCTTTCACCCTTTCAACCTCTCACCCGCTCACCTGCATGAGAGCAGACAGCAGGGAACCAAGCGTGGTATCCTGCAACTCCAAAAGTGAATGTAGAGGCATGCAAGTGGGCGCCAATCCCCCTGCGCCTCCCCCGCCCTCCCCTCCCCCTGCGCCTCCCCCCATGGCCGCCGCCCGTTCCGCCTCAAACTTGGCCAGAGCTGCCGGGCCGTTCTTGTCGAACCGAACCTTGTCCTTCCACCAGGCTCGGAGGTTGTCGGAGCTGCCCCCAACCGGCTTGCCAGCCTCGGGAATGACGCCGTACACAAACCCGCGCGCGTGGCAGAGCTCCATCATGCGCAGCATGTGCTTCAGAATGCCGTCCTGTGCTCGTGCCATCCTCTTCCGCATCGCTGGTTCCTGCAGGGGTGGGGGTGGTTGTGGGAGGGGCAGAGGTGGCAGCGGGACGGGGTCTAAACGTGCACAACGGGGACAGAGTGGCATGCGCGCGTGGCAGAGCTCCATCATGCGCAGCATGTGCTTCAGAATGCCGTCCTGTGCGCGCGCCATCCGTTTTCTCATGGCAGGTTCCTGGCACACGGGAAGGGTGGGGGTGACATCATGCATGAGGGGTTGCGTGGCAGAGCTCCATCATGCGCAGCATGTGCTTCAGAATGCCGTCTTGTGCTCTTGCCATGCGCTTGCGCATTGCTGGTTCCTGGCATGTGTGGGGAGTGGCAGGGCGGGGGTGGCAGCGGAGTGGGGGTTGGGAACATGCAACAGGGGGTCAGCATGCCTGGGCGCGTGGCAGAGCTCCGTCATGCGCAGCATGTGCTTCAGGATCCCGTCCTGGGCTCGTGCCATGCGCTTGCGCATTGCCGGTTCCTGGCGTGTGTGGGGGTGGTAATGGCAGGGGCGGGGGACACGGATGCATGAGAGGGCACACGAACCCGCGCGCGTGGCAGAGCTCCGTCATGCGCAGCATGTGCTTCAGAATGCCGTCTTGGGCTCGCGCCATGCGCTTGCACATTGCTGGTTCCTGTGTGGTTGGGAGGGCCTGAGATGGCAGGGCCGGGGGTGGAAACACGCATGAGTTCACTTCAAACCAGATGACCTGTGAGTCGACTGAGAACTCCCCTCTTCTCCTCTTCTCCTCACAGGTGCACCTATAGGTGCACCTATAGCTTACTTACTCGATCCCAGCACCACTATTGCCCTATTGATCCTGGATGACTAGAGTTGTGAGACGACTCAAAAGTTCCGTTTCCTCTTCTCTCCCTACAGCTTACTCGTTCCCAGCACCAGTACTGCCCGACCGATTCCAAGTGACTTGTCAGTCGGCCCGAAAGTCGCCTCTCCTCCTCTTGCCCCTATAGCTTATGCGATCCCAGCACCAATATTGCCCGATCGATCGTGGGTGACTTGAGAGTCGACTCAGAGGTCCTCTCTCTCGTCCTATTGTCCCTACAGCTTACTCAGCTCAACCCCACCACCAGTATTGCCCGATCGACCCCAGGTGTCTTGCGCGTCGACCCAGAAGCTGACTTTTGAGTCGACTCAAAAGTCCCCTCTCCTCCTCTCTCCTAATAGCTTACTCGATCCCATCCCACCACCAGTACTGCTCGATTGATCCCCAAGTGACCTGTGAGTCGACTCAGAGGTCCCACTTCCTGGTCTTCTCCCTGCAGCTTGCTCAATCTCGTCACAACTACTACCCGATCAATCCCCTCCTCAGCTGCCTTCGACTGCAAAGGCACCGAAGCAGATGCTGACATTAGAGAGAATGAATAACACATTATCGCTGGGGCGCCTATAACAACCGTCCTGACTCGGCTACCCAGGCGGGCACTGAAGCAGATAGTGACTAACAGATAGCCTGGAAAACACAGAATCTCTGAGGCGCCTATAGAAATCGTCGGGACTCAGTTACCCAGGCATTGAAGCCGATCCTGACAGCAGGGTAAGTTTGAATAATAGAATGTGTCACGTGACCTCGGAACAGGGTAAAATGGCACGGGAAATCAAAGAACGGGGTCCTGAGGAGAAGAACGAGGTCTGACGGACAAGATGCCTGTCTAGTTCTCCTGGTGTCAAGGGCCTGTGACATAATCACTTGACACGCGATCACCGAAACGCACCCGAAGTTCGCCGCACAACTCAAGGTTGCGCCTTTGGTCTACTTTCCCCGTAACGGATCGGCTCAGATGAGCAACTGGTATAAGCATCACTTTTAGCAACTTCAGGAGGGCTTTAAATCCGTATTGCTCTGCCCGAGTCGTGTCCCCCATCGTGTAACCTGTAGTTGGGTCTATAATTACCCACTCTACACCAACCACCCAAGTATTAACAGAGCCATGAATCTTATCAGTAAGAGCTGATAGGAAGAGGGAGGGAAGGGAGGAGCAGACGGAAGAGAGAGTAAAGCAAGAAAGGGTAGATCAAGGGGGGGTAGATCAAGCACTGTGGGGTATCTGACCAAAGATGGTGACTTTCGAGTCGACTCAAAAGTCACCTCGAGAGAGTAAATCAAGAGAGGGTAGATCAAGGGGGGGTAGATCAAGGGGTGGTAGATCAAGGGGTGGTAAATCAAGCACTGTGGGGTTTCTGACCAAAGATGGCGGCTTGGTCGATTTCTTAGTAGACTCAAGGAAGGCGGTGTGGGGAGATGACTTTTGAGCCGACTCAAAAGTCACCTCTTTTGAGCCGACTCAAAAGTCACTTTGTCTTAGTACCAGACTCAAGGAAGGCGGTGTGGGGAGATGCGGCTGCGAGGTGTCTGACAAAGATGGTGGCTTGGAAGCTTACTTCAAGCAATGAGGATAGGCTAGCATGGATCTCAGCATACCTGCTACCACACAAAGCACTTAACTAAGCGCGGTGCGTAATCACTACCTGCAGCTTCTTCTGCCGCGCCCGTTGAGCCTCTTCTTTAGCCTTCCGCATCTCCCTCAACCGTTGCAACTTAAACTGGTCCCGCTGTACCCGCTTCTCCAACTCGTCTATATCCATCTCATCGTCACTTAGTCCCTCATCGTCCGCCTCCTCTTCCCCCTTTAAGCATTACCTGCAGTTTCTTCTGTCGCGCCCGTTGAGCCTCCTCCTTGGCCTTCCGCATCTCCCTCAACCGTTGCAACTTAAACTGGTCCCGCTGAACCCGCTTCTCCAACTCGTCTATATCCATCTCATCATCACTTAGTCCCTCATCTTCCGCCTCCTCTTCCGCCTCCCCCGCCGAGTTCCCCCTCTCGTCCGCCATCGCCAGAAGTCTCCCCGTGGTCCCTGCGCCGTCCCCCCCGTTTGCGCCTGCTCCGACCGTTTTCCCGCCCCTTACTACCCCCTCTACTGCGGGGTGAACTGCGGTTTCGCCCATGTCCTCACCCTCGTCATCATCTCCCCGCGGCCGTGTCATCCGATGCCGCTGAGGCCTGGAAGCTTAGCGACCCACTCTTAGCTAACTGCGTGGTTGTGAACGGGCGGCCTATATTAAAAAACCAGGAAATGCTACGCACAGAAAGAGTATACACTCGTAAACAGCTATTGCTACAACGTACAGTCGTTCGGTTAAAGTGATTACTCCGTATTATTTGAATTCGCAGTAGCTACTATGCGTACTTTATTTCTCTCCCGCACTTGGCGCTGCTAAGCCTTTTAGAACTTAAACGGCGATGCCGACCTCTGCGATCTGACCAACCCAATAAGCGACGTCGCTTGTCGCACAAACTTAAGTCTAGCTAATGTATTGTGTCGCTTTCGTCGTACTTCCGGTGTCGACGGTGTGAGAGACACCCTGGCGGATCTATTTCCCGCGCACTAAGCGGTACTGTGATGCTTCTCCGCTTCCCGGCTTCTCGGTTTCTCGGCCTCTTACTGCTAGCGCGATGCCTCGCACCTTACGAACCAATCAACTGGCAATTGAATTGTAAACGCTCCGACTGTCTAACAGTTCTGCTAAACGGACAGCAGGACGCGGGAAGAGGAGAAGGAACTGTTCGTGCTCTCAACAACTACTAGTTGCAACGGAGATTACTTTTTCCTGCCTGCCCCTGCGGATCGCTATGCTACGCGTGCACAGCCATTATAACGAGCCGGAAATCCCGCAGCAACTTGGCGACTTACGCCGTCCTTTCTCATTTCATTCATCCCATCTCAGCAGATCAACGATGATCGATCGTCGAGGAAATCCGACGGAGAATCTTTCGCACTGAGTGTGGCTCATGGGAGAGCGATTAGCCGTTGCGCTGTACATGAACGCTACACTGGAGAAGCAGCGGAACAGGGGAGCTAAAAGGCGGAAGGCTTCGCGCGAAGGTCGAGATTATCAGGCGATTCACGGGAGACTGCGCAAAACGACCCCCCCGCGCGACAACATTCCGTAGGAAGCGGGAGGGACAGAAGCGGGCAGCAGCGCATCGCCGCCAACTTCTGTTCTGATTTGGTTCCACCCAAGTGGTGGAACCTCGAGAGTAGCGACGATAAAATGAAGGAACTGTACACTTGTCCGTAATCGCTGCCCTCCCAGCAGCAATTCAAAAGCTGGAGCCTCGACCTTGACGAACGACGTACAGCACGAGCTTGTGTTATGAGGGCTGATCACATACATATATTTGAAAAGGGGTATCTTTGTATGGTTCAGTGTGTTGCGCAATGGTCTCAAGCGGTAAAAACATAAATCCAAACCCAACCCAGCTTTAGCGTCTTGCACCGCACTAAACCAAGGTTGTGTACTCCCAAGGTTTTCTGTTTTTTCGCTGTGGGATGGAAAAAAAGCCCGTCGGTCACCACCCAGCCATGCTTTCCTGTCGCAGCAGTGGGACCCTGCGAAGAATTGTACAGCAGCGGCTTTTTCTCGAGCGACGCAGCTCTGGGTGAGATCGACGCATGCGAGGCTTCTGCTGGACACACCGCGACGGACGAACGGCGACGATTTGCGGCGAAAAGCGTTCCAGCTGGTTTCCCATGCAAGTGTGATGACGAATGGCAAGTGTAAAAAAGGCACAGCCCCGCCAGACTCTCCAGACCAGATTGTGAAAGTGCGAGCCAAGCCGCCTGCCAGAAGGGTGAAGTAAAGTCTGGCCAGACAGTTGGACTGGGGATTGGCTGACGACGAGGGTGTCTCCATGCAAGGAATCCGTAACCACCAGGATGGACAGATTCATTCCCCCAAACCCTAGTCAGGCGGGAGTGGGTGGTCAGAGTTCGCTGAGCCTCGACAGCGTGAAGGTAAAGGTTGTCTTTTGTGCCGAACCGCCATAGCGACGCTGACCTGTCCAAATGCGATGTTCCTGAGAGTTTGGTGAGAGGATGATGTTGGAATGGGGAATGGTATGCTGCGTCACAAGGTAACTCATCAGCCATGCATAGCTGGCTAGCATTGCTTCTGATTCGTAGAACAGTATAGCCACATGATGGCAAGCACACATAGAGATGGACCCCCGTGAAATGGGAGATAATAAAAAAGAGTATTCTAAGTGATATTTCTATAAAAAAAACTAAAAAATGTACCGCGACTTAATATGATTGATATTTAAGAAGATAAATAATTTCATCTACAAAAGCATATTGGTTTACACATTAATGAATCGATTTATTAAATATAAAACTCATCATATGTTCACGATATTTTGATCTGATGAATCAAAATGTTCAGAGAGTATGTATTTACATAAGTCTGCTTTGTAAATTTTAACTTCCATCATACTATCGTTCAGTGCACTTTTGAAGTCTCCATTTCAGAAGCTTTGGCCCGAATTTGATTCTTCAAGGAACCGTTACAAGCACGTCACATTTCACCCATCCCTCTTTTCTCCTCCGAGTCCCTCGCTATACGCATATCTGTGCTCACCAACATTCTACTTCTCCCCTCCCTAAATCCTTTTCTCATCTCTCATTTCTCTTCTTCCATTTCCGCCTTCCGTTCTCCAGCCCTTAGATCGCGTCACCAAATCCCTTCACGAATCATGTGACCTAAACCCCTGATCGACAGACGTTGACTGGAGATGCTGCTGAATATATGAAGCTGAACGTCCTGCACGGGGTTTCTTAACCGTCCGTCTGTTTGTACGTAACCGTCTCAACCGGTTCACACTTAATGCCGACTGAGTTCGCGTTTATGCGGGGCTGCGTTGTCGCGATGGCTCGCGCTATGCGGCTGCAGAATCGGATGGTGAGTTGTGACGTCCCGAATTTGGTGCTGCTATTCGTGACGCTTTCAGAAACACTGTCATTTGTTTTCCCGGATTTCTCGAAACATTACTCTAAACTAACCATCATTTTTTTCGCCGTTGTTTGTTCTGTTTGCGACTTCTGCGTAGGCTTTTAGACGTGCACCTCTCCGATCGGAGTTCCAAGCTGCTTTCGGGTGAACATGGCGAACAAGTGATCGATCTGCGGCTGATCAAATTTGCAATCAGAGAAATTGCATAGCTTCTAGGTATGTCATATATTTGTGGGTTTTCTCTTTGTTATTATTTATTCCGACTTGCTTTCCGATTCTGTCGCTTTGTACTTTTTTTAAGACCGTGTTACTTTTCCTTCATTCCGCGACATGTTTTTCCAGCGCTCCCCATCCCCCTCCCCCCTCCCTCCCCCCTTTCCCCACCTCCCTCCCCGCCAAAACCTCGCACACCCTCCCTCGCATTGTCGGTCTTTTGATGCTGCACCCTTGCATGCGAGCTTTCGTTCACCTTTCGTGCCCCTTGGGATCTTATCGCCTCCGTGATTATGCAACATGTTATTAGCTCTAGCTGATTAGCCGTGATGAGCAAAACTAGATATCCATCGGATGAGAGGCACTATATGTTCCATGGTCTTCTCTCTCCGTCTCTCTCCTTCCTCTCGCAACCGCTCATTCATCCTTCTCCTGCTCGCTCACTTCTAAAAAAATATATCCTGGGAAAAGCAGAGGGTTTGAGTTGGGGGCTTTCGCGCCGGCGTCTCTCTGGGATTGCATGTGCGCATTGCCCATTCTGCTGCTGCTCGCCTTCCCGCCCGGTGGTAACCACCGTAACGGAAGCCGCAGCAGCAGCAGATTAGCCAGCGAGGATCCCCACCCTCCCGTCATCCCCAGGGAGACTAGCTTGAAGCCTCGCATGTGCATGCATTCGTGCATGCATGTGCTGGCTTCAGTGGTGTTATCCCTCTGTGCCCTCTCCTTGCTGCCTCCGGGTGGCTTGTGGCTTGCCGGACGGGGGATCAGCCACACATTGCTGTGATGATAATCATCACTGAAATGCTTTCAAGTGGACTGAATAGTTTACTTGTGTGTAACATTCGCTTCGACATCTCCAGTGTCAATGCTTCATTGTTTTTCTCGTCTCGTTCCTCTGTAGTCGTGTCGTCGCTTCCCCGTCCTTGTATATACACCACCCAGATTTATGGGTTGGGAGTTGAGACCAATGATTAGATTACAGTTTCAATTAACCATCTTTCGGGACATACAGGGCTAACCACCCTCCTGATGATAGCAGCTGACGAATGAGGTCTCAACACGCACCTTTTCATACCGTCTTGTATTGTCAACAGTCTTTCATTCGTGCTGTATTCGTGGTTATGCATTTCTTTGTGGTTTCCATTATTCTCTGATTCTTCAGATGGCTTGACTCGCTGGCGGCCATGTGGCGGATCCCAGGCTGACGTGGCGGATCTTTCATGGCGATTGATCAATGACAGTCAACACCGGTCAACGCTGAGGTGGCTCAACGCACATCTCTTGACACGTGGCAACTCATCATTTGGGGAGTCTGGATGTCGTCGCAGGCTGCTCCCGACATCCGTGCACGCTTCCCAACAATTAATGCTCCAAGCTGTAGGTCAATTCCGTCTCTACACCTCGTCGCTGCTGGTAAGATCCATGTGTACACTTTTCAAGTGTGGAAGTGGGCTCTCTATTATATACTACAATTCCAGGTAATGATGTCACACGTGCCGGCTGTCAGTTCAAGTGTTATAGTTGCAGCATCCGAGAGGAGTTATGATCCCATGGCCACCTCTCATCTTCTAAGGCCTCCACGATTAAACCTTTGCAACCATCCAAAGCATTTTCTGGTCATCCAGGCTGCTAATGCGGTGTTATAGATCAATAACATGAGAGGCCTTACCTATTTCAGTCTCTTCCGGAATGCTAGCCTCGTTAAGGTGTAGGTGGGCTGTCTTGATAATGGTAAAGAAATTGGTGAGGTGGGGGAGGAGTTGGTTGAGCTTGGTGGTGAGAGGAAGGCTTGGAGAGGCCTGGAGATGAGTCTCTCTCAGGGATATGGGAGTCGTCATGCTGTCTGTTTATCTGCGAGCTTCACTTAGCGTTCTTCTTCCATTCCTGACTTATGCGGCCTCTGTGATTATGAAAAATGTTATTAGCTCTAGCTGATTCGCCATGATGAGCAAAACTAGATATCCATCAGATGAGAGGTGCTGCCTGGTTGTCCCTTATTCTATGTTTCCTGTGTCCCTCACTCTTTTCTTTTCCCACGTAGTTTTGTCCTCTCTTGTACTCATGCTCTGATGATTCCGATGTTTTTTTTTTTACTCCCGCCTCGTTTCTGTATCCTTGGTTTATCTCTACTTGACATCCTGACTGAGACCAATGATTAGATCACAGTTTAAATTAACCATCTTTCGGGACATATCGAGGGTTCCGCCCTCTTGATGATGCCAACTGACAACTGAGGTCTCGTTGCTCTTGGTGATGTGGTCATGCTTGAGCCTCCTTTCGTTGTACTGACAATATCTTCACCTCTGAATGCACCTCTTAAATTTCTAACTAAGTGCTGCACTATTGATCCTATCATATCTGCATTTCCCCAACCTCACGTGTTGCATGTAAAACCAAAGTCTTCATTGCTGGTTTCTCTCAGTTCTACGTTTCTGTTTCTGTTCTTACACTGTTCCCTATATTCTTCCTTCCCCCCCTACCCCTCTCCTCCTGCCCTCCTTTCCCCCACTGTTTCCCAGCATGCAGAACTGCTGTTTTATAAGGCTGGAAGTGCCTGTACGCTCTAAAAGCTGTGATGGCGTTTCACATTTCAGGGAACCTGTGAAAAGTGGGTTGACCAATTTTCGACCTGTCGGAGTTTGAGAGCGTGTTCCTATCCTCGTATCAAGACAACCTCGTATCAGGCTCACACTGAAAATTCCCCTAAACCCGAAACCTCTCGCTAGTTTTACCAGGCAAAAGGTACATTCTTGATAAGAGGTTTCCTGATATGAGGCCGTAGGAACACGCCCTGAGTCTGGAGGGGTCTAAGATTTACAGTTTGGAAGTGTTATGGATCTATGGTGTTAGTGAATACTTGCTGTACGTTTTTGACAATTTAACGACGAAAATTCAAGAAATATATAACCCGACAAGACTTTGGATGAGAGTACCGTCGGCTATTCGAGGATGTTCCACGCAGATCGGGTTCACAACTGTTGGCGAAAAAAATGAAGACGATTTCGTCGACACCCCTTTCCACACCCTGCCGCACCCTCACGATCTCCGCAACAGACAGAAATGATGCCACGGCAGCAAAATCCCCCGAACCTCGAAGGTGCTTGATCTTCCGCGTGTACTGTTCATACAGGTCGCTTGGCTCGGAGCAATGCCGCGTCCCACCACCTGCTCCGAAGGTCCACCTCGGCGGCAACCTGCGGCTCCTGATTTGGTTCAGACCTGTGGTGGAACCCACAGAGACAGGCTGGCCGAATTATGAACAGCTGGCTAAAGGGCAGACACGTCAGAAGCTTCAGATTTGTGTTTGTAAAGAGCGATGCTTAGCACTGTTTGGGGTGCTAAGCCTACGTGTCGAAAGCGAACTTTTGTTTTTTTATCAACGTTGCATTGCCAGGTGGCTTGGACTACACCCGCATCCTGATTCGTCGTTGGCCACTGGGCCAGCTAGATAGGCTGGGACGGGAACACAGCACTGAGTGTACAGCTTGGGTGTACAGAACATGGAGCGGTGTGTGGATGGAATCCCACGTTTTCCGGTAACGGTTTTTGGACGTGTTTGCTTTGTTGTGATGCGAGTTCCGTTGACTCAAGTCTACGCGGGGGTCTCCTCCTACGAAGCCCGCTTGCACCACACCTCGCACGACGCGAAACAAAAAAACACTGCACTGTCGTTCGATCATCGGAGATCCAGTGAGCTCACACGAACCGTCAGATCCAGCGGGAGTTGCAGCGCGACGTCGCTGCCCTCTCACAACGGCAACATCTCCCGTAGGGTTTGACCGTCAACGGAGAGGCATAAATAATTCTTTCCTCTCATTCCAACCACAGCAACGTGGGTTCTTCCGGAAAGTTTTTCTCACCAAACCCGGCAAGCAAGCAGCCGATCGTAGCCGACGACCTTGGGGTTGACGGAGAGTCTTCCTCTAGAGTAGCAGCTCCCCAACCCAACCTCAAATCAACGCCGAAAGCCAGCCAGCGCAGCATAGGAAACCCTATCTGCCCATGTCCTCCGCCGTGGCCTTTTTGTGGAGTCCGTCTATGGACCAACCCCAGCACAACCAGGAGCACAACCAGGATTCCTTTCAACCAGATCAGCAGCAGGTCCGCCTTTCTCCATCCCACAGATCTCCCCACACCAGCGACGGTCCGTTCACGTGGCCGTTACCTCCCGCGCTAGATTTACCGGCCACTGACGAGTTTCTCCCCGACGAGCCTTCACCCTGTTGGACTTGGGCCCAGCAGCAGCCTTCGGCGCCGGCAATCCTCGCCGCAGTTCCCGCCACATCGACCGCCGCCACGCATACCGGCCCAGCGCCAGCCATGGCGACAGCAGTGGCGACACAAGCGGCGTGGGAGACCACTCCCGCCGCCAACTGCGGCGCAGCTAGCGGGTTCCGACCTACCGCAGACGGTGCCGTGCCCACCGCCTCCGCTTCCCACTTCTCCTCTTCCGGAGTAAGCTTCCCCGCGATTCCCGCTTCCCCCTTGTCCGCAACCGCTTCTCCCGCCACCGCTGCCCTTGCGCCACCCGCTTCCGCCGCCTCCGCCGCCCCCGCGCCGTCCCCGCCTTCCCTCCCCGTGGCGCAACTGGAAGAGCTGCTTCTCGACGACTGCGGAGTCCTCGAGATCTCCATCCCCCAGCGCCGCTTCCCCTCATCCTTCCCCCCATCCTTCCTCTCATCCGCGGCCACGGGGAGCCTCGCGTCGACCCTCCCCACCGCGGGGACCCTCCCCACCGCGGGAACCCCCTTTGCCGGAACTCCCGCGGATCTGCGCGAGCAGGGGTTGAATATTTTCGCCAGCCTCCTTCCGCTTCTTTACACTCCGCGCTGCGCCGCCACCGCCGCCATCGCCGCTTCTCCCGCCGGGGAGAAGCTCAAGCGCGCGCTCGCGTCGTCGCCAGCAGCTGCCGGCGTGTTCGAGGCGTTCGCCAGCCGGCCGCTGCCGTCCCCCGCGCCGCTCGCGTCGCCGATGCTTTTTGAGCAGTTTCAGCAGCAGATGCAGCAATGGGCCGCGCCGCAGGTGGAGCAACAGGAGCAGTCCGAGCCGCAGGTGTCGGAGTCGATCGCCGCGCCGCAGACGGACGAGGACATGGACGAGGCGCTTCCGGAAATCGAGAGCCCCAACAGCGTCGACGTGACCTCGCCGCAACGTGACTTTGACGAGCCGCCGAGTTCCGCCGCCGCCGCCGCCGCCGCTACCGGCCCTGTCGCCGTTGTCGCCGTTCCGGCCTCCGTCTCTATTCCTCTCGACGCTCCCACCGCTACAATCGCCGCGAAACATGAACCAGTACCCACAGAGGAGGCGGGAACAGCGGCGGTTTCTCCGGCGGCGCCTGTCGCCGAGCCGCTTGATGACGGTTACTTCTGGCGCAAGTACGGGCAGAAAGCGGCGAAAGGCGCGGCGTATCCGCGCGCGTATTTCCGCTGCGCCGTTCCCCGCTGCCCGGCTAAGAAGACGGTTGAACGTTCGTCCGAAGACGGCAGCACGATGGAAATCGTTTACCGCGAGGAGCACAACCATCCACGTGGTACTCTCCCCGGCCGCCGCGCTTCCCCCGCGTCGCAGGGCGCTGCGGGAGGGGCGCGAGTTTTGGTGACGGAGGAGATGGGCGGGTTTAGCAGCGGCGGTGGCGGAATCCCGCGTTCCCCGGTCAAGCCGCACCAGGCGCAACCGCAGCCGCAGCCGCAGTCCCAGGCTCCTTCCGCCGCTTCCCCCGCCTTTCCCGCATCCGCGGATCCCGCCGCCGCATCCGCCGCAGCGGGGCTCGCGCTGCTGGAGAGTCTGAGCACGGAGGACCTCGCGCGCCTCGTCTCCGCGCTTTCTTCCGACGCAATGGCCGCCGCCACCGCCGTGCTCGAAGCGGCGGTCGCCGCCGGCGTGATGGACAGCAGCCTGGGTGTCGCCGCCGCCGCCGCCACCGCCGCCGCAGCTGGGGAAGCCGCCAACGCGCGTCCCGCGTCACCGGCGGTGTATTCTCCCGCCGATCTCGCGGCCGCTGCTGTGAACGCTACCGCTGTTGTTACCGCCGCTACTGCCGCTGCTGAGGTGGCTCGCGGGCATATGATCCGATCCGCGTCAGACAAGGGAGCTCCGGAAGCAGCGGCAGGTTTGGCAGCAGGCTCGGCAGACGCTGGCGCGGTTCTTTTCCGGTCCGTATCGGCTCCTAAGGAGGAGTGCGATGATCAGTCTTCCTCCGGGAATACCGGCGGGATTGCGGGAATTTCCAGCGGTGCTCTTGCTGCTGTAGCTGCTCTCACGCGCGGGTCGGCCTTAGCCGTCGAACCGTCAAGTTGCAGCACGGGAAGCGCCGGTAGCACGGGTAGCCGTCAAAAGCGCCGGTCGATGGACGAATTTGACACCACGTTCAGCCCATCTTCCCCGAGCCTGCACTCTGTGACTCCAACGAAAGGTACTGCTAACGCGTTTAGCGAGGGTGGTAACTTTTCCGGAAGCATTTCGCCTGCTGGGGGGATTGGCGGTAGGGGAAAAAGGATGCGCACTGGGGGAAACTCTGGCGGAAGGGGGAGCGGGGGGCGTGGAACCGGAAGCGGAAGCGGGGGAGGAAACGCAGACGGACAGACGGTTACGATGACGGTCGTGCAAGTGGAGGGAACCGGCCGGGATGTGGTTGGCGATGTGGAGGATGGATATCGCTGGCGAAAGTACGGACAGAAGGCGATAAAAGCGAGTCCCTACGAAAGAAGTTATTTTAGGTGTAGCAAGGATGGTTGCGGCGCGAGGCGGGTTATTGAACGATGCCCGGAACAACCTGAGGACGAGAGTGTAGCTGCAACTCACACGAATCTGCTTGTGACTTATATCGGGGTGCATTCTCACGCGCGGCCGTTCCGAGCCAAGGTGATCTACAAGCCCGTCCTGGACGCTTCTCAGGAGCCTTCCCCGGAGGAGAAACCCTCTGCTGACGTGGCAAACCCTGGTGTTGCTGGTGCTGATAGCACAGTGGTGGGAATGGGTGTAGCTCAAACGGATTTGACTGAGGCTGAAGCAGGGGGAAATGCTGACGCGAATGGGGATGCCACGTGGGTTGCTGGTGGTTTTGGTGCTGCTGCAGGCATGCAGATGGCGATGCCGCATCTCAGGGATCTGAAGATCGAAGATTTTGGTGACCTGCCCACTCTGTGGTGAGGCATGAGATGAAGGATCCGCTCTGTGGTGTGGGTTATAAAGGATCCGCTTATAACGCAGCTGCGACAGAGAGGAGTGCCAGAGAATCAATCACTGGGGAGGGGAGGAGAGCCTACTGAAAAGGAGTCTGTCACTCTATCGGGTGTGCTTTTAGATCAAGGTTTGTACAGCCTTCCATCCATCCACCCGCTCTGGCTGTGGGGACGGATGGCAGGCTGTACCCCTTATAGTGTTGCTCGTTTCCTGGCTTGTACAGCCTTCCATCCATCCGCCTGCTGAGTGCCCACTGTGGGGACGGATGGCAGGCTGTACTGTACCCGTTTCACTTTCTTGTGCTTGCATTGTGTGTCTTTCTTTGTTTTAATACGCATAGTTTATCTTTCCACTCACAAAGCTGTGTGAAGGGGAAGATGCAGCAGAGAGATAAGATGCCATGTATGTACCATACCAACCAGTACCGTACAATAGATGTTGGAAAGGGAGGAATCCATGGGCCATGTTGCATTGGGTGGGGGCGCATTGTGCATGGCACAGTTACCGGTATTGGTTTAGGTGCACGGCATACGGTAGCACAGGGCATGGTCATGGACTCATGGTGCTTGTTGCTTGGAGCTTGGTACATTGAGCATGTTATGTGGGGCATGTTGGGGCATGTTGGGGCATGTTGGGCATGTTGGGGCATGTGGATGTGGCATGTGGTGCACTCTGTAGTCATGGCTCATGGCTCATGGCTCATGGTTATGGCTCATGGCTCATGGTTATGGCTCATGGCTCATGGTTATGGCTCATGGCTCATGGTTATGGCTCATGGCTCATGGTTATGGCTCATGGTTATGGCTCATGGCTCATGGTTATGGCTCATGGTTATGGCTCATGGCTCATGGTTATGGCTCATGGCTCATGGTTATGGCTCATGGTTATGGCTCATGGCACATGATGTGTTGCAATATTCTCGTATACATCAAGGTAATAGTACCGTAGTTACAAAGAAATAACGTTACAACAGCACAGGCAGCAGCAGCAACGGAACTGGCAGCCAGACCCGTCTCTTTCCCCACGCTCCCACCAGCAACAGCAGCAGCAGCAGCAGCAGCAGCAGCAGCAGCAGCAGCAGGAGTAGCAGGAGCAGGAGCAGTAGTACCACCAGCACCAGCACTAGCAGCAGCAGAAGAAGCTTCTGCAGCTGCTGCTTCCTCCAGAGCCTTGGTCGCACAGAAGCGTTAGCAGCAGCATTGGCAGCAGCACCAGCGGTAGAAGCAGGGTTACTCCTGCTTGCCTACCCTAGAAACAGAACTAGCAGCAGCACTAACATCACTACCGTACCAGCAGCACCACCAGCACCAGCAGCACCAGAAGAAGCTTCTGCAGCTGCTTCCTCCAGAGCCTTAGTCGCACAGGTTGTTACCAGCAGCGTCGGCAGCAGCACCAGCGGTAGAAGCAGGGTTACTCCTGCTTGCCTACCCTTCCATCAGCAACAGAAACGGAACCAGCAGCACCGGCAACATCATCAGCAGAAGCTTCTGCAGCTGCTTCCTCCAGTCCAGTTACGAGCACCGTTGCAAGCACATACAGCCCGATCTACACCAAATCCAACCGGGACCCAACCCAACAGCAGCAGAAGCAGCAGCAGCACCAGGAGCAGCAGCAGCTCTACTCCTCCTTACCCACCCTTCCATCAGCAGCAGCAGCACTAGAAGCAACAGCACCAGCATCGGCAGAAGCTTCTGCAGCTGCTTCCTCCAGAGCCTTAGTAGCGCGGGACGACACCTCTCTGGTTACCAGCAGCGTTGCCACCGCCCCCACAACATACAGACCCACCTGCAGCAGCTCTATTCCTCCTTACCCACCCTCCCATCAGCCCCAGCAACAGAACCAGCAGCAGTGGCAGCACTAGCACCAGTACCAGCAGCACCAGCATCAGCAGAAGCTTCCGCAGCTGCTTCTTCCAGAGCCTTAGTTGAACGGGGCAACACCTCTCTGGTTACCAGCAGCGTTGCCACCGCCCCCACCACATACAAACCCACCTGCACCGGATCCAACCTAAATTGGCCAGCACCCGCAGCAGCAGCAGCAGCAGGAGCAGCTGCAGCAGCAGATTTACTCCTCCTTACCCACCCTTCCATCAGCTGCAGCAGCAGCAGCAGCACTAGCAGCACCAGCATTCCCCGCACCATCAGCAGAAGCTTCTGCAGCAGCTTCCTCCAGTGCCTTAGTAGCACGAGACGAGACCTCTCTTGTCACCAGCAGCGTTGCCACCGCCCCCACCACATACAAACCCACCTGCACCGGATCCAACCCAGCCTCAGCACCAGCAGCGGCAGTGGTGGTTACAGTTGCGTCGGTAACCGCATCGAGTGCCACTCGGCCTGCTCCTCCCAGGTAGACATAAGCGAAAGTAGCAGGGAGCATGCCGAGGGAGGAAGAGGCCACGTACTCAAAGAACCCTATGCCTGTGGGAGTGTGTGTTGGGGGGTGGGCATGTGGGTGGGGAAGAAGGAAAGGCGGTGGTTACGGTTGCGTCGGTAACCGCATCTAGAGCCACCCGGCCTGCCCCTCCCAGGTAGACTTAAAGCTTCGGTATACATACTTCAAGCGACAGGCCACGGTTTATCACTTGAAAACAGGGTGAACCCTGTCTCCACAAGAACCCGTCTGTGGGGAGCTCCACAATTTAGGCAGAAAGAGGGAGGGGAATGGGGGCTCCCCAAACCAGCAGCGAAAACGATTTCGTCAGCCGAAACTTGACTCAGCGCTTCTGCCCTTCCGCGCATTCCTCCCCCAACCCTTCCTCCCTCACGAAATGACCCTAGATTCGCTCGACTCTGTTTCCCCAACCCAACTTTCCCAGCGAAACTGAATAGTTTCGCCAAACTTATTTGACTGCATCGCATGCTCATATCTGGAAGAGAGTCACTTCGCAAGCGAATCAACTTTCGTCCAATCGTGTGCAATAAAAATACCCCCAAAAAACACCCAGATGAATGTATACTGCAGCTTTAAGCAAAGGTAGCAGGGAGCATGCCAAGGGATGAAGAGGCCACGTACTCAAAGAATCCTATGCCTGCATGGGGTGAGCGTGAGGAGGAAAGGTGAGAGTGATGGTTGCGTTGGTAACCGCATTGAGCGCCACCCAGCCTGCTCCTCCCAGATACGGTAGACATAGGCGAATGTGGCAGGGAGAATGCCGAGAGAAGAAGCAGCCACACCCTATTTCTTTAAGTGTGAGTGTGTGTGTGTAAGAGGGGGGAGGGGGTGGGAATACTGAAAAAGGTGGTAACGATATTGACCGATTGTCAAGAACCACCCGGCTGCCCGCCACAACCCGCCCCCCTCAGGACGGATAGTGTGAGAGAGAACGGGAAGACAAGGCAGTATTCGGCACAATAGCATGAAGAATAAGGGAAATACCTGTAATTCCGAATACGTAGTTTGAGATCGAGAATGGGAAGATGGGCGATAGTCGGCATAGCAGCACGATGCGCCAACCGCCCACAGAGATTGCACGATCCAGCGCCTCGAATCGCCCTTCCCCGAGCCGCCCCGCGAGCTGTCGCGCCACGAACGGCCGCGCCGCGTACCGCGCGACGAGGAACGCCACCGACGCGCCGAGCGTCGCGGCGATTAAAGTGATCGCCGTGCCGCGCGCGGCTCCAAAGAGGTAGCCCGCCGCGAGGGTTAGGATGGAAGCGGGGACTAGGAGGACGGCGGCGATAGCGTACGCGGCGGCGAAATAGACGGCGCCGCCTAGCGGCCCGGCCGCGTCGCCGCCTTGCTCGACAGCCGCCACGACCTGCTGAAGGGGATTGGTCCACGTGGCGGCGGCGGCAACCGCGTCGCCACCAGCAATGGCGGCTGCGGCGGCGGCGGTGGCGTTACCGGCGGCTGCGGCGCCGTCAGCGTGCAAGACGACAAGCGCCGCCGCTGCTGTCAGCGAAGCAACCGTTACGAGGAAAGACCGCGACGCGAAGAAAGAATCCGATTGCTGTAAGAGTTCGAATAGATTCTGATCGAGCTGCACGCCCCGCGAAGCTTCGTCCGTAGCTCGAGCCGTGGATATCCCTGGGTTGTCGCAGCCGTGACGCGAAAAGATTTCCGAGTCTAATGACGCACCGACATCATTCCGCTGCAAAACTTGCATCTTTTTTCTAGAAGCCTCGGCACTGCTACGCGCCTCAATCCCTCGTCTACTGGAAATCACCGGCCGGTCTTGACCGCCGTGACTGCGTTGAATGCGTTGACTGCTTTGGCTGCCCGATATCTTCGTGGATTCTAAGGAGCGGAAGCCACGACGCGCGTTCGCGCATGAATATCCAGTAGGAGAGGCCCTTCGGGTCCGTAGCGTGCTTGGAGTTAGTGTATAACGAAGGTGTCTGGATGTTTCTACTGGCGCGAACGGTAGGGCGGCAGGGAGTGCCATTAAGGTCGGCGACTCGCGACGCGAAACCACGCTTTAGTAGCTCAATGCCGTGTTGACGTGGCCTCGCGAGGTGGCCGGCAGCTATAATAGATACGAAACAGGTCGATGCAATTTTAGGTTGGAGCACCACGAAAATCAGTGAACAAATTTGAATGGAATGTCGAAGGAAATTCGCGGTATAGGCATTGCGGGCATGGTGGGCTCGTTTCGCTCAAATACATTCCTCAGTACGGCATCACTTAAATTTGTCACTAACGTTAGACTAGCCTAATACAGAAGCATTCTTGCCTTATCATCTGCTAGATTTAGAGAAACTAACACATTTATGAGAGCTTGCCGCCACCTAAGGTACTCCAAATCCAAATAATGCTTTAATCGAACCACTGAATCGATTATTGTCTGGGCAACCTCCCACACCCCTGAGAGAACAACATACGGTTAAGAGATGCAAGGTAGAATATGTCACGTGAAACATGCACTACTGTGAGAAGTGAGAATCTGAAGGCAAATGAAGCATGCTTAACCATGTGCAGTGAGGAGGGTAAGTGTGGAGGGAAATGTCGAGTGGAGTTGTAGAGGGAAGTGAGGAGGTACGGTAAGTGGGGAGGGGAGTGAAGTGAGGGGACGTGAGGAGGAGTAAAGTGAGAACGGGAAGTCTTACGAATTCTGAGCATCAAATGTGCCAAGTCCAGCTGTGCCCTCAGGTATGCTGCCAGGTTGGATGTCAGGTGACCTGAAGGAGAGCGGAGTGATAAAATAATGGGGTGTGAACAAAAATGGGGTCCAGGTGCAAACGTGCCCAAGTCCAGCTGTACTCTCATGTATGCTGCCAGGTTGGACGTCAGGTGGCCTGAAATCATGGAGAGCAATAGAGGAGGTGCGGTGTAGAAAAAATGGAACTTTGAGCATTGACTGAGCCAAGTCCAGCCGCACCTTTAGTTATGTCTTTGAGTGTGCTCGGCATGCCGCACATTGCCAGCATAACAAACTGCTCACTCCCTCACCTTCCTCGGAGTGCCGCACTGCCAGCCCTGCAACGGCAAACCGCCCGTTGATCTGCAGCCTCAGCTTCGGTGCCGCCCCCAGCGCTGTGATGTGCTGCCGAATGAGGTTGCTGGGAGGGGAATTGCGGGGCAGCACAGGCATGAACGGCAGGGGAGGGGGAAGGAAAAGGCACAAGGAAGCTGGATAAGGTTGCTGTATCATCTCCAAGGCCTCAGCTTCGGCGCCGCCCCCAGCGCTGTGATGTGCTGCCGAATGAGGTTGCTGGGAGGGGAATTGCGGGGCAGCACAGGCATGAACGGCAGGGGAGGGGGAAGGAAAAGGCACAAGGAAGCTGGATAAGGTTGCTGTATCATCTCCAAGGCCTCAGCTTCGGCGCCGCCCCCAGCGCTGTGATGTGCTGCCGAATGAGGTTGCTGGGAGGGGAATTGCGGGGCAGCACAGGCATGAACGGCAGGGGAGGGGGAAGGAAAAGGCACAAGGAAGCTGGATAAGGTTGCTGTATCATCTCCAAGGCCTCAGCTTCGGCGCCGCCCCCAGCGCTGTGATGTGCTGCCGAATGAGGTTGCTGGGAGGGGAATTGCGGGGCAGCACAGGCATGAACGGCAGGGGAGGGGGAAGGAAAAGGCACAAGGAAGCTGGATAAGGTTGCTGTATCATCTCCAAGGCCTCAGCTTCGGCGCCGCCCCCAGCGCTGTGATGTGCTGCCGAATGAGGTTGCTGGGAGGGGAATTGCGGGGCAGCACAGGCATGAACGGCAGGGGAGGGGGAAGGAAAAGGCACAAGGAAGCTGGATAAGGTTGCTGTATCATCTCCAAGGCCTCAGCTTCGGCGCCGCCCCCAGCGCTGTGATGTGCTGCCGAATGAGGTTGCTGGGAGGGGAATTGCGGGGCAGCACAGGCATGAACGGCAGGGGAGGGGGAAGGAAAAGGCACAAGGAAGCTGGATAAGGTTGCTGTATCATCTCCAAGGCCTCAGCTTCGGCGCCGCCCCCAGCGCTGTGATGTGCTGCCGAATGAGGTTGCTGGGAGGGGAATTGCGGGGCAGCACAGGCATGAACGGCAGGGGAGGGGGAAGGAAAAGGCACAAGGAAGCTGGATAAGGTTGCTGTATCATCTCCAAGGCCTCAGCTTCGGCGCCGCCCCCAGCGCTGTGATGTGCTGCCGAATGAGGTTGCTGGGAGGGGAATTGCGGGGCAGCACAGGCATGAACGGCAGGGGAGGGGGAAGGAAAAGGCACAAGGAAGCTGGATAAGGTTGCTGTATCATCTCCAAGGCCTCAGCTTCGGCGCCGCCCCCAGCGCTGTGATGTGCTGCCGAATGAGGTTGCTGGGAGGGGAATTGCGGGGCAGCACAGGCATGAACGGCAGGGGAGGGGGAAGGAAAAGGCACAAGGAAGCTGGATAAGGTTGCTGTATCATCTCCAAGGCCTCAGCTTCGGCGCCGCCCCCAGCGCTGTGATGTGCTGCCGAATGAGGTTGCTGGGAGGGGAATTGCGGGGCAGCACAGGCATGAACGGCAGGGGAGGGGGAAGGAAAAGGCACAAGGAAGCTGGATAAGGTTGCTGTATCATCTCCAAGGCCTCAGCTTCGGCGCCGCCCCCAGCGCTGTGATGTGCTGCCGAATGAGGTTGCTGGGAGGGGAATTGCGGGGCAGCACAGGCATGAACGGCAGGGGAGGGGGAAGGAAAAGGCACAAGGAAGCTGGATAAGGTTGCTGTATCATCTCCAAGGCCTCAGCTTCGGCGCCGCCCCCAGCGCTGTGATGTGCTGCCGAATGAGGTTGCTGGGAGGGGAATTGCGGGGCAGCACAGGCATGAACGGCAGGGGAGGGGGAAGGAAAAGGCACAAGGAAGCTGGATAAGGTTGCTGTATCATCTCCAAGGCCTCAGCTTCGGCGCCGCCCCCAGCGCTGTGATGTGCTGCCGAATGAGGTTGCTGGGAGGGGAGTTGCGGGGCAGGGGAGGGGAGGAAAGGGCACACGGAAAGGTGGATTAGGTTGCTGCGTTGCCTCCAAGGCCTCAGCTTTGGAGTCGCTCCCAGCGCTGTGATGTGTTGCCGAATGAGGTTGCTGGGAGGGGAAACAGAGAGCAGGACAGGTACGATCAGCACAGGGAGGGGAAATGAGAAGGTAGTTATAGATTGAGAGCATCAGCTTCGATGTCACTCCCAGCGCTGTGATGTGCTGCCGAATGAGGTTGCTGGGGGATGCAGCAGAGGGACGAGTCACAAGGATAGATAGGCAGGGTAGTGAAATGAAAGGGCAGAGATACATAGGCAACTCTGAGCTTCGGTGTCGCTCCCAGCGCTGTGATGTGCTGCCGGATAAGGTTGCTGGGGGATGCAGCAGGGAGCATAGGGACGGTATGGGGAAGACCAAAACGCAGGCCTTGCTTTAAGAGCTCTGACTGAGCTTTGGTGTCGCTCCCAGCGCTGTGATGTGCTGCCGAATGAGGTTGCTGGGGGATGCAGCAGGGAGCATAGGGACGGTATGGGGAAGACCAAAACGCAGGCCTTGCTTTAAGAGCTCTGACTGAGCTTCGGTGTCGCTCCCAGCGCTGTGATGTGCTGCCGGATAAGGTTGCTGGGGGAGCCACAAGGGAGGAACAAGTTGGAAGGACATATAGGGTAGGGAATCAAGGCAGGGATAGATACGAGAGCTCTGTGCTTCGGCATCGCATCCAGCACTCGTTCGCACCCAGCTCTCTGCTGGAACATGTGAAGGTAATCCACCCGTCATGCTGCAGGGTGTTTTTGAGAATTCTCAAAAACACCCTGCAGCATCATGGACTTAGATACCCTCCGTTCGCGCCCAGCTCTCTGCTGGAACATGTGAAGGTAATCCACCCGTCACTCACTCAGTGCGCATGACGAGCAACATGTCTTTGGGAAGCCCCTCCGCCACGGCTGTCAGGTCCTGCAGGCGATGACTGACTGCTCTCTAGTGCACAAGATACATTTCAAGCTACAGCTGTCTCTCCATCCCTCACTCACTCACTCGGTGCGCATCACGAGGAACATGTCTTTGGGAAGCCCCTCCGCCACGGCCGTGAGATGCTGCAGGCTCATGGCCTTGAGTCTCCCTCCTAATGCAGTGACTGCTCTCTGATGCACTCGATACAATACAAGCAATCAATACTCTCCCTTACAAGCAACCAACACTCACTCGGTGCGCATCACCTGAAACATGGCCTTGGGAAGCCCCTCCACCACTCCTCCCCATACCCCTCCATTCCCTCTACCTTTTTCTCCCTCACACCCTCTCCCCAACACTCACTCGGTGCGCATGACCAGGAACATGTCCTTGGGCAGCCCCTCCACCACGGCCATCAGGTCCCGTGGGCTGATGGCCTTGATCCCCGGAGGCTATGCCTGCTCCCGTATGCATACAGTACAGTACAAGCTATTGAGACTCACTCGGTGCGCATGACAAGGAACATGTCTTTAGGCAGCCCCTCCACCACTCCTCCCCATACCCCTCCATTCCCTCTACCTTTCTCTCCCTCACACCCTCTCCCCAACACTCACTCGGTGCGCATGACCAGGAACATGTCCTTGGGCAGCCCCTCCACCACTCCTACCCATGCCACTCCATACTCTCATCTCTACCTGTCTCTCCCTCACCCTCACTCCCCCACACTCACTCGGTGCGCATGACAAGGAACATGTCTTTGGGAAGCCCCTCCACCACAGCCGTCAGATCCTGCAGGCTGATGGCCTTGATCTCCCTCATATACTCCTCCATTCCCTCCACCTGTCTCTCCCTCACTCCCCATCACTCACTCGGTGCGCATGACCAGGAACATGTCTTTAGGCAACCCCTCCACCACGGCTGTCAGGTCCTGAGGGCTGATGGCCTTGATCTCCCTCATCACGCTCTTCTCCTCCTCAGGCGACATGCGCTGCCCCCACCGCGTTTTACTGCATGGTGAAACACAAAGAGGGGAATGAGAGGATGAGGGAGATATGGGGGTCAGTCAGGTCCTGTGCGCTGATGGCCTTGGTCTCCCTCATCACGCTCTTCTCCTCCTCAGGGGACATGCGCTGCCCCCACCGCGTTTTACTGGTTGGGCAAAACACGAAGATGGGGATCGAGTGGAAGAGAACATGGGGAACAATTAGGTCCTGTGGGCTGATGGGCTTGATCTCCCTCCTCAGTCTCTGTCCTCTTCAGGTGACACCCCCTGTCACCACCGGGTTTTGCTGCAAAGGGATGGAAGAGGAATCGGGGATGGGGCAAAAGAGGAAGAGGGGGATAAGATCGAGTGGGCTGATGGCCTTGATCTCCCTCCTCAAGCCCACTCGATCGAGTGGGCTGATGGCCTTGATCTCCCTCCTCAAGCCCACTCGATCGAGTGGGCTGATGGCCTTGATCTCCCTCCTCAGTCTCACCTCCTCGTAAGCTGTGAGCTGCCCCAACCGCGCCTTGCTGTGTGATGAAACTGGAAAGGACGGCACATGTCAAGCGGAAGTTTGAGATCAAAAGAGCGGGAAAGATATCTCGGAGAACTCTCAGAAGCACACTCATGGCTTTACTCCTGCAGCTTCGTGCCTCATGCAGAAACTCCTTCTAACACTCATCTTTGAAAGGGTCGTGCGGTGAAGAGGGAAGGGAGGAACCTTGAGTACTCCCCCACGCCCAGCCGTTCCCCCCACCGCTGCACTCCCCCATGTCTGACAGAGTGAGCGAGCGCCAGAGCTGGCAAAAGTCCCCTTTCATAAGAGCCCCTCTGTACAGTCAATCACCCTTCTAACTCTCACCTCTGGAAGGGTCTGGCAGTGAAGAGCGCAGGGAGAAAGCGTGAGTATTCCCCCACGCCCAGCCGCTCCCCCCATCGTTCCACTCCCCCCATGTCTGAGAGAATGAGAGAGCGCCAGAGCTGGCAGAAATCTTTCCTGAAGCCATCGTCCATCTCCCTGTATAAGCCGTGATCCAGCAGGACTGGGGGAGAGGGGAGTAGATGGGACATGCGGTTTGACAGAACAGCAAAGGAGTGAGTGAGCGCCAGAGATGGCAGAAGTCCCCCCTATAGTCGCTGTCCATCTCCCTGTAGAGATCGTGGTCGAGCAGGACTGTGATGGGGGAGAGGGGGCAGCAAGGGGAGGGGGAAGGGTGTGGCACAAGCAGTGAGGCAGAAGTCCTCCTAAAGCCAGTGTCCATCTCCCTGTAGAGATCGTGGTCGAGCAGGACTGAAGGGGAAGAGAGGGAGCAGCCAGCCAGGGGAGGAGGGAAAGGTGTGGCATAAGGAGTGAGCAAAGGGGTGAGCGCCAGAGCTGGCAGAAGTCCCTCCTAAAGCCGTTGTCCATCTCCCTGTAGAGATCGTGGTCGAGCAGGACTGTGATGGAGGGGGGAAGGGGAGGAGGGAAGAGGAGAGGGGGAGAGGGATGGAAGGCATGGGGATTGTGAGGGAGGAGAGAGCACATTGCCCCGATGGGGGTGGGTGTGGGGTCCCCGAGCAGGGAGACAAGAAGAAGCGTCAATAACCAATACCCAACGCGCTATCGCACACACTCACCGATGTCAAACTTCCGCTGCCCACGCTTGGTTGTTCCAGGGGCGTGTGCCTGGATGAGCACGTTCCCCGGATGGGGGTCCCCGTGCAGGTGGCCGTGACAGAAGACGTGACAACCACCAGCGCCCAACGTGTTACCACACACACACACACACACAAGTGTCCCACACTCACCAAGGTCAAACTTCCGATGCCCAGGCTTGGTGGTGCCGGGGGCGTGTGCCTGGATGAGCACATTCCCTGGATGGGGGTCCCCATGCAAGTGGCCGTGGCAGAAGACCATTTCTGCAAACACTTCTACCAGAAGTGCTGCCACCTGATGGAAAGGGGGGTGTGGTAGTCAGGTTGTAAGGTTCAAGGTTTAATGTATGGAATCCGGGGTAAGAGCAGGTGTCCCCATGCAAGTGGCCGTGGCAGAATACCATTTCTGCAAACACTTCTACCAGCAGCGCGGCCACCTGATGGAAAGGGAAAAGTATGGGGAAAGGTGGGAGAAGCGGGGGAGGGGCGTGGGAGAGGGAGAGCAACAGGTAGGGAGCAGATGGAGTCGGGCTGGTGGCCGTGGAGCAGTAGAAAAGATAGCCACGTGAAAGAAGATTGTTTCTGAGACGTCTCACAAACAATCTTCTTGCAGATGGAGTTGGGAAGGTGGCCGTGGAGCAGTAGGAAAGCTGATTTGTGACTCAAAAAGCCATGGGGTGTCGACTAGAAAATATGCCCAGTGCCTGTGCTTTCAGAACCAAGGTGCAGACATGATTGACTGGTGTACGCACCTCTAGAGGGTCGAGGCTCTGCTTCGTGATTCCCTCCAATCCAACTCGTCAATCTGAGAGTGTTTTAATTTGATTCGAAACACACCTGCACGAGTGTACGTACTTCTAACTCGACTAAGCGCCTGGTGCATGTAGCTACGTACCTCTAGAGGGTTGAGGCCCTGCTTCTTGATCCCCTCCAAGTCGTCAATCTGAGGAGGAGAGCGAGAGGGATAAGGAGAGTAAAGAGGGAAAGGAAGGAATAAAATAAGGAGGGCCACTGGGGTTGTGGCTAGACAGAGCCCATAATAGATACTGTCTAGTATTGCAATGCTGTCCAGTGTGGAGAGCTTTACTTGCAGATTCTAGAACTGCCGGGGTTGGGGACTCGAGACGATGAGCAGCACGTGACACACACTGCATACATATTACATAGCATAGCGTGGAGCATGAAACACACCTTGCAGCTGTTCATGAACTCCATTGTGAGGACTCTCTTGCTGGTGAAGCCTTGGCAGCAGGAAACACATTTTGGGGCGTCTAAAGAGAAGCAGGGAACAGCACGTGAAACACACACCTTGCAGCCGTTCATGAACTCCATTGTGAGGACTCTCTTGGTGGTGAAGTCCTGGTGGCAAGAAATCTATGTATGCCGTGCCTCAAAACAAGCAAGAAGCAGCAGGTGACACACCTTGCAGCCGTTCATGAACTCCATTGTGAGGACTCTCTTGGTGGTGAAGTCCTGGTGATGGGAAAGGAGGGAAGACAACGAAGATTGGCTTTCAGGATTCAACCATAAAGCAGAGCTAACAAAAACACAGCCACACCGCAGACTACAGCAACACATACCCACCCACCACTCACCCACAGGATCTTGGGCACTTTCACCTCCTCTTTGTGCGCAGGAATCCTCAATATTCTGAGTAATACAGCCCACCAACACACAGCAACACACACCACCCATCCATGACCCATGACACACGCCCACCACTCACCCACAGGATCTTGGGCACTTTCACCTCCTCTTTGTGCGCAGGAATCCTCAATATTCTGAGTAATACAGCCCACCAACACACAGCAACACACACCACCCATCCATGACCCATGACACACGCCCACCACTCACCCACAGGATCTTGGGCACTTTCACCTCCTCTTTGTGCGCAGGAATCCTCAATATTCTGAGTAATACAGCCCACCAACACACAGCAACACACACCACCCATCCATGACCCATGACACACGCCCACCACTCACCCACAGGATCTTGGGCACTTTCACCTCCTCTTTGTGCGCAGGAATCCTCAATATTCTGAGTAATACAGCCCACCAACACACAGCAACACACACCACCCATCCATGACCCATGACACACGCCCACCACTCACCCACAGGATCTTGGGCACTTTCACCTCCTCTTTGTGCGCAGGAATCCTCAATATTCTGAGTAATACAGCCCACCAACACACAGCAACACACACCACCCATCCATGACCCATGACACACGCCCACCACTCACCCACAGGATCTTGGGCACTTTCACCTCCTCCTTGTGCGCAAAGTTCTCTGCTGTCAGCTCTGCATTGCGCCCCTCCTGCTCAAAGTCTGAAAGTTGCCAGTCGCAGCGCAGGTGAGGGGGGAGATGGAGGTGAGGGGGAAGAGGGAGGTGAGGGGAGTGAGGGGTGCAAAGTTCTCTGCTGTCAGCTCTGCATTGCGCCCCTCCTGCTCAAAGTCTGCCCGTTGATGCACATTCATTCACGAGCAAAACGCAAACGGGGGAAAGTTGGGGGTGGAAAAGTAGGGGGTGGGTAAGTGGGTGAGGGGTAAGAGAAGCAGCCAGCTTGGGATATCAAGTTCTCCGCTGTCAGCTCTGCGTTGCGCCCCTCCTTACTGCTGTGAACTTAACCTTAAAAAGTAGATCGATGTCGAAATGACCTCGATCTATGGTTTCCGTAGGACTTACATCCAACCAGCGCGACAAATGTCGCGCTGGTTTTTTCCGAACATCTAATGTTCGGAAAAGCGGGGACAGTTCCCGAACATGTTTGGTGTTCGGGAATTGTCCCCATAAACTTTTCGAGCACCGAACATGTTCGGGCGAACCTTATTTCCAAAAAAGAAGGTTCAAACATGTTTGAAACGAACATGTTCGACCCGAACCTGTTTGAGGTTTGGAAAAGTGCTCATGTCTAGTTGGGAGGGATGGGGTAGGGGGATAGGAGGGGGAAGTCTGCCACTTACCAGTTACAACCATAGACCGGACGGAGGGATAGGATATGCGGAGTAGCCAGAACAACAAGTACCGTGTTTTTTTTTTTTTTTTTTTTTTTTTTTTTTTTCTCAAGAAGTCTCAAACACTACTGAAAGGGAGGTTTGGAAAAGACAGTTTTGGAAGAGCGGGAAACGCACCCAGTTGTTGCTGAAGGTTCTCCTGAAACTGAGGCACGATCCAGCTGAACAGATAGTTTGGGAATATCTGATGGAGAAGCAAGGAGGAGAAGACACAGACAACAAATCAGCAAGGGTGGAGGGGCAACAGGAAGAAATAACAGCAATGGAGGCAGGAAAGAGGAAAGCATGCACTGGCTTGACTGGACTTAACCTGACCCGTTGCAAGATAATTGGCTTTTGATTGGAATGTTCAAGCAAAACAGCGGGCAAAAAGAGATAAGTAGCGGGCAAGGCTCGTACCGCTTGCCCCATGCTTCATTAACTAACGACGCCTCAAAACTCACCCACTTGACTGCCCGGGAAAGGAAGCCCATGGTGTAGATGTCCGTTGCTACCTGCTCCTCCAGGCGGGGGTACTGCACCTGAACACGAGAGAGGGAGGCAGATGGGGGAGAGAGTGTGAAATGGGATGAATTGAGGATAGGGAGCCCGGGAAAGGAAGCCCATGGTGTAGATGTCCGTTGCTACCTGCTCCTCCAGGCGGGGGTACTGCACCTGAGAGAATGAGAGAGGGAGGTAGAGGGGGCCGAGAATGGGTTGGGGAGGATAGCGGAGTGATGGCCCGGGAAAGGAAGCCCATGGTGTAGATGTCCGTTGCTACCTGCTCCTCCAGGCGGGGGTACTGCACCTGAGAGAATGAGAACACGAGAGGCAGATGGGGGAGAGAGTGGGTTGGTGGAGGGATAGAGAACTGACAGCCCGAGAGAGGAAACCCAGGCAACAATAGTGTTGCTCTGTGCACCTGAGCCAGTGACGCCACTGCTATCGCCTCCTTCTCGAAATGCACTCCAGCACAGGCTGTCACATACATGCACGCACGTATGCACACACACAGCACCCACACACAGCACCCACCTTCACGGCTACTTGCTGCCCTGACGGCAGTGTTGCTCGATGCACCTGCGCCAGCGACGCCGCTGCTATCGCCTCCTCCTCGAAATGCACGAAGCTGAGAGGGCAACACAGACAACAGCAACACAATCAGCGCACTGCTTTGAGTCAACAACGCCCAATCATACAGCCCTCCCCCCCCAATCAAGTATTCTTAGCTCAGCAGTATCCCGACCAGCATACGCACACCTCCTTCACCACACTCGCATCTCCTTCATGACACTCACATCTCCTTGGCACTCTTGCCGAATTCCTCCTTGAACACGCGGTCAATCACATTGAAAGGACGGGCTCGAGCCTGCATGCATCACCCAAGGCAGTTGAAAAGGCAAGTCACATTCTCAGGTGTGTCTCATCCTCTGCACTCTTGCCCAGCTCCTCCTCCTTTTTCTCCTCCTTGAACACGCGGTCAATCACATTGAACGGACGGCCCCGAGCCTGCAAGAACCAGCCAGGGCAGGGAAGTTAAAGAAGCAGGTCGCATTCTCAGGTGTGAGACCTTTCCCTCACCTCAGTCCTCTCACGCTGACTTCAGGGTTCTAGGTTCAGGGTTTAGGTTTCTTCACCCCACCTGATCCTGGAGCACAGTGATGGTTGCGTGGTACTCCAAAGGCAGCTGCTGCTGCAGAGTCGCAATGAACTGCCACAACTTGCCTCAGCCATCCCCTGGTCACCCTCAAACCAGCTTGAGGATTTACAACACAAGATTCAGGAAGCGGGTTCAAGTTTTTTCATAATACCTGATCCTGCAGCACGGTAAGGGTCGTGCGGTATTCCCGAGGCAGCTGCTGCAGAGTGGCAATGAACTGCCCTGCTTTGATGTAGATGCCACGATTCGCCTCACACAGCCGCAGAATCCTGTCCGCTGATCGCTGATGGATCTGACGGTGTGGGATGAGGGGAAAGAATGGAAGCCAGCAAGCTATTAAGCACGGAAGGACGCAAGGCAGGAAGAAAGACCTCACTTGAAGCCCTCACCTGACTTTCATTCAATCTCAGCCCCACCTGGGACCAGATTCGTACAAATTTTGCTCACGCTACTCTTTCTGGAGTCGAATCAAAGCCATAATTTCAGTCGGTCTCAGACCCACCTCTGACCGGATCCGTGCATATTCTGCTGGCGCTTCTGTCTTGAGCTTATCCAATGAATTGGCCAATGCCGACACCTTGTAGTCGATGCTGTTTATAGCGAACTGCACTTTGGGGGAGGAATGAATGAAGGAGGAAACGGAACAGAGGGAGCCGATACAACCACTTTCAGCTCTATTTTTACTCTCTCTATCACAAACTTCAAATCGTACACAAACATTCTGGCTTTGGAATGTCACTCATTCTTGACTCGCCCAGCTGCAAAAGGATATCCCAAAAAATAAGCATCACGGATGGTCATTTCCCTTGTCCAGTGACCCCTCTCTCACGATAATCAGGGAAAAACGTTTAATGAAAAAAGCAAGCATGTACCATCCACGTCCTCATCCGGTCTCTCACTCACCGTTCCCACGGCTCTGGACGATCTGGCGATCCCATCGGCGCTAACCATCAGCCGCTTAACATGCCGGCTGTCCGTCTTCAAACCGCCGTCTGTCGCCGCTACAGCGGCTCCGCCGGCACCCAGGCTTCCCAGCACAAGCGCTCCGACTATCCCGGCTGGCCTCTTAGCAAGAGCTACCGCGCCTCGTCTAAGAATATATAACATGGTGGTAGGATGCTGAGGTGTACCCTACAACTAGAGACCTGAAGTCACGTGCACCCTACGTGGTAAGGGGCTGTTACTACCAGTGATATATGACCTAGATGCGGGAAGAGTTGAACAATAAGAAGGTCAGATAAGTTGTGCACTGATCCGACGATCGGCTTGAAACTTCGTCTAGAGCTGCCTGAAAACGTTTTGCTACGCTAGGACCACTAATCGCTGAACCGATTAGCACGGGTTCTAACTAGGCTGACAAAGAATCCGTGAATCTTAGTAGCGGCTATCTATGATAGCCCCAGCCTGATCAGCAACAGGAGAAAAGCCATGGACCATGGCAAACGGCCGACGACAACTCCAAGGTTCCAGCCTGATCAGAGCATCTTTTTTGATCAAATACCTCATCCCCAGCGAAACTCAACTTTGCAGTGCTAGATACTCCATATAAGCTCGTATCTCCACTCAATGGAGTACAGTGCGAAAACTGCAGTTTCTGCTGTATAACGTACAACGAATCCGTCCGCTTCCTGTATTCTCTGGAGCCATTGCGCGAGGAGTGAATTCGATTCGCCAGACTGTGGAGTCGACGTGGCTGGAATGTTCGAGGATCAATGTCGGCGGCATGCCAATAACGCGGGAAGAGGTCGTCACCGCATGTCAGAAGAGCTCCATTTCTCAGAACCCTATCCAACCATTGTTCTAATGCAAAACACCGTTGTGAAGCGCAGACATATCTTACTGAACCGCAATAAAGTGAACAAACGGCGCTTCCTGACAAACTCTCGAATTCTGCATGCCGCCTCAGTTGCAGAATGAGGATGTTGAAATCGAACGGAAACGAGGAAATCAATCGTACTCAACCATATGGAAACTAGCCTAACCATCTAGGACCCTACCTGACTTGTGAAAAATGCTTTCAGTTCCCAAGGCAGGCACTGTGGAGTGTTGTAATTCAAACGACAGCAAGCAAGGTTCTGATAATGCTGATAACGCTTGCAGCTTTGTGTTGCCGCATTCTAATGTCATTTGCGATTCCACCGAGATCAGCGCGTCCAGCTCCCTATAGGAATCCCTGGAGTCGTTTAGTTACTTCAGTCTTTTTCATTCGCTGGCGCAGGCTCTGTCATTCCAGTTTCCTTTTCGACATCCCACTTCAAGCGCGTAACATTTCTTTTTCAGCCTTTTTTTACCGCGACTTCTTTTCGAGGTCACGAATATTACTACAAATTTCATCGTCATTCGCCGATACTAATTCACTGAGTTGATCCACGATTGCCCTGTCCAAGATTTATCAACCTCAAGACAGATACATATTATCCGCAGCTAGCTTTCTGTAGAGATCTTTGTTCCAGCCATGGCTGGACTCGCGTCCCAACAACTACTCACTATACCTTCAAACAGTCAAGTTGGTCAACCACTATGGAAGGTTCGTATATCATGTCGAGCTTGAGATCGACTGAGAAGTTAGTTCATCCAGTTGAGATGTTGAACCGTTACGAATATTTCTAAGTCATGTAGCATGCGCGGACTCTCGAGAGTTTCGCTTCACGATTTAGTAATCAATTTTCCCGTTATCATGGTGGCCTTCCGCTTCTTACACATTCTACTCTATGCAGGGAAGCGCCTTCTCGCCGCTTCCCCGCATTGCCGTTCTGAAGCCTTCTCGATCTCGATTCTGTTCAGTCAAATCCGTCCCTCCATCTGTGCGGGCCGAAGCATCTTCGCCGTCTGATTCAGGTAACAAGCAGAATCAGCAACCTTACGCTGTGAGGTGATTCATTCTGTCAGGTACTATACTAGCAAGCGCGTCCGACTGACTCTTCTCTGCTTGCAGCTCCTGTGGCTGCCACGTCAGCAGCAGCTTCGCCACCAGCGGAGGAAGAGGCACAAGCACTAAGGAACAGCATCAGCAGCAGGAGCAGCAGCAGAACCAGCAGCAACAGAACCAGCAGCAGCAGCACTGGCAGCGCCGTCGCGGGGGAAGATGATCTCTCAGCGACATCAATCGCCAAGACGCTACAACTCACAGGAGGCTCGCTGGGGTTCGCCGGAGCAACGTCGCCCTTAGTCCCGGCAGTCCCGGGCCAGGCGAAGCAGGCTCGGCAGCAGAAGCGCATCGTGCTGATCAGGCACGGGCTGAGCTCGTGGAACGCGGAGGGGCGAGTGCAGGGCCGGTCAGACGAGTCTGTTCTGTCGGAGACTGGCGAGATCCAGGCGCTGCGATGCAGAGAGGCTTTAAGGGATACGCACTTCGACTGCTGCTATGCCAGTCCCATTTCCCGGGCAAAGGTACGTAAAGAAACGGGTGTGTTGTGGGTGGGATGAAGATACGTAGTTACTGAGGAGAGGAGGAGAGAACAGAAGCGCATCGTGCTGATCAGGCACGGGCTGAGCTCGTGGAACGCGGAGGGGCGAGTGCAGGGCCGGTCGGACGAGTCTGTTCTGTCGGAGACTGGCGAGATCCAGGCGCTGCGATGCAGAGAGGCTTTAAGGGATACACGCTTTGACTGCTGCTACTCCAGCCCCATCTCGCGGGCCAAGGTAAGAGATGTTGCTGTGTGGAAGGAGGGGAATATTCAGGGCTGTTCTGTCGGAGACTGGCGAGATTCAGGCGCTGAGAGACACTCACTTCGACTGCTGCTACTCCAGCCCAATATCGCGGGCCAAGGTAAGAGATTCTGGGGCATGGATGAATGAGGGGAGGATTCAGGGCCTGTCGGACGAGTGTGTTCTGCGGGAGACTGGGGAGATCCAGGTACTTCGACTTTTGAGGCGCCTCAAAAGTACTTCGACTGCTGCTACTCCAGCCCCATCTCGCGGGCAAATTTAAGAGATGCAGATGTGCTGCAGACGAGGCAGATAGACACAGAGGAGGAGGAGGAGGAGGGCAGAGTGGGGCGAGTGCGTCACTTTTGAGTCGACTCGACTTTTGAGTTTTGAGTCGACTCAAAATTCAGGAGGAGGGCAGAGTGGGGCGAGTGCGTCACCCCCCATTAGAGCAGTGCAACACCTGGGAGCAGCTTAAGGAGCCTCTCGTGTTTCTGTAGTCTTCCTCTCACATTCCTCCCCGCATTCTCCACTCCCCCCATTCCTCACATTCCTCCCCGCATTCTCCACTCCCCCCATTCCTCACATTCCTCCCCACATTCTCCACTCCCCCCATTCCTCACATTCCTCCCCACATTCTCCACTCCCCCCATTCCTCACATTCCTCCCCACATTTTCCACTCCCCCCATTCCTCACATTCCTCCCCACATTCTCCACTCCCCCCATTCCTCACATTCCTCCCCACATTTTCCACTCCCCCCATTCCTCACATTCCTCCCCACATTCTCCACTCCCCCCATTCCTCACATTCCTCCCCACATTTTCCACTCCCCCCATTCCTCACATTCCTCCCCACATTTTCCACTCCCCCCATTCCTCACATTCCTCTCCACATTCTCCACTCCCCCCATTCCTCACATTCCTCCCACATTTTCCACTCCCCCCATTCCTCACATTCCTCCCCACATTCTCCACTCCCCCCATTCCTCACATTCCTCCCCACATTTTCCACTCCCCCCATTCCTCACATTCCTCCCCACATTCTCCACTCCCCCCATTCCTCACATTCCTCCCCACATTTTCCACTCCCCCCATTCCTCACATTCCTCCCCACATTTTCCACTCCCCCCATTCCTCACATTCCTCCCCACATTCTCCACTCCCCCCATTCCTCACATTCCTCCCCACATTTTCCACTCCCCCCATTCCTCACATTCCTCCCCACATTCTCCACTCCCCCCATTCCTCACATTCCTCCCCACATTTTCCACTCCCCCCATTCCTCACATTCCTCCCCACATTCTCCACTCCCCCCATTCCTCACATTCCTCCCCACATTCTCCACTCCCCCCATTCCTCACATTCCTCCCCACATTCTCCACTCCCCCCATTCCTCACATTCCTCCCCACATTTTCCACTCCCCCCATTCCTCACATTCCTCTCCACATTCTCCACTCCCCCCATTCCTCACATTCCTCCCCACATTCTCCACTCCCCCATTCCTCACATTCCTCCCCACATTCTCCACTCCCCCCATTCCTCACATTCCTCCCCACATTTTCCACTCCCCCCATTCCTCACATTCCTCCCCACATTCTCCACTCCCCCCATTCCTCACATTCCTCCCCACATTTTCCACTCCCCCCATTCCTCACATTCCTCCCCACATTCTCCACTCCCCCCATTCCTCACATTCCTCCCCACATTCTCCACTCCCCCCATTCCTCACATTCCTCCCCACGTTCTCCACTCCCCCCATTCCTCACATTCCTCCCCACATTTTCCACTCCCCCCATTCCTCACATTCCTCCCCACATTTTCCACTCCCCCCATTCCTCACATTCCTCCCCACATTTTCCACTCCACCCCATTCCTCACATTCCTCCCCACATTCTCCACTCCCCCCATTCCTCACATTCCTCCCCACATTCTCCACTCCCCCCATTCCTCACATTCCTCCCCACATTTTCCACTCCCCCCATTCCTCACATTCCTCCCCACATTTTCCACTCCCCCCATTCCTCACATTCCTCCCCACATTCTCCACTCCCCCCATTCCTCACATTCCTCCCCACATTTCCACTCCCCCCATTCCTCACATTCCTCCCCACATTCTCCACTCCCCCCATTCCTCACATTCCTCCCCACATTCTCCACTCCCCCCATTCCTCACATTCCTCCCCACATTCTCCACTCCCCCCATTCCTCACATTCCTCCCACATTTTCCACTCCCCCCATTCCTCACATTCCTCCCCACATTCTCCACTCCCCCCATTCCTCACATTCCTCCCCACATTCTCCACTCCCCCCATTCCTCACATTCCTCCCACATTCTCCACTCCCCCCATTCCTCACATTCCTCCCCACATTCTCCACTCCCCCCATTCCTCACATTCCTCCCCACATTCTCCACTCCCCCCATTCCTCACATTCCTCCCCACATTTCCACTCCCACC